GTCCAATTGAACTATACTTACGTGCAGCTCGGTGGTTTCCTCTTGCGATCAATCCGTTTACTTCACTTGAGGATGTCTTATATGAAGGCATAGAAGCCGAATTTTCTCAATTGCGGGAAGATGCCGAAGATCAATCCGAAGAAACTTCGAATAAGTCAGTCTGCACCTAAGTTATCTGACACTAATATTTTATCTGTGCAGACGTCACAAGGACTTGTGCATAAAGCACTACAAAGAATTCGTCAAGCTTGTACTGACCCTCAGTGACCTTATATCAGGATTTGAGAAATTTCCGTCGGCCATGGACAATTTCATTCATGTGGTGACACGATATTTGCACGTCATTCATATTTCTTTATCTTACAAATAACCAGCTTTCGTCTGCCACAAATGATGCACGATCTGATGATACTGGGAGCCTGATGCGAGAAGGGCTGGTATACATGCTCAAGATGCCCGAAACTGACCAGTTTAATCCCCCTCTGCTCAAGCAACACAGGAAAATTCCTCGTGGATGGAACCATCCTCAGACAGCGCGACTGCTGTGCCCGATGCGGATGCTAGACATATTTGACAATGATCCCCCATTAGTCATGCTAATGTTATTTATTCGCTGACATGTAACCAGCCATAGGTCCTTTATGAATAAGGTAAAGGAGGGCCAAATCACGATTACGGCTGCAAAATTTCCCTTATTTTTATATGATGAGTCTATGTAATACTCACAAAGGTACCAAGGCTCCGAAAGGTAGAATTTATGGCATGATATCACCACTGCCACGAGCAATTGCATACGCAGCTGTACAGGTAAGCCTTGTACAAGATTCACGCGCTTAAACTGATCATTGATGTCAGGCATATTTCCAACTTAGTTCTGCAATGCAATGGAGACAGCAAATTGAGGATCTTGATCTTGTCCTTTTCTATGATCGAGTGGTCGATATGTTCGAAGGAAATACTAATAAGCAATGGGTGGATGAAACACTTAACCATTGGAAGCTGTAAGACCGTCAATATCTTTTTGTTAGGTTATACACTAATACACATTCGGAATAGAGAGACCCCTGGACTTGTGCAGCGTGGGTGCTCGAGGGCTAGGGCAGAACTTTATACATTTGACAGCGAGGACAACATGGACGGTTTTTTTGATTCTGATGAGCGTTCTCCTAATAGCGGGGAACAGAACTCGCAAGGTGCGACTGAGAGCAATGACAATACAGTCAACATGCATGGTATTTAATTTCTCTCGCATTCAAATCATGCACACAGCTAATGCACATCCTGGTCTGGCGGTGCCAGACAATAATGAGTCGGCACGCCACACAGCTTCGAGGACAGTGGCTCAGCCGACACACGCATCACGCCAGAAAAGAAGACACCACTGACTCCAATTCAACCTTGTATTATTATGTGCACATACTTACATTTCACGTTATGATATTCATGTATTATAGCAATAACTGTAAGCCCTGATGGTGTATTAGTATTGTATGACGTCACACCAAACCAGTTTGTAATATACCCACGCCATATGAACACTGACAAACTTGACATCAACGCACACTGGCAGATTCGTCCTCTCTCCATCAGGGCAATTCTCATTGTAGGTCTGACTGGTTGGATATGTTGGTGTATTCTAATATGCCATAGTTGGCAGACTAGGCATGTCCATTTCCATTTTTATCCTTGAGTTCACCGCTGTTAACTAGTACTACTGCAATAGATTCTGATGGCACTGTTCCATGCTGATACTGGCAAATCGCCTGTTCAGTCTTCTCTATCTTCGTTGGACTGTCTACTATGCGCCAAGCTACATTCTTGGCATGAAGTGTCATGGTACGGCACGAAACACCGACCTGTTCATGGAATGCTTGACCCTCAATAGAAATGGTGTTTTAGCTAAAGTCATCTCCGCTGCCCACTGGTGCCGAGCCTCGGGTGTTTGAGTTCTATTGGAGTTCTATGCAATGTAGGAAGTTGCAAGTGCTGAACCTTCTGACCCTGACCCTGATGCTTTGATTTTTTTTTGTTTATTCAAGTTGTCCGATACCTCCTCTTGGAGTCACCGTGACGTATCATGACTACTTGGATCAGATGTGCCGGTGACTCGGACATCAATGCCGGTGAACTGTAACACAGTTGCTGTAAGGACGTTCCATTGACCTATTGTGTCACAGTCCTTCTCACATACACGTTGAAGCTTTAGTGTATGGCCCTCTTCAATGGTGTACACTACGCCCTTTCATCTTCAATACAAGCGGAACGACACAAGGAACTCTCAGCCTTGCTAGATCTCCATGGTGCAACAAGCGTACCACCACACACTCATATTATTGCGCTTGCTGGATCACACATTCAGGGTGGATACGAGGGATCTATGCATGTAGTGTCAGACATGTGGGTACAACGGTGTGTAGTCCTCGGAAAACTTCAACTGTGAGTCTCCTCTACCTTTCACTTCAGTACAAAGGCATTGATGGTCGATATGTCAGCGAGCGGTACTATTCGCCTGATCCAATCATGATTTTTTCAAGCGTTGTTGCATGCACCACTGATGTGAGTGAACTGTCTTTGATCACATTATATGATATTGATGTTGATTACAAGCTCTCCCAATGGGACCTTGAAGTTCTGTCAGCCGGCATCACCTCATTAGGAGGGCAGTGGCCAACAGCCCTTACTCGAGATGTGACCCATCTCTTCGCATTGCATAAACAGAGCAATAAGGTATTTACTCTCTCTGTTTTATTTGTTCACTGCGCTAACCCTCATGGCGTAGTACCAAACTGCAATGTATTTTGCACCATATACCGGCATGTCCATACTGAAACCACATTGGTTTGACGATTCAGTCCAACTTGGGTGTCGTGTCCCTGAGATTCCTTATTTATGGCCCGATCCTGAGGTCTTGGATCAGTGACATAGCGTACTATAGGTTACGATGGGCTATGATTGCAGAGGCAAAGGTGACACTATCCGGTAGTAACAAGTATCTGACCTTGTAGAATACCAGTAAAATATTACAGCCATGATTTTCGCTGCTTGATTGAATGATTGAAACATACCAGATTCTAGTCCTGTTCACCGTGATGTACCATCATTTACAGAAAGACGTAAGCAGCCTACCTATCCTGTACCACAGTTTCTGCATACTCATCATCTTTTGAAGCATGTTTGCGCTAAGGACGCATATGAACATGTTGTTGCCGACAACCCTTGGCATGCAAAGGTTCTACAACAATTAGGTGGTTGGTTGCTTGTATCACCAAGACGGATCTTCTTTTCATGTAATTAGGATTGGCAGTACTAGCATATGACATATGCACGGATCATCATATTATTAAATAATAATCTACCGGACTACACGCACAAGTCATTCCACATCACCCGAAACATGAACTTCATGTCAGATATTGCCACACCGCCAGCACCCTTCAGTGCTCTGATCCCTCCAAAAACTCCTGCATCGGTACTCAACAAGCTGAAGACATCTCCTGGAGGTTTTTATGCCGGAACACCTAGGCTCGCTTATCGCACCAAGTATTTCACAGGTGGGAGGGATGGTAACATCCTCATCACCAAGGGTCTAGACTACGACGAAGAGTTCATCATCCGCAGGGTATTCGAGATCAGTCGTAATAATTTCTTTTTCACACCGGATGGCGACTTCAATCCTGCAAATATCTTCCATGGCCGCTTAGCAGACTTGAAATTGAGCTGCCAACTCACCGCTGGTCGTAGCAAGGCCTTCAAGTTCTCATCAAAAGATTTCTCTACTGTCGTCAACAATCTCGGTGCTTTCGAGAACTTAGTTCCGAAAGAAAGATATTATGAGACCGTTAGTGTTATTCAGGACGCTATCGGCCATGGCAGATCAATCAAGCTGATTCATTATCTCTTTGAAGTAAGTTGGTTTTAGTGATTCATCAATCCTCTTTAATGGTACTGAATACTATCATACATAGGCTAATGACGAAGCTCAAGGTGGTACTAGTGACGAAGATGGTAACAGTTCAACCGCTGTCAGTGAGTTAGAAACGATCCTTCACTGTTGTACGAACCTAAGTATCTGATTTAGCCCACCCAGACAGCCTAAGCTCTGAATTTGACACTGTGACTTGGCCAGTTGCCGACCAATGTAAAGGCCATCTGCAGGATGTCGCATCCAAGCATAATATTTGCCCATTACCAGCATACGATCAGAATTACGTTCTTATACCACCACTCCAGTACGAAGCGAAACTTAAGGGCGCACTGGTTGAAGTTCATATGTCATTTTACCATCATCGCGTGAAGAAATCAAGGCGTGACATATTTGAAGCTGTTTTACAGGAGCTCATCGTCCTATCACCTCCTGTGCCCATGCCAAGCAGCCGCTTCAAACATCGACGCCTCAATGATGGGCCCTGCACTGAACAACGCAACAAGTGAAACAACTGACACACTTCACCTTAAATTGTAGTATGTATTTACTCTGATCATTGACTATTTGTACATTGATCACTCTCCACAGCATCATTGCGCAGCCTGTTCAAAGACATGATACAGGATCGTGTAACTGCTGGTGTGCTGGTGTATGGCATTTGTTCCATATTGATTGATAATTGTACCTCTACTAAGTTTGCCCTGTACTGTATAAATTGCCACTGTTGTGACAGAGTATATTTTACCGGCCTCACGTTTGTTCTCTGGATGAACTTCAGATAGCATCATTTTAGTTAAACTAACATGGAAACCTAATGCAATCACAGCACACGATACTGATTGTCAGCGAGAGACCTACGTAATTCTAATGTCAACTCCGAACTTCACACACCATCATGATACAGCAAACTTTATAACTTTTTATGATGCCCGTGCATCGGGAACATTACTGAAGGGTCCAACTGTATGTGGCAATGAGCGGAAGGAGCTTGACAACTTTGTTTTGTCATTAGAACGTGAAAAATGCATATCAAGATTCACCTCTGTCACAAGAGCCTAGAGAACCGCATTTCGCCATGTATGCCAGTAACCCGGACGAATGGAACCCATCCGACTTTGACGACAGTGATGAAGCTCTCCTTATCATAGCTGCTGAACCTGTTGAGGCACGTGAAGACAACACCAGTATATGTCTAAGCAGACCCGGAAGCCACACACCCAATACTCCGCATAGCCATGATTATGAGCCGTGCAATGGTGGTGGGGTGTACGGCCAAGGCGCCCCTGTGTACTCTTGCAGGTGCTACATTCGCACAAAAGTCGACCCTGGACTTGCACTCGCAGACTTGGATGTATCTGAACAATACCATGAGCCTGAGAGACTCGAACAGGTACAGTGGTCACCTAGAGATCTTCTACATTTGATCCTAATGGTTATTGTTCCAGGATATCGATAGTTGGAACACACAGGTTGGAGGCCATAGCGGTGGAATTCGTCCCCTTAAGCGTAAGAGGTCCGAGTCCAAGTCAGCACTTGACTTAGACTCCATAGGAGATATAACAGTAAGCTGGACTCATCTTTACATCGGTTGTTAATAATGACTATTGAATTTCTAGACACCACGCCGCTTTGGGCAAAACCTGACCAATGTCAAACACGCTAAATCGGTGCCAGCACTGGAAATGCCAAAGCGTAGGAAGTTGCGAAAGGCCTTCGAATTTGATGGAAGCCCGACTCGGGCTCACGAAACCTTAGTATTTGATGTTGTGAAACACCTCGAAGCTGCCATTGACAGGCAAACGTGCCAAGCAAACTTATTAATTATGACACCTTCAGTTGTAAACCTATTCTATGAATATTCAAGAGCACTGTTTGACACACGATCATGTACTAGTAGACTGACAAAATGCCATTGAAAATCATGAAGGTACTATGTGCGATGTACACCGTAACATAGACAGAAACCCGGCGGACAATTCGGCTCGAGTGAGTCATCTGGCACGGACACTCAGGATGGTCACGTCCTCGCACTCCAAGTTGGCACTAACATAAAGTTTCGAAACAATTAAGTTCCAGGGGAGACATGAACTATCCCCAATTGCTAAACAAATTGAATGGTGCTAAGTATCATTTCCATGATCGCCGTAACATTCGTAATCTGTACAATTTTTCAGTGAGTTCCGAGTCGCGTGCATTCCATCGCAAATTCTGCCTGGAGCCTTGGCTTGTCAACACATTGAAACTCCGCACTTGAACATCTTCTTTCGTCCCTCACTGAAGTTGGTTCTAAACTAGCACAACCTAACCCTGTTCAAGTTTATGTCCTTGTGGCCATGGTGCCAGTACACTCAGAACTACAGTAGTGCAGGGTTGGCATGCCACACGCGACTCTGTTTGTTCGAGCTCCACGAGGTCACTGGCGCCCCACAGTACAACTGTAAGTCTATCCACTTCGGTCATAGAAGAATCAAGACTGACCATCAGGTCATCATGGCTTATCCGCACATGGCATAATTACAACCGACCAAATTAGAGTTGCGGGTCTGATCTATAACTCTGCTCTCATGCAAAGCCTTAATGTCCGTTAGTTGCTCAAAGACTCGGACTGGCACCGAAGTTTGCGACCATTATGAACTCAATTTTTTTTTCCCAGATTCACATGTAAACCAATGGGTGTGGCATCTGAGTGGGGCCAAATGCCTGTCTTCGGTTCGGTGGGCAATATTTGCTCTTTGTGACGCCAAGTCTTCTCCCTGGAGGACTATATATAATACAGGTAAGTGAATTTTTCTCGTTTTAACTATGTCCCATGTCACAATCACCTCCGTTCAATAGCTCGTGCAATATTTTGCAACGCACACCTTGTGTGGTTCCTGCGATATTATTCCTGCCATCTGGAATGGTCGCCATTTTATTTGTGCGTTCTTGAGCCTGCATTACTTACGAAAACAGAACACTCACTGAACTACTGATACCTTCATCAAGGGAAGCACGATGGCGGCGACACCACTGCGAGGTACGGAGGAAATGACACCGGTAGCATACTGTATTGTCGAAGGTCTGAGCTCACCGAGATCTGTTATGGTATGGGCAGTTTCTCCATAAATCATACGGCTGTAACTGTATACGGTTGTGGTCAATTATTAATTAGGTTATTCAAATTCATGTATTAGTATATCGTCTGGTATTCAATCTGCTGCATGTGACAGATTTGGACCGTCTGATAGTAGTACTTGCATGCAGTACCTGTCCTACTTGCGGTGATATTAGCCAGTGACCCTTACTATATGCAGGGTCGCGAGCGGGTAGATATAGGCTAATGTTTGAACGTTAACTTTGTGTACCCCGAATGCCTGGCTCCAAGTTGAGACCAGTAGTACTATACATTTGGTATACCTGTGCCGATCCCAAAAAGGATACATTTTAGCTGATTTCAGCAATTGTACTGGTATGAAATTCGGAATATGCATAGAAGTTTATTGACATTCATTACCCACACCGGGGACCACCAGGAAGTACAAATGGTTACAAGACTTATAGTAGTATGTATGACCACCGAGTGATGCAAGCAGAACAAGACTTGGAGGAGGTTGCATAAAAGTTCATAACCCATGCGAGGGACCACCAGGAAGTACAAATGTTGCAGGATTGGTAGTAGTATATATTGAGCATGACACAAACAAGGATTTGCCAAGCGACACAAGCATAATAAGGCTTGTAGGAATATGCATCAAAGTTCATCACCCATGCAAAGGTTTACCCAGAAATACAAGCATAACAAGGCTTGTAGGAACCTGCATTGAAGTTCATTACCCATGCAAGGGACCACCAGGAGGCACAATTGTCACAACAGTTGTAGTAGCATGTATTTATCATCGCCCAAACAAGGGTCTACCAAGTAGTACAAATATAACAAGGCTGGTAAGAGTATACATAAAACCTCGCTGCATGCATGGACTTATATGCTAACTGGCAACCTCAACACAAGTCTGTTATGTGATTGTGGAGATGGTAGCAATTTCACACCTTGTACTAGCTGTTACTGGCCAGTTATATGGTATGCACGGATTTAATTCTTTTGTTGATGCAAAATAGTTGGGGCGCCCTACGCCACATGACCATCCCATTTTGTGTTTTGTACATATCTGTATTCTGCTGCTTCGTCATGATTTTTGGTAACTGCCGCTTAGATCATATGTTTGTTCATATTATTTTGGTTCTTATCGATCGTTAGTACCTACTCTCTACATTGTCTAAAGCCCATCCTTTCCATCGGTACTCACTGCATCCCGTCTGGGTGAAATAGACTTGAGGTAGGAAAAATCACAGTATAGTGGTCTTTACCAACCTTAGGTGGCTTCAGCCTGCAATTATGATCAATAACTACACCATCTGGCACACGGTGATTGTCATCATAGTATAAACCTCAGACTTTTTTTTTCCACTCTATCATCGCTGCCACCTCCAGTGACCTCGCAGGTCTACATCGAAAGGTATGTACAGCTACTTTTAATGCCATCAGATGGATTAAAATCCTTACTACTACCAGTATTGGTACTCACGTTCCATCGGTCAACAATTGAGTTCAAGTTAGTATGGCAGACCCGTCATGGCCTGCTGGGCAATGGCAGGATCATGATTATAGGCATCATCATGCAAATCAGCTCTATTTCACAACCCATCCATGAAAAATGTAGAGGGAATTAACGACTGGAGGTCGACGGACGGCAAAGTCCATACTAGCAAATTGAAGGGCATCATCACAGCGCTCCACCACGACTTTGAGGAGCGAATTGGCAGCATTATTACAGGGTTCCAATTAACCTTTAATATAACCAAGAGCAAGGCAGAGATGGACTTGCAGCGCCGCACTGTTGTCACTACCATACTGCCGGACGACTCATTTCTAGATGGGCACTTAAAGGTACGTGGATTGTATTTGCATGCCCCTCACGCTGATGTTTCGGGTTCTGATTAAATGTGGATGAACGAGAACGAGCGCCATAAAGGACGCTGACTCGTTCACTGGAGATAAAGAGAGAACGTCCAACTATCTCATCCAAACTATGCACCATATCTAGGGTTTTGAACTATGGAGTACTAGGGTCGAGCAATGACTATTTCATCTCACTTTTGCTCGCGTCATATGAAACCTAGATGCTAATCGCTTCACTGTACGCGGGGCACGCAGGCTACAAGACCAAGTGCCAGTGTTGCTACCAAAACTATCAGCTTAAGGCCAGGCGGTTGCATTGCAGCAGGAGCCCCCGCAACTGATCCAAGGCTCATTGTACCTCGTTAATGCGAACCCTGATCGCTCGTGGTCAGCGGGTACATCAAACAGTTCATTCCGAGGATTTATGGCCTTTGTTTCGACTATGGTTGCGATACCGTCTCAAGCAAGTTCTCTCAATATCTACTGTATCTCACAAATCCTGATACTAGCCCACTCTCTGCGAAGAATTCTCTAGGAGATGGGGGATTGTATTCGGCGCGGGCTGGCATCTTGAATTACTGGTTATACTGGTACTGCACAAGGGAGAACCATGTTGCAAGTACTACCAATGATACCAGGCCAGGTGATCGTCTCGGAGCAAAGTTCTCGCCTTAGAACCTGCAACCGCCGATGCAAGGATCAATGCTCATACTAGAAACCAAGAATTGAATGCAAGACCACTATTTTCATGACCTGGTACGTAACTTAAACTAGCCATGGTGAATGAGCGGTTTGAAGTTGTCCAAATTGAGCAGGGGTAAATCTTCAGGCAATTATGTCTAGATTGTTAGGTGAGTTTTGACTGATGTCAGCCGTTGATTGCTTTTTGATGGTGATCATGTAGAGAGACCAGTGTCCAGGTGAAGGGACCTAGAAAACTTCGATTTGGATGCAAATCGACGAAAGTTCCACCCGAGATACAATGTTCCGTCACCCCACGAATTGCTTTATGAACATGGCTTCTCGTACATGCGGATAGATGTGAAAATGTTGCATATCTGACGGTGGTTGATAGGTTCTCAGCATCAATTACGCTCTGTTCACTTCGGACGTCATGGTACTTTTACGTCATTGTCGAAAGTTGACAGGTGAGAGAAAAGGATCCTGACTACATCGCCTTGATGGGCGGTGAGCTGAAAGCCTCTCAGCTCACTGGACTGAACTGGCTGGCATATTTGTGGAGTAAAGGGCGAGAACGGCACCTTACTGATGAAATTTGTCTCGGAAAGGTGTATTGTATTTTTTGCCTTTCAGAATGCTAAAATGTTGTGCACAGACCGTACAGACAGTCTCTTTCCTGTCCTACCTCCTCTATGAAATGCACCATTCCCTGTAATATTTCTACACTCCATCATCACCGTCTGGCAATCGCAATTCGTGGCGTGGGCGTACGATCTGAATGTCATCACCTACATAGGAACCACCCCTGCACGTGAGGTCGTTCGGATGTGCGGATTCGGTCCCTCTAACAAACGACTGAATATGAATGTCCTGCTGACTACGTATGAGCTTACTCTCAGGGACCAAATGAGTTTGCGGACATCAAGTGGCAGGCACTTGTTATTGACGAGGTGAGGTGCAGGTGCAGAATATCTTAGAATAGTCAGCAGGAGCTGCTGAGCTTTGGACGGATTGCTGCCCTAACTGGAGCTTCAAAACTCAATCACCTGGTACTACCATACTACGTGGCAACTGATCCTAATCGATTACAATCCATCGATGGATTACAATTTGTAAGTCCATCCGATTAACGAGACCAACCAAGACTTAAGTCGATGGTCCACTTGAAATCTGGGTTTTTCGCTGTGCTGTGAACGGTTCATTTTGCAAAGTTGTCGGTAGTGAAGACCCACTGTCTTTGGTAGTCTGGCCTTTTACAAAGACTATGCTCCTGTATCCTCAGCGCAAGCTGTTGTGGTGGTGAGGTCCTCTCCCATGAGCATAGTCAATACCTGACAGACCTTGGGTGGCAGAAGTTTATTGCTAGGTTGGGCCTCTGCTCTTCGTGGGTTGGTTAAGCTTAGAATCAAGAAAGACACACGATCCTTGAAGGGAGTGGAAAGACAACTTAAGCTTGGCCTCATCACTGTTCGAAAGCTTTAAAGGTCACATCTAGTTGACATCCGGATCTATCTATCTTCCAAAGGGGATGCGTAGGTTGCATGAAGCCGAAGGCAAATGGGACTTTGAAAAAGAAGAAACCTTTCATTCTTACTATCTAAATGACGACACTGCAGAGAACCTAGGTGAGGCGCAGACTAGGGATGCCATACAGTATGCTAATATGAGTGAGATATTCAGACACATGTTATGACCCGCAGTCTTCTCTGCCAGTTCAACGACGTCCATCAAACTTTGTTGCTCAGGTAGATCGCAGTCCCGGGTCAATCTCAGTCTTAAGGTAGGCTGTTGTGCGCTGCTTTCACATCCAGGATTATACTTACCTGCATGGCCCCTCTATGAGCTGGCACACAACTGCATGATATCGCACACCAGCCTCATGTTTGACAAGATGCTCGTAAGTTTTTTCGAAACGTCGTCAAGGCGGAGTGCCTTGAAATTGTTACGATATGCGAACGGCAGACACGCACGTCTTACCTCACGAAGATTCTTTAGGACGCGCAACTATCACATAACACTCAAGGGGGTCTGTACAAAAGATGCGAAATGGCACGGTGAGCATGACATCAATATGCTTGACACAACTGCTGACTATGGAACATCGTTCGCCCCTTCCCCGAAAGTATAGTTCAAGCACAGTTCGAATTCGAATTCGTAGGTGTATTGGCATTAGCGTTAGTGGTGCTGTTGACGCCAACAAACTTGTCAACCATCGGTTCTTGGGTTCTTGGTCATGACTTACTTTTCCTGTAGCCTGAAGCACGGCAAGCTCGCTAACACACGTTGGAACTTTGACGACTTGCGCACTCGCGTGTAGCCGTCCAATCTTTCTCTCATCGCCTCAATCTCCATCATCCTTGCTTTTTCTCTCGCCGCCGCACTTTCTCTCATCATGTTGATCTCTTTAATCCTGGCTCTTTCTCTTGCAGCCGCTCTTTCTCTCGCCGCTTCCACTTCTCTCATCCTTGCTCTGTCTCTTTCCACCGCGCTAGGAAGCGCCAGTCCCCGACTACAACTTCGGAGTTCAAGAAATGACGATGGATCAGTAGCAAGCAGTTTATCGATCAACAATCGAGTATGTACAGTAATCAGACACCTCGTAAACCAGATGCAGCATTCACATTTGAGCCAGGCCAATCATATGCATCATCAGCTTCCGTCGAACGTCGTCGAGGCCCTTGTTTCCGTCAAACGTCTATAAGGCTTCCTGCACGCTGAGGAGCTGCAGCAGAATGCCCTCTTGAAGGTGCAGAAAAGCAGTCTGGACGTCGGTGATGAGGTTGGCAATTCTCTAACTACTTATGATTATTTTCACATTTGTGATTGGTGCTTTCAATCAAAAATGGTGAATTCCAGTGGAACAGACAAGATATATCAGCTGCTCTGGAAGATATAAACTTGACAGTACACAAGGGGAACTCGTGGGTGTAATTGATAGTGTGGGCAGCGGGAAGAGTAGCTTGTTGTCAGCGATTATCGGGGACGTGCGAAAGACAGAGGGTGAGGTCACCTGGCACCGGCTTTGTTCGGCAATGTAGCTTATGCCGCTCAGACTCCTTGGTGCATCGCATATGCAGGATTTTCTAGGACGTTCACTCACAAGCGAATAAGATTCTTTCTGCGTTGGTTCAAGGTGATATACTTTTTTCGCATGAGTACGATGAGGCGTTCTATAACCTTGTTATCAAAGGTGTGTACATGATTAATTGTGTTAGGTTTGGACTGACCCTTCCCTACAGCTTGTACTTTAAAGCCCGACTTAAATCTTCTCCCACAGGGTGATCTGACGGAGGTCGGTGAAAAGGGTGTGTTTCTGACTATCCTTTTTGTGACCCAATAATGTTTATGGCGTCCGTTCTATAGCCATTACTGTAAGTACTTCGGGATAGTAATGTATCGGCCAAAGGTAAATGATCTCTCAGCTCAGCGGTGCATCCTGCAGGGTTCTCCTTGGTGCTGCCATCGATTCCTACGTTTCCTGACACGTCTTTGGTGAGTAAGAGCATCCGGTCTCAGACTTCTTTCTTTCTAATGATACTATGTGACAGATCATGGGTCCTCAAGGCTTACTCGCAACCAAAGTGCGCATTCTTGTCACTAACGACATTCCGTATCTCAAGTGTTTCGATCAACTTGTTTACCTGCGCCGCGGTATGATCTTGGAGAGTGGCTCGTACAGTGAGTTGATGTCGAATCCGGATAGTGAAGTGTGCAAGCTTGTGTGCGTGTATTTCCATTCACGATGTTCAACGCAATCTAATTGAGTTATGACAGTCACGGCCATGCCACGAGCGGTTCCAATTCTGGAACGACCACACCCGGACGGTCCAGCGGCATGACCACTCCCACTACAAGCGAGGGCCACATGCAAGCTACCCTTGTTGGATAGCTTGAATCTGTATCAGAGAGTGTATCGCGTAGAGAAAGTTTCAAAAAAGCCGTTCTCGCTACGCCGCCCAAGCTGCGCGACGCGCCTTCCGATGGCATCACTAAAGATCACAGTGAACAGGGCCGCGTCAAGATGGAAGTGTACTCGCGGTACCTCCAAGCAGCATCGAGAAAAGGGTTCCTGTTCTTTGTAATCGCTACGGCTCTGCAGCAGGTGGTATCTGTCATATCGACCGTAATACTCAGGCTGGGGCTAGCATGACCGCGAGATGGGTACCAACCCGGGATTGGCTGACCAGTATTTCCTGGGATACGGTCTGTCTAATTTGATGGCAATTTCCTTAGGCGCATCTGCTGCGCTTCTGATTTGGGTTTTCTGCTTGCTTCGGAGCTCAAAGCACCCCCATGATTCGGTTAGTGTTGCGTTCCAAGTATGGACGGAATGTGTTTCATTTGTTTTTCAGATGCTGCATTCAGTCATGCGTGCGCCCCTCGACTTTTTTGAAACAACACCGACAGGACGGTGCGTCAAATTAGTAAACTGTGAAATGATTTCTGAGTTCGAACAATCTCTTGTCGCAGTATCATTGAACTTGTTTTCTCGTGATACGTACGTTATCGATCGAATCCTGGCATTGTTCGCAACCAGTTGTGCTACCTTCCTAGCCGGGGTGCGGACCGTGTGGTGCTGAACTGCCCGAACAGTTTGAGATAGGTTCGGATGCAGGTTCGGGGTAGTCAAACGAGTTTGAACCCGTTCAAGGAGAAGAAGGCTTTGAAGAATGCAGCCAAAGCAGCACGTAGGCCACCCGCGGCCATATGAACTCGCGGTAGCTGGAGGTGTCACAACCGCGCAAATTCTCCCTGGGAACGTAAATGATATCGGTTGGACTACGTGTATAAGTGATCACAAGGCTAGCCTCGATAACGAGATCTGAAACTGCATAACGATATTTTCCGGGTCGGCCGGACAGTTAAAGATAAGTAATTGATGATCAACGTTAAATGTTGGATATTTGGACAAACAATATTGTGGTTGCTGGATAAATGCTACGCTCTGTCGTACTTCCAGATTTCACAATATTAATGCATTTGTTATGATGACGGTCAATGATTAGTGTTGTTGGCAGAAGTTCCTGTACCCTAAAAGAGGGTACAGGTCTCCGACAAAAAATCTCCGTCGACTCGATCTTCACAACTCCACTCGGTCCGGTGCCTGCCTCCTTTTTTGGGACCACAAGGGTTTGTCAGCTTCAGGAGTCGTTTGTTCCCCTCTCTTCATCAGGTAACTGACCTGAAAATGATAATGTCATGGAAAGCTTTATCTGCACTAGCTTTTGCATAATATGTATCTTGTCGTGACAAAGCTTTAAATACCCGGACTAAGTGGGATAGAACCTGCCAAATTTACAATGGTGATAGTCACATTGCCAGCTCGTCGCAAAGATGGTACATATTACAACATCCACCAGCCGTGATAATGGAATATTGAGTTGCTGAGTGCCTCCATGGTCACCTATTTTAGTATCAGTGATAGTATGCTATAATTGTGCCATGTCCTGGTCATGGCATATAATCTCTGACAGGGTTTTCCTTCTCTGCAATATCTAAACGAATGTTAACATCAAGTAAAGCTTTATATCCCCGGACTATTTTGGATAAACATTACCAATGACCAAAATGTGTGGAGTGATTATAGTGCAATACCATATTGTCGCAACATGATTACCACATACAAGCTGTGCTTTATATTACAACCTTGACAAGATCTGTCTCGGTGCTGATATTAGATGTGGAGTTGTGACATTAGATTATGTTGCCCACATCTGTCAAGTACACCATGTAGGCAACAAACAGTAGCGCACTATCATCTTAGCCAATCATAACGAGATATGATTATGGCATGTAAGTTTAGCTCATGATTGTATTCTGTACATACTCTCTCTCAACGCCAGTAAAGGCTATAGTCTTCCAAGGTAAGACTGATTCAGATCGGGGCCACCTTTGGTTCAAGGTTGCCGAGCAACGATCACGCATTACCATCTACCAGCTAGCCGCCGAGATATGATTTTCACTTGCAAGGTGAGAGTGTCAATTTAATCCTGACAAGCTCTGGAAAAATGTTGGTGTTAGCTAATGGCTTCCAAGGATAGATTATTCTGAGTCGAAGCTGCATTGAGTTCAAGGTTGCGGAGTAATGGCCATGCATTACCATCCGCTAGCTGGACGTCAATGTATGATCATTACATGCAAGGTGAGAGGATCAATTTAATCTCAACAAGCTCTTAAAAATGGCAGCGTCAGCTAATGTCTTCGAAGTACAGACTGTCCTGGTCTGGACTGGCTTGTGTTCCAGGTCACGAAGTCATAACAATGTGTTACACTCCCTCAGCTGGTAGTTGAACTATGACAATTATATTCCATTTCAGTTGATGATTGCCTGAGCTTGAGAAAAACATAGACCGCAGTCTGAGTGAACCATTGGAATATCTTTAGCACGCTAGCCTGATTATATGAGTTAACGCAAAGTGGCATTAGGTTGTATTCGTATCACTACATAAGACATGTTTGTTGTCCGGAATAAAAACTATGACGAATTCGAATCTGTAGCTTGTTTGGCTGCAAGTCGTTTAAGCCAAATCTTCGATAGGACACTGTTAGCGCTGATAGGTCGCTTGGCGGCAGAGGAATTAGGGAAAACTTGGCTGGGTAGTATGCGGCAACATGAGTCCCGTCAAAATGATAAAGAGTAGGACACAATACCAATTCCACCATGTCAGCAGCTCATCGACTTCCGTAGACTCATTGGGGTCCTCGAAGAGATCAAGGAGGCTGTGGTAGAATGTCTCCAAATCTGTGGTTGTGTCGGTTCATGAAAACACTGAGGAAGAGCTTAGAGTGAATTGGACCTTCAGTATTACATTAAAAGAATTCGATCATAAAAGGCATGGCATTGACGAACCTGTGTTGCAATATAGGCCATCGATGCAATAGTGACTGAACTCATGCCATGGAGTCGAGCATTTCCGGATCACGTGGCTTTTGGCTCTTTGTTGACTGAACTTGGGGACGTGAAAATGTGCTTATAAGCCTGATAATGTACAATATATAGTAAAAGGTTGCACGAAAATACGTCCACTCACGCATACAAGTAAACGGCTCCTAAGAAGACCACACCATGGGTCATCAACGTCATAAGTATAATGGGCGTACAAAAGATGGGCCATTGATCCCCACAAACTGACATTTCACTGCTTCAGAGATTCTCTCTTGTCCTGTTGATGATGGAGCGTAAATTAATTAGTTGTCAGCTCCGCCAACGCAAGTAATTCAAATACTTACTCTGAGTCATTCCAATTCATCCCAGCGGGACAAAGCAGTGATCCTGTAAGTTCATGATTGAATCTGCGGTCAATTTTCGAGTTTCTATGTAGAGGAGGCTGGATTGCTGCTCCTTTGGGGGCAATCCAATCAAGAATTGCAGATTTTAATGTTTTCGTGTCGTCACCTCGGGCGCCTGCGGCTCCCTTACCGATCTATAAATTGTAAGCATGAACTCCGGCTACACAAAAAACGACGCACCAATTCTCCAATGTGAAGGATTTCCTCCTCAGATCTGTTTTGTAGTCGCTCTAAAAGTCCGGGATAAGAATCTAAAAGCTGCTCGAAAACATGATGTTCCCATCGCTCACTGCAAGACATGTCAGTTAAGAAGCAAGCAAACAGAGATGATATTGTTTTACTCAGCAGATAAGTCCTCTAGCGGGGTATCTTCCATTTGCTCCAATCTGAGGATACCGTTGTAACGAGACAACAATAGCTGAATACTACTCGAAGTAAGTAATCAGCAATATAATAATGTTGTGGTCTGCACATCCTAGTCTGCTATACTTGAAGACAAGTGTGTTCGACCCGAGGGGTTCGCTGTAAGGTATTAGAATGATTAGTTATACGAAAAGGAAGATAGTCCGAAGCGCGGGAAACAAAGTCCGAAGGTATAATTACGAGTCCGAAGGTAAAAACGTCGGGTCCGATGTTTTCGGGTTTCGGGTTAGCGGGTGTCGTCGGGTTACCTCGGATTAGCATCGGGAATGTAATGAATGTCGAGGATAGTGAATGGCGGGTTACTGTCAGTGTTTTCAGAGTGTATCGGATAATGAAAGGATGATATTTGCGGAATTCAGCGAAGAACTACGAATATCTAATGACCTCCTCCTACTCGGAGGTAGAAAGGTAAAATAAGTAAGTAGGAGGCATGTAAAATATATAGTGTCTATGTATAATTTCGGAGCGCTATAGGCGAAAGTAGTAGTGGTAATTTTCGGATCTGATGTCCTATGTAATAAGACATGTGGTACTGCGGACATGTAATAACACGGTCTACTGTGTTAGCGATGTGAAATCAGATAACTGCACACCTAGTGGGGATAGATACGACAGGACAGGACATAGGGAGGACAAGTGCGCGGGAAAATATCAGGTCCGATGCGCGGGAAACGTCGGACTACGTCAGATTAGCGGATAAACATCGGATTGAGCGGATAAGTGTCGGATAACATTGGGAAGTGATTCGAGTGTTTGACATGCATTGGGAATTAGCTGAATATGTGCTCAGCGCGAGCCTGAGTGCTACACTGTTCATAAGAAGAGAAGGATAATTGCACAACGCAAATACAGTTCGGCCAAAGTGCCACCCATGGGAGATAAGAGGATCAGATGTCGAACTGTAGGACAAGATGAGTCTGCAAACATGTGACCCACATTGGGGATAGCCTACGCTTTTTTGCATGGCCCCATCTGCAGGCTGACACAGTGCATTTAGTTGGAATGCTGGAAGTAGAATGCCGGATGGTCATGTGAGCTTGGCAGGAAGAAAAGGAAGTACATAATTCGTACATACTGGAACTCAGCTTTTATCCACAGCACCCAGCTACGTGAGATTCTAGGTGACTGGCGTACCTGATGGCCGCCAAATGATGGATGGCCGCCAAGCACTGGCCACCAAGCACTGGCCGCGGTGGTTGGGGGACAAGATAGCCGACTGAAATTACATTGATGGCTTACAAAAGCGCTGGCACATTGTCAAAAAGAATAAATATTGTGCAGCTTGCCATTAGACAATAACACCGCCCCCATTCAACCCAAAGATGCAACAATCTTTGAGTGAGAGTCAAACCCTCAATCTGTCTGGACATGTTATCAGCTTGAACCTCCGGTAACCCTAACAAACCACATCAAATATATTTTACTAATGGCATTTATTAGTATTGAATTAGTTGGCGATGCCAACCAAAGGGTCGAGCCTGTAGAACTTACTGGTGTAAGGTCTGTAAACCACCATCAATCATTCCCGAATCTCACTACAGAACAGAGGAGCAGATGTTGTTAAAAACCTGCCAGCAGTGGAAAACAACAAAGCTCCCCTCCTTCTCCCGAACCACGGCCTTGAAGCGGGCGAGGCAGAGTCCATAGCCAAGCTCAAGAAACAACTATAACATGCAGAATCGTCCTGCTCAAGACTGGAGGAACTATACCAAACATACAGATTACGTTGGCTAGAGGAATGTTACCGGGCCGGAATCTTGGAGAAATATGCTCCAAGTGGAATCAGTACATGCTCTCCTTGCCAAATTGAATGGAACACCCCTTCTCCCATCCAAAGTATGTCCTACACACGTTCTCTTGAAATAAACTGACTATGCACAGCCAACAGCGGTGACGACATCGAAGACTAGGGAGTCAACTCCAAAGTCGCATTGAAACAAGTAAAATCATTGTCACAGTGCAGGGAACACCCATCAGTTCTGTAGTGAAAAACCTTTGTGTATTGCAGTTACAATAGCATGCAGTAAAGTTTTGTGCCCCGAGCAGTTCACAGATCTGTCGTAGACTAATGTCGTGGAGCCTGCATGGTTGGTAGCCAATCACAAAAAAAAGAATAAGACGATTAATCACATCTATGTAAATCACTATAACTACCATTTAGGTCCTGACTTTAAGTGCGGATTGTGAGACGCAAGTATATATGCACCAATGCATTCCATTCCAAATCTGTGGTACTCGCAGAATATCCTCCGCATTGTTCCGACAAAGATATCACTGCGGCCATGCCCTAATCAGGTCTGGACCATAACTGGCAAACACCATTATAAGTAGAGAACCTACCACAACACTGATCGAAGCAAAGCATGAAATCACTAAGGGTGTGGATGGCTTAAAGTCGATCGAGACACCTGCCAAACATCCGAGGATGGAACCTGACATGCTGACAATAATTATATGAGCAATAGAAGTAGTGGAAATCACAATCTAATCACCTCAGGACACAAAAGCAAGTCGGTATGCTTGTAATGATGATGAGCATTATCACCCTCTTTCGTAATAAATATGCCTATTCAGTTGGCAATGTCAGACTCGAATTTAAGACATGTGAAAAGAATCTAACCGCGAAGTTGAAAGATCTCATTCTTTCACAAAAGTGCTGTACCATTGTACCCACGAAAATGCAACCGACACCTAAAAGGAAGGAGCAGGAGCACATCGTCTGAGCAATGGCTGTTGTGCCTAAGCCCAGAATGGCAAGGATGGCAATATCCAAGGCCATGGAGACACCTGCCTGTCAGAGTAGACTGAATGGAGGTTTTTTCATTCGCATTACAGATAAAGTACTTACTAGGATGATTTGGCTTTTGGTCTGACTGCTGAAATCATTGATAAATGTCTGTACTTCCACCCCATTGATGATACCATCGACAGAAGTACTCCTGATGCATTCGATAGTGATCAGCATACATAGCATTGTAGCTGCGATGTTGGCCATCCAAGACAGGAATTTGTACTTTCTAGGCCTCTCTCTCACTGTGTGCGTTCGAATAAGCCGAGCTTCAGGTTGATTATGTTGGTTCAGATACTGGTGGTGCCCTGTCTTGCAGGCTTGAACAATGAACGGGTGGTTTATGAGAAGGCGACATACCTAGCATATATAAAATTCTGCCGGTCATTGAAGAGATCAGTATTTGAACACTTGGTTTTGAAATGCTCACGCACAACAGAATACGATGCCGGTTTCTGGTATTAAGTCATGCTCTGCAAGCTCTTCTGTTTTTCTGTCACCGGAATGCTGTGGAGGACGAGACAAGGGCACATACCAATATTGGCCAGCTGTGTGATAATCAGACTCATGTCGTCCAAAGTCCAGAATATTGACGCGGCCGTGGATTGACTCAAAATTGTCGCTTCTGTTGTGTTGTTCAGATCATTCTGGACACCAATGGAACGGCATAGGACTTACCACCGAGATAGCAAATAACTTCTCTCCGTATGCCTCTCACTTTGGACGTTACCATTTTGAAGTGGTGGGGGAAGAACTCAAAGTGTCTCCTGCCGATCATTGAGAACCTGACGTGTTGTGAGATCCAACCGCTCACCAATATTGAGCTTCAAGTTCGAGTTCTACATAATCATAATCAAGCTCGGGTACAAGTACAAGCTATAGAGTAAAGGAAACGTACTCTTATGGCCCCATTCACTTGGCTTGATACACTCTCGAAAGAGAAGGATACCATTCAATTCTTCTAACCAGGCAATGGTGCGACAGTTGGGGACCACGTAGTAATATTGAAATCTTTGTTCTCCTAAGAACAGAGCCGGCTGAACAACCAGCACCCAGCTGTCTTCTTTCGCCGAGGCTCGTGATGCATCGACGAAATCATTGAGCATCTGTAGATATTGATAGTTCCTTAGGTTCGCCGATGTGTACACATTCTGATTTGAATGAAGTTAGTGCATGACTTCTACGAGCGATGCTCACCTTGTTATTATTGTGGTAGTATGTCCCACCTAACGGATGGACCAACTCTCACCAATCTCCAAAAATCACGGACCTGTTAATGGGGTTTAAAATGGTGACTGGCAGAAAGGGGGCAACCAACTGGGGCTCATGGATTGCTTTCCTAGGGACCGAAGTATCTTCAGGTGCATTGTTTGCACTACATGTGGAAAACATTAGTTCTCACTAAAATCCACAAAATCATCATGATTCATACTCACAGCGATACTGCTTCAGCGTACCAAGGCAGTTGTGTCAGCCAGATACCAATATCATGTTGAAACAGCCCCGCCACTGCCTGCGGTTGAGTTTTTGATATTGCCTGAAATATGGTGACAGCCTCAATACTGCAGGGCTTGAATCATGACTGAACATACTGACATAGGTTTTCTAACTTGCAAATTGCTGTGCCACAATGAGTTTCGGTGATGATGATGATGGTAGTACAAAGAGAAAATGATTACGTAATTCAATGAATCGCGCGCTGTTTGTAGTGAATGAGTATGGAGCACAAACAAGCACAAATAATTAAGATTGTGATCCTCTGAATCAAATATAGAATTCTCTCCATTCGGAATCAGTATGAAGTTCACCTGCAAGGAACCGTAAATATTGTTGCGAACTGATTAGGTAGTAATATCAAACAGAATTTAGACTACCCCTGTTCAACGCTGTACTTTGCCATACTATCATAAGTATGGCTGCACTCTACAGGGTATAGATACATCGATGCATGGTATAGTACATTTTAATAGTACTACTGTTGTATAGTTATTATGCAATTATATGTGCTATGCAAAAAAAAGATGCATAGCACTGTAACATGTGTAGTAGATCAGAGAAGTGCTATTAGTGCTACTAGTAGTAGATGATGCTTTGATGCAAGGTGGCATGGGGTATCGTAATCTGGGTGTTCCTAGTAGTGTGTAGCAAGTCTATCAATTCATCTCTAGTATACATTAGCGTTGTTTTGAGTGATCCAACGAAGCACTTACCCTTTGCATCACCAATCTCAAGCATTGGGCCATGCGAGCGAAGCCGTCAGCACACAGTTTCTTGATTTGCCCACATAGTGTTCGGCGCGGACAACTCGGTGTGGCGGCCACCTCAAGTCCTGAAGTTAGGCTCATATCAGCAATGCGGTGTAATGAGACAACAATTGCTGATCACTACACGAAGTAAGTAATCAGCAATATAAAAATGTTGTGGTCTTGCGTGGCCTAGTCTGCTATACTTGTAGACAAGTGCGTTCGACCTGAGGGGTTAGCTATCTGGTATTAGTCTGTAAATAGTGGAATGTCAAATGATCAAAAGTCCGAACGTGGGAAACAAAGTCTGAAGGTATAATCATGAGTCCGATGCCAAAGTGTCGGGTCCGATGTTTTTGGGTTAGCGGACTAGCGGGTTTCGGGTGTGGGTTCAGCGGATTATGGAGAATGGCGATAGCGAGTGTTGGGAAAGTGAGTGGTATGTGGAATATCGATAATGACTGGTGTTTTCGGATAGAAAGAGTGGTAATATTCGCAATGTCAACTAAGAACTACGAAATATCAGGTTTGACCACAAAGCATCGGGGAAATGGCTCCCTACTACTTGGATGATGAATAATGCTTGAGGTCAGTCCAATATATATGTAAGTACATAGAAATGCGGAACCCGTAGGCGAAAGTAGTGGCGGAGTATTTCGGATCTGAAGTACATGTAAATAAACATGAGGCGCTGCGGACTATGGGAAAACATGTAATAGCGCTGGCTACGATGTGAGTAATGTGCGAAATAATGAACTACGCACCTAGTGGGGCTAGCAAGACAGGACGGGACACGGATAGGACAAGTGCGCGGGAAAATATCAGGTCCGATGCGCGGGAAATGTCAGGTCCGCCAGTCAAAGCGTCAGGTCCGATGTCAAAGTGTCGGATTGAACAGGAAGTGATTATCGTGCAACGGGCATTAGACATGAATCGTGAATCAGCTGAATACGAGCCTAGCGCGAGCTCAAGTGCTACAGCGGTATTGAACACATACTGCATCTGCCTCCAACATTTGTAATTGCATCTGTTGAATGTTAGATTGTGCTATACTGCATGCATGCGATACTTACAAGTCTGTCGTCGCCGAGTTGAGGGCTGTAGATGACGCGAGACACTGTCTGGTTTAGCTAGTAGTAACGTGAATATGAAGTAGTAGATGCGGCAATCGGGAGATGTTGCCTCACCTGAGTACCAATGTTCCTTATTTGGCCTTATAGGTTGGAGTTGAGTGTGCATGCACGACGATTCAGTATCAATACCGCAAATCAAACACGGATAAATAAGTCAAGGTGATCCTTGTATTTACCACATCGACTCGCTTTGATTGAGTAATAGAATTCGTCAAGAGTACACCGAGAACCTGATCAATATTGCGTGATTTTGTAGAAACTACAGTGTCTTACAATGTTGGTGGTACAGATTGGTATAGAGAGGAAGCATATAAAGATACGTGCACTTGTTGAACATTGCGATGTGGCCTATCCAGTAGATGTATTGCCACATGAAGAAAGAGAAAACGCGCCCCAACTGTCCGGGATCTGGATTTGGACTGGGAAAAATGCAAAAAAAAACATTACCATGAGGCATTGGAATCGGAGCGGTCGTCAGTTGATTCGGCATTCATGTACTCCTTGTAGCGATGCACTTCCTCCGGTAGAAGCGGTGGGAGAGTTGGGCGTGGGGGTGAAGATAACTCTGCAATGGTGTTAGCATTTGAAGATGATGCAGTGATCAATGTAAGCCCACCACTATCAGAATAATTAGTTGCAGGGGCATTTTCAATGGCCAGTGCACAAGCTTCTGCCTCAGCTTGGGCCCAGCACAACTTTGTTGGTAAGAAGATTAGTTCCGACTAAGCATTGCAATGATGAGTATGGTAGCCATCGATGTCAAGGTATGATGCCATCAGTCTCGCCTGACTAGTTAGTTCCACTTTGCGTGCTTCATCGAAGGCCTCTTGGACACCAGTGGTGATCCATGTGCTCAGCAAACAAAAGGGAGGACCATTGAACTTCAAAGATACCGTAAGAGCAGCCAACAAGATAGGTGATAGTACTAACCTTTACAGAGAATGGTGTTCGTTGTTCTAGCGGTGTATAAGTGAATTGCTCAACAGCCGAAAGAGTAGAGCTGTTTGGGGGCGAGTTACTTTCGAAGATGGGGTCGATATTTTGTCTCCGTAATCAGGTTTCACACTTGTTTCACACAGCTGCTGAATAGGCCAATGCAGCTGGCGAATATGCCACAGCAGGTTTGACAATGCGTCTCGGAGTCACTGAGAACAAGGTGATGTTGTGCGTAACTGGGATTGGAATAGGGCACATTGCTAAATAGCAAACCATCAGACCATCAATTCGCTTGTTGATGTCAAAGTCTCTTATGCATGATCCAACGCTGCTCTAAGTGATCGATGGCCTGGCTGCACAAAGACACTTCCAGCTGACATCGGTCCCTCTTTCCCTCCATGAATTCTCGCTCTATAATCGCATGCCTCATACAACCCCCAGTAGTATTTCGCAATGACTCCTCCCTCTGCGCTTCTAACATCCGCTCCCCAACTATTTGCCAAATATTGCCAATATAAACTCAGCCTTTGAGCAAGAAGTACAGGAGATATAATTCAGTGTGGAGCTGTATAACAAACATTAGTAAGTCCAAGATGTGCAGAAAGACGCTGACTGACCTTCTCTGTTGGTATGAGTTTTATGAAGAAATCCAACCATCTAGGACTGGGTAGTACGTTGGAGAGTTCAAACATGCTGACCTGTGTAGCCGAGGAGTTGAACGGCAGAAGACACGAGGGAATCGACATCATAAATGATGGTTGAGAGTAATGAGAGTAGAATCAAAAGCATGGTTGGTCAAGACAACCTTACCAAGCTCTGAGCGCAGAGCTCCTGTGACCACCCTCGCCCAATCGCCTGCGCACAAGAACTGCATTGAAAACGCCGCCACAGTTCTCTTGAGGAAGGATTTGTCCCATCCAGATTCCAGATGCAGTCGAATGTCGTCCATGTGTGGAGAGGCAATAAGTTCTAAACGATTGCAAGGGAAGTTCTTCAGTAAGAGCCCCATGTAATAACTTTTTCCTTTAAATGTCAACCCAACTACTTTGCCATCATGGATTATGTCCAACACTTCATATTTGGAAGGCGAGATCACTCAAGCAGTGCTCGAGATCCCCGAGGCATTTCATAAGGAAAGTGCCTTACAGGAATTAATACCCCGACCATATCATTTAGTAGCTCCGTGGGGAAGACTTGGCCTATGTCACCATTATGTGGGCCATGCTTAATCTTCACCCAGGCTGGGCAGGAAAGTTTGGAGTGCGAACACTCCACCACTTCATGTTCTTCTTCTGTGATAAGAAGATAATCTTTGACGGCAGCCGTGTGGAGCCCCTTCAGTGACTTTACCCTATAGTGTAGGGCAGCCTGCCTTGACAATGCTCCCTATGTGTTAAGCCAACCCACCATGGGCCCACATTAGAATGTCAACCCAGGGTCAGGGGTGGGCCTGTGGATGTGTTGTACCCACCTGTTAGGGCTGGGCCCATACTAGGCTAGCCTCTATGCTCAGGAGTGGGCCCATGGGTGTAAGGATTAATAGTTGAGTATATTGAAGGGTGGGCCCACAGTGCAATGGAGAAGTAATGTCTCACCAATATCGGGTGGGCCCATGGTTGGATCGGGGAGTGGATGCCGGAAATTGGGTCGAGGACTGAACATTGGGAATACTTGTCGGTGATGATACATTCTTCACCAGCAAGTATCTACTAAGACACCGGTTAGACGGGTGGACATCGGGAATATGTACCGGCGACTGTTTATCAGCATCGGCGACCGTTCATTAGCATTGGCGGCTGTATCCCAAAAAAATAGGGTTGGAAAATGGGTATCGGGAATGCTTACCAGTTGTGGTACATTGGCATTGGCCAGTGTATCCTGGGATAATACAGAGTATGCTTGCCTGGGATAATCCCTCCATGGAATTCGATGGGGAGAATTCATCACCGACCATCCATGGCACCGATAATCAGGTTAATTTGGCATATGCTTCGGCAAATGTAATGCCGGTTCCGCCAGCGCAGCTGTGCAGCATCACAGTATCTTCAATTACGCCGCCGACAAGCCGAACACCATGTGCTTTCAAAACCCGAAGTCCTTATTGTAGTCTGAACGCCGAGGATGGTGAATAACAACGGCGCAATAATGCACTTCCTGGTGTGCATATAGTAGCCCCTCTGCTACTATGAACTTACAACACATCCATCACACAATGTGGACGCACAATGCTGGCACAGTATTTTAGCAGATTACCATGGGTGAGTGTTGCAGTAGGGCGGCAATATTATGACCTGGTGAGGTTGGCGTATACTATTCTGCTGCGGTGTTCATTAGCGGATATGCCGCCATTTATGCGGCGCAAGTGTGGCGCATTTGATTATCAGGCACATTCATGATAGCCAGGAACACCAATTGTTGCACTGGGTGTTGCAGTAATGCGGCAATGTTAGGACCAGGTGAGGTTATATACCATGCTGCGGCAATGTTCAATAGCGGATATGCCAGCATTGTTGCGGTGGATTTGATTATCACTGGCGGCAGAACATGCAGCAATGTTCTGAATGCCACCGCATCAATAGCTACAAGTACAAATTGTTCAACATCTACAAGTACAAATGATTTCTTAGCTACAAGTACAGTAATGGGTCCATGATGCTACCAACTATCATTCATGTGCGGTAGATGCAATTGAAGCTGAGTCTTCAAAATCGCGTTCCACAACAGCACCGGAATCTTGCAGCAGCTCCTCACCTGAGTCTCCACTATTGAGGGGCGACTCATCCTCAGGCAGAGCGGTAGCAGCGGCAGCCAGCGTCTCTGCGGCATCTGTCCTTATGACAACAGGAAGAATCTCCGCTGCCGTGGACTCAGCATCGGAGTTCAACTCGCGCTGCAGTGCGGCCACCTGGTCGGCCAGCAGCTGGGCATTGGCCTCCTGCTCAGCAAGGTGCCAGTTGACCTCCTGGAGCAGCTGCTCGCCAGTACTCACCCTGTCCACTAAAGAGGCCACCATTGTTTGCAGCACTGCCAGATCCTCCTTGAGCGCCAGAACTGTCTGGCTGTCTGGCGCAGGAACATGCGCAGTGGCAGGAGCGGCGGTGGGGGAAAGGACGGTGGTGGTGGTGGCGGCGACATCGCCTGAGGAAGCGGCTTGATCTACAAGTCAGTATAATAGTAGCATTTAACTGTATAGAGAACCTACCATCTGGGACGGTGGTGACATTGACCGTGGAAGCCTTGCAGCGTGACTTAGACCTAGTGTGATTAGCAGCAGGTCTCCTGCTTGTTGCAGGGGTGGCAGATCCTTTACCGCCACACTTGTGTTTAGTGCGGTGGCAGCGTGCGCACACCGTGAGTGGGTCATGGCTAGTGTTGTAGCCTTGGCAGCAAATCAGCTGCCGTTGCACACAGCTGCTGCAGCCAGGCGACCAGACCGGCGAGGTGGAGTTGGCGTAGTCGTCCTCTTGAAGTCCACTGACTGGATTGGCAGCCTTGCCGCAATCCTTTGGGGCAGGCTGTATAAAATTAAATGCCGATAATAATGAGAAACAAAAAGACTTACTGGGATCTCAACATATGGCGCCCCCATCTTTGGCGCTGGACCAACAATCAATTGCTCCTCATCCAGCTCATCAATCTCCACATAGCTGGGTTCTGTGGCAGAGACAGGGTTGGAACAGATTCCCTTGTCCGCTTGAGGACACCTTTGATAGGCTGGTGGGAGGTCAGAAAAGTTCAATAAAAGAAAAAAACAACTCACCTTGACTGGTGCCGGTGCTGGCTCAGGCGCCGCCACTGCCGCATCGTCCAATTCCATGTCATCATTGCTGGTGATGATGGCCTTGGATTTGGCGCCTTGGCGCTTAGCCTTTGGAGTGCTGCTTTGGCTCCTTGTGCTCATGGCACGGGGTCGAGCACGTTTGCCGCGCTCCAGTTGGCGGCCACGGTCATCTTCAGAATCCTCTTCCGGCACCGCTTTCTTGCCGACATGGCAAACATCTTTGAGTTCGCCGCATCCCGATTGCTGGCCATACGGATGACGCTTAACACAAGCAACCTTGTCACATCGTCCAAAGTCCGATACATCGTGACTAGGTATCTGATGTGGGAAGGAGATGTATGTTCTTTCTCTGGACACTGATATAATATTATACTGATCACTGACCACACAGGTGTTTATTTCACCTTGGGTCAACTATTGTGAAGGCATGGGCATCAGCCCGCCGCTTTCCAGAAACCTTCAGTTCTTTGTCGGCATGCTCGGCATGAGCCAGACGGAGCTCCTGAACTACCAGGAGTTCTATGATGCATTCATGAAGCTGCCGGCGGTGCATTCCGGCGCTTGGGTAACCGGCCGCACCGTCAGAACATATCCAATGGCATGGTGGAACAAAGCCTTCGACACCGCCGACTACAAGACTTTCACCACCACCCTCCCCAACTTCGATGACATCAAGGCAATGGTGAATTCCCACTTTGAACAATTGGTGAGTTTTGTTTCTCCTCATCATCACATAATCTGACATTTCAATGCAGCCAGAGAGCCGCTTGCTTGTGATGCCGGCGACATTGGTAGACTCATGGTCAACACTGGTTGCACAGCAGTTGGCTAACATCCACGCTGGCATCAAGCAAAAAGGAGACCAAATTATTACATTGTTGGAGAACAAGGTTGTTGAAGTGTGGCTAGTTGCGGCGTCATTGTTGAGGATGGAGACTGCATTGGGTCAGGATGTGCGCGCCGCCATCGCCGCAACAGAGTGGTTGGTGAAGTACTTGAAGAAGGAGGGAGAGTAAGCCATGTATAGTTAGTATGCAGTTGTAATGGGACTACTAAGCGCCCCCAATAATTATTTAAGTGAAATCCGTCTTTATGATGGAATTTAACAACACAGGCTGGCGACAGTCCTACATTGCAGCGGTGGCAAGAGTGTGGCGGTGACAAGAGTGCGGTTGTAACAGGAGTGCGGCGGTGGCTAGAGTGCGGCGGTGGACATACAGCGCAGCATTACAACGCACAATCATTTAGAATCATACACACACAGTAGCAGTTATTCTACCTCTGGAAAGATCGCCCTTCTGTTGGCAGGATCCCTTGCTTTGTTAAATGCATTCATGGCATCCTAACATAAACATTGATACATTTTGCACTGCTGCGCCGCATAGGCAAGGTGTCCAACCTTGTTCTTGGTGAGGTCGCCCAACCGTATCCACTCCTCTGCTTTATGCATAAAGAAATCGCATGTCCAATTCATCTCATGCTGCACTAGGAGGTGCTCTTCTTCCCACTGGTCTTTTAATGCCTTGGCACGAAGCCAGTGCACACGGTAAACTGTTGATAATGTTGGCGCCGCGCATCCAATGAGCAGAATTAACTCACATTCATTGAGCCAATCACTGTTACGAGAGTCCCCCTCCACATCCATTGACCAGAACCAGGCCAGTGTGTTGTTTCTCTGTCCTCGTGCATTTGGGTCAGCTATGGCCGTGCTAACCTTGAGATGCTCCTTGACCAGCGGGCAATATCTCTCCAGTAATTGATCGTCGGCGCCGAGGTTAGCCAGCTGTGTGCGGCACTTTGAGTAAATGCTTGCATTGATACTCACCGCCCGGTCCACCAAATGAACTTGAGCCCATGCTCTGGTAGACATGGCTTGAGACTTTGCTGTTCTGACAGTGGTCCTAAAAATGACGGCCTTGTCTGCCAAGTGCACTCTGATATTGTGCAGGGCATCATTGGCCTGTCCCTCCCGAAGTGCCAGTTCATGTTGAATCAGCTCTGCGGCGCCAAGTTCAGCGCACCTTTCTGGCCCAAGGATGGATGGCATAGGCAAGACCAACTTTTCAGGCTCGAATAGTCTGAATTCGTCTGCCGTCTCATCGATTTGGTCTTCATCAAGCATGAGCAGCTTGTTCTCTACCACCTGGATGTCGCTGTCTCCTATCCCATCGCCGACGAACCTGAGTCCCTGTGCCAACCACCGATCAATGTCTCCCTGGAGGTCTCTCTCTTCAGCGAGCAATATCCAACCGCTGGCTTTTGGTTGGATGCCGCCCCAATCTCCTGAGATCCATTAGAAGTGTCAGCTGTACCTCCTCAATTGACAGGCCCTCTGCCAGCCATGTCGCCGCTCCTCGCTGCCGCGCCGGACCAGGACACCGACCATTGGCCTCCAACAACTGCAGTTCCTGCTCCTTTTGTGTCGGCGCTAGCTGACAGTCAGTATATATCTCCATTTAAATATTGTCAAATACCTCTGCGAAGTTGGACCTCATATATGTCCATGGCCTTTGGATTAACGGTGCGGTGTTCCTGTGCAACTCTGTCCTGTTCTTCCCACTCTATCACTTTTGCTGCATTGGCGCTTTCATTTAGCTTCTGGAACGCGGCGGCGCTCTCAGCGACTCCTTTCACAGCTTGCCTGAATTTTCGGCAAAGGGCCTTGCCTGCAGCAGTGTGTGGGTGAGTGCATTAAAATCATGTCAGATATAAGACACCCACTCATCCTAATCATCTTCATGAAATTGCAGTTGTTCATTTGATAGTCCAAGCACTCTTTCCGGTGCGGTGTCCCCATTCCCCTCACCAAAGGAGAGATGATATTCAACGGCACCCACAATGTCTCCATGATCTCGCCGTCAATTCGTGCAGCGCCAGTGATGAAATTAGAGGCATATCGTACATAGCAGCTGTCTTGGTGGCCATACACATGCCAGAGACCTATTCCCAGCATGATCTCCAGTGCCTGGTCAAGCTCTAAGAATGGGCTCTCTGATACCCGATCCCTGAGATATTTGTGATACTGGCAATTAATATCATAGAATGTCAGTGCACGCCGAATGCCGTTGGCGTTGTGTTTCAATGCCTCGCACAAAGCATAGTCCATGTGTATCTGCCTGGTCTTTGTTGGGGAGTGTCTCAACGATGAGGTAAATGTGCATACCTTTCTCCCTTCTGAAAATCGACCATTGCATGTGGAACGAAGCAACCATGCCTTGCACAAGCACACCCGCCGATGCCGGTTGCTTCTAGCCTGTGCCAGGTTGCATTTGCTTGATTCACGGCACAATGATTGTTGCATTCGGACCGTTGAACGGCATCATTTGCCTGTGCGAGATGTGCCTTGTAGGCGCCATCGCCGACCATCCATCAGGGAGACTTCATCCATGGGATTCGCCGCATACAGGTGCTCTGCTTTGAAGTTGCCATCCATGACCAGGGATCTGGAATACAGCCAACTGGGCTTTGGCAGTTCAGATTCGGAGTTGGTTTCCTCTTGCTCATCTTCAGGGGGCAATGTCACATTGATGCCTGGCTGCGGACATGCTGGACAGAAGAGAGCAAGATCTCCAGGTTTCCTATCTTTGGACTTATGGCCGAAGCCATTCCATTTTAACAGCTGGAGCTGCTGCCACTGCCTAGCCACCCTCATTAGCTCGTGGTAACGGTCCTGCCGATAAATTAACATGCCGCCACCTCACAAAGAATGGGCTCACCGGCACAAGATGAGGAAAGACAGATGTGGTCATCCTCCTCAGCTTATTATAATAATTCATTGCTGACGTCCCACACTCCAAGTTGTCCAGCAAAAAGTTGTCAAGGACCTGAAATGTGAAGGCAGTCTTAGCTATATCCGGAAATATGAACCATGATATATCATTCATCCTGCTTTGATTAGCCCTCAAACCCCTCAGTTTCAATAGGATTATGTCAGGCCTATATCTCAGTCATATGTACTTGTAGAACAAGCAGCCAGTGTTGCACAAGGAGAAGCAATACAGGTCTATATGCAGGTGGATCATGTAGCTAGATGTACATAATATGAACATCCAAAGGCACCGAAGGAGCCGAGGAGGGATCTGGAACCGACAATTTTCAACTCTCCGACCATCCATTTCATCTACTGTATAGTAACATGTCCAGGAGTGCATCCCCTGCCATCATGCCCCAGCAGACCAAGCTTCCCTTGATCAAGGCAGAAATTGCAGTCCTCCAGGCCCACCTAGAGGACTGGAGGTCTGTCAAAGGTAAAGATCGGCACCAGGTTTTGAAGGCTGTACACAAGGAAGCTTGCCTTCAAGCTCCCACTCGGGACAAAGCCTTATTGAAAGCTCGAAAAAAGGTATGAACCAATGTATGATATATCTGTTTGCTGGCTATTTATTTATTACAACAGACTTACAAGGAGTGGTTGTACAACCAATGTTGTAGGAAAGCCCCCAAGCCTCTCATCAAATATGGCAAGAAATGGACAGCTCACCGTGTGTTAATTGAGCAGAACAAGGCTCGTATTCAGGAGGAGACTGGAGAGATGCCTGGGAGTGAGGCTATGATTGTCAAGTGGCCAGAGGCCACCAAGACTGTCCTCGCCGGTCTTTCAGCTGAAGAGAAGGAAGAGGCAAATGTTCTTGCAGATAAGTGGAACAATAAAGCTGCTCTGGCTGAAGTCCAGGCCAATGTTGCTGAAACAAAAGGTGCTGATATCATACAGCATTTCACCACTGAAATATTCAAACAGGCCGGGATGAGGGTCTTTGTGATGTCGGCATGGTGGGACAGCAGAGGCAAATTGATGTTAGGAGCATGAGTGTTGTCACCGGCTCTTGTTGATCAGAGGTCTAATATCTGATCAGACATGACCACAATGATCAATTTGGGGGAGCGGAAAGCTTCATAAAGACAAGGAATTGGGATGAGATATTCATGCTGGAATGGAGGCAATATGCTGCAGAACAATTCGGTGAGATGCCCTGCTTTCGGTCCTCATCATTGTCCTAACAATTAGCAATGATTAGATGTCCAGGATGATGATGTTCCACAGGTCGTCACCTCAAAGAAATGAATGCCTAGAAAGCTCCTTGACCTAGAGGAAGATGATGATGGGTTGCCTATGCTCCCAGATACCATGGGTTTGAAACGAGGCGAACAGCAGCATATCATTCGGTTGTTCTTGACCAGGCACTACAGTTGGTGGATGTCTCATTCACAGCATTGACCGGTCTGAAGGTTTAACAGGGATGTGCATGGGAACCAACAAAGTCAAGGCGGCGCTGCCTTGGGGTGAATTGATTAAGAATCAATCAAATTTCTTCAATGGCACTTACTGGCCAGCGGACTTACAGGTGGTGGAACCATCTAAGATAGACAAATCTAGTGCTACTGCTCTGTTGGATTTCTGGTATGATTGGCAGAAAAAGAAGCTCCGTCCCACCTTCTGTTTCAAAGCTTGGAGAGACACTGATGGTAATATGGAGCTGGTGGCGAAGTCTTATCAAAAAGTCATCCGCCAGGTGAGCCGCCGCCACAACAAGGCCAATGATGTCCCCAGTGAGGAAAGCTTGGATGAAAGGGAGGACCATCAGTCAGTCTTTAATAATGGAGAGGAAGCATCAATGTCCAACAATGCCAGGGAACAAACACCGCCGGGATCGGTATGTGCTTCCCGAAATCTGTAATGGAATGCTGACACGCTGCTGCCTTGTTACCGGTCAGATAATACATTCCTCCACCAACTCAGCAGGGGCAAGGCATACAAAGGCCCTTGTTACTGTGGATAAGCTGCCTGCTTTAAGGGCTGCAAAGGCCACAAAGGCCGGAAAGGAATGTCTATCATTTGTGCCTACCACACGTTCAGGAAAGCGGCACGCCGCCACGCCGATCAGTGACACACCGGCCGAGAGAACCCAGAGCAAGGTGGCTATAGTTGAAGCTCCAAAGCCAAGAAGGGGCAGGAAATGATCCTGAGCATCAGTAATATAGTAATAACTGTAGTGTATGACAACTGTCCACTACTGCTGTATATGATGATTCTATCATATCACCAGTGCTGCAGTGACATAGCAAGATGGCGCCGCCGCCGCTGCCTACCATTCATGTATGGAAGGATATATCCATGTCCAATTGGCGGAGCAACCACAAACAAACTCATTGCTATTGTACATGAAAACTGGTATAGCCAAACCTGACATCTAACTACTGCCCGGTTCCTACACCTGACACCGTCCACTCATATCTATATATTGCCAGGTTCATTGCCTACACCTGACGGCGCCCCACCCTTGGTGTTGCCGTGTGTGCGGGTGCTGCCAGCGATGGTGCTAACAGATGGGCCGGCAGATGGACCATCCAACATGGAGCCACTGGAGATGTTGCCAACCGATGATGGCAGGTTAGAATACAAGCCTTCCATGGCCTGCATTTGACCCATGCTGACAGGAACCATGCTTTGACCGCCGCCATACATTGGGTTGGCAAGATACAAGGAGTTTGTGAAAGGGGATGATGAATTCGGTGGACCGGTAAGACGTTGACGGATGGCGTTGTAGGCATCCTGAAGGACGGCGGTGGTACGTTCTTGTTGCCCTAACCGGTGGTGAGCACATTGAAGGTGCTGATCTCTGGTGGCTGATTTCTCTTGCAATGTCTTGACTTGATCTTGTAACGCTGTTACCTCTGCCTGAAGGCGGTGCAAGTCAAGGAGGGCGGCATCCTGAGCGGTGATCCTGACCTGCAGTGCATTCAACTGCTCTGTTGCGGTGGTATTCTCGGCCGTAAGCTGAGCAATGTTAGTCCGGAGGGTGTCGGCAATCTCCTGAAGTGTCGCATTCCTGGCACTCAAATTTGCCAAGTCTTGCATCACCTCCAATGTCATTCCCTCCAACACTTTCGTGAGCCCATCGTGAGAATCGTCCACGTCCATCTGAGGATGCTGTATCAAGGGCGCCGATTGAGCAGCAGGCGGTGGTGCCTCACCCTCTGGGGACAAGGTTGTGATTGGCGGCACAGAGGTGGCCGGCAATGGCAATGCGGCGGCTGTGACGGAGGCGGCATCATCATCAGACACCAGCATATCTGAGGCAAGTCAGCGAAATGGTAACATCAACATTGTAAAATCACCTTCTGCCATCCGCCGGCGGCTTGAGCGGGATCATGTTTGGCCTTGTTCACCAAGGTCGGCTTTGGCATGAGAACATTTAAGTTTCTGCCGGGAGCAACGGCCACAAGCTCGAAGTTTGGCGCCTGTGGTGCCATATCCTTCACGGCAAATGAAGTGCCTAGTGACATGAGATAAATAGATCACATTGGAAATGACATGAATCACGTACGATTTCATGCAACCATCACATGGTGGAACCAGCTCAGGACATTCAGTGTCCTGCTGGATGTTAGCAAATCTTTAATTATATGCCGACGGACTCACTGTGGTGATATCGTCCTTCGGTGCATTGTCCTTCAGCGACACTGACTCTTGAGTGACTTTGGGCCGTTTTGATGTCTTGGTCTATAAGGCAAAAATGAATATACACTATGAATTCATAAGCGCAAGTACTTTACCTGCATTGCAGTCGAGTCGGCAAGATGGTGTTGTGGTGTGCCGCCTGGAATAGGCGGCGAACTGGTATTTGACCCTTTCCTTCTCTTCTGAACTCGAGTTGGCCGACCTCGATTGACCTCAACAGCTTCTTCCTCATTCCCTGGAGCAACTAAAGCCTTCCCTTTACCTTTCTGGGAGGAGGTATATGCCAGCGGTGAATTCCCTTGGGTAGGGCCTGTGTCACTTCCCTTCAACTCCTTCGACTCATGCACCGCTTTCTTCGGCATTGGCTTCGGCTTCGGCTTCACCTTGACCGGCGCCGGTGCGCTGGAAATGCCGGCGGATGTTTTCGCCGCCGCCGCCGGCCTGGCAACGGTGATGCTGTGGGCCTTCTCCTTCAATGGATGTTGCTGGATTCGGGGATTGTCAGTTCGGATCCTAGCCCATACAGGAGCACTGGCAAAAGATTGCTGCGCCACATCCAGGTGCTCCAGCATCTCCATGGCTGCTGAAAGCAGGATCAGTGGGATGGTTGTCGCCGACATACCATGGCTCTTGAATACCAGGGACTACTTGCAGTCAACACATCACCCTGCCCTACTATTGAAAGACTACTCACCATCAGATCTCCAATTTCCACAGCCAATTTCAGGTGATCGGGATGACCATCCCTCAACTTTGCCACCTTCTGTACAATTTTCATAAGCTGCTCAGCAGCATCGCCCATGGCAGTGTTGGAAAATTCAGTGTTGGGCATGGTGTGGAAAATATCTGCAAGATGGGAGATGAGGGCACTGATTCTGTATCTATACGAAGCAATGAAAATTTGAAGTCAGTCACTTCTCAGCACCGAACACGCGGCAAGGAATTGTTTGAGAATCACATGTTCCAGGTTTCGCCGGCAAGACGATCCATTGTTCCATTGCCACACTTTTGCCACAATTTCAACTTCCGCGATCCACAACCAGATCTAATATATAATCAGTTGAATAGAACCGTCCAATTCTCCATCATTCTCAAACATCACATGTCCCATCCTTTCAATCGCCCTTACCCAGGCAAAGTCCGATTTGAAACACCAATGGAAACCGACGAATCTGCCTACAGCAGTGAAGCTGGAACACCTCCGGTCAATGTCAGTGGCCCTCGTGAGTTGATCTTTCCAACTTCGGTGATAGACCATCCTAACTCCCAATCAGGTTTCAATTTAGGAATGTCTCTCCCTGCGACACAGCCACCACTGGCGCTGAGGTTTAACTTTGGCATGGATCTCGACATGCCCGCAGTGCGATCTGCCACACCTCCCACGCCGAGGTTCAACATTGGCATGAACTTGAGCATTCCTGGCGCCGTACCGCCTTCATCACCGCCGCCGCCCACCCAGCAACCATTCAACCTGGGGTTCACCCTTCCTCAGCCCGCACAGCAGCCAGCCCCCAGGCTGTTCAACCTGGGCTTCAATCTTGCAGTCCCTTCCAAGGCTACGCCACCGCCAACCACATCTTCCCAGCTATTCAACTTTGGCTTCAATCTCCCTCATGCCACCCCTCTGGCAACAAGCTCTGGACAGGTGCCGGCCCAGGAAGATACCTTGAGGCATACCCTGCCTCAGCCCACACAGCAGCCAGCCCCAAAGCTGTTCAACCTGGGCTTCAATCTTTCGGTCCAGTCAAAGGGTACACTGCCACCGACCACATCTTCCCAGCCTTTCAACTTTGGCTTCAACCTCCCCCATGCCACCCCACCGCCAACAAACTCTGAACCGGTGCCGGACCAGGCAGAAACCTTAAGGCATGTGGGTTATGACATCAACAATAGATGTAAGTGACATAATCTCCTCCTAGTCAGTATTGACCATTCTTTACAGCATTCCAGTTCAGATGTGAGCCTCCCTCCCTGATTGGGGAGTGGCAACCAGAGCTCATTAAAGTACCGCAACCTACCCCTCCTGTTGCTTCCTCGCCGCCTGCTATCGCAGATGTGGGACCAGGACCATCCATGCCTCATGGATCCTCGCCGCCTGCTATCGAAGATGCTGCACCAGGGCCATCCATGCCTCGTGCATTGCCCCTCACTGGCAAGCATCTGGAACGGCCCACTGTGGGATCTTTGGTAGGTGATGCTGAACGTGCGGCAATCAATAATCTGAGGCGCCTTGGAGGAGAAGAATGTAAGTATTCTATTGAGACAGCACGGCACATGCTGACATGTCACTTAGTTGATCATCTGGCACAGATGATGGTCGGCGCCGCCTTGGGTCCGGGGGATGATGTCCGGGATCCCAACCCTGATGAAGTCTTGCAGAGCAATAAAGTGATGCTCTTGGCATTCTTTGAAACCAGAGACCGGCTAACTAGGATCTTCAAAGATCTGATTAGCCTGCATCACCTTGCAAAGGTGCATGAACGGGTTCTTCCTGTGAATCCTTGTTACATGAAGTTGACTGGGCAGAGGCTGAGTCCGGCGAAGAATTGTAGTTAATACTTGTAATGTCCACCTCCCTTTGAATGTACAATACCATGCTTGATTAAACACCTGCTACTCTGCTTTGGCTTCCGCAGACGCCTTTTCTTTTGAATATAGGCTCTGAAAATATACTGTTGGGCTCAACTGTTGTCTGCAGTGTAGATGTGTATCGGCGGCGGATGATTCAGGGTGACCAGCCACACCATATACACTCATTGCGGCGGTGCTTGCACCGACACCTTTCTTCCGGTGACCACTGGCTCGGTAAAACTGCGGCGCAGGCATCCACTACTCATATTAGGTCTCTCCCGGCGACAGATGTGCATTGATTTCAGTGGTGCCTGCACTGACCGCCTCTGCCCATATAGTCAGCCTGGTGTACAGATTTAAATACAACTGCTATTCTTATTGAGCATCAGTGACTAGTGACCTGTACTTAGAATAGTCCGCTCGTGGGATATCCACAAACTCATGAACATCATCTCTCATGTACAAGACCCAGGCTGTTCGGTCGCCGTCTGCCATATCCAATCCATGTCTCATAATTCGTCCTGATCCGGCGACCATAGAACCTGCCGGGTAGACACTTTCAATGCCTAAATTTGGCATCTTCATCCTTGCTACTCCATAATTGCCGAAGGTGGTCATGACATCAAACCATTGGGGACGTGACAGCGGATCATGGTGCATTGGCGAACGCCGGTTGCACACGATAGCGAGTGCGGTGAATACGGATGCCCACTCTCTGAGATAATCTCCCATTTCATCCAATTTATTGTCAGCTGCCCAAAGACCCAAGGCTAGCTTCATTGCCAATGATGACCAATAGAGGTTAGGATGCATGACTCTCAATGCAGCGGTGATAAGTGCTGCTGGTCTCTGCATTGCCTGACAGAAAGACCATCCATCAAACAGTTTAAGAGTTGCTGAGACATGCAGATGAAATTTTGGTGCCTATGAGAGTAAAAATGGATGCCACTAATTATGAGGTGTGACTCACCGGGTGACCTTGCAAAAACCATGCTGGGGACAGATTGATACATCCCGGAGTACCGCCGCATTGACTGGGATAAAAGTTTGAAGAATGGGTCCTCCATTGATTATTCGTGGCGGCACCACTTGTCACACTTCTAGCCAGTGGAACCGACATTATTGCAGTAGCCGCCGCCATGTCATCCTAACACGGTCAATATAAAGATTTGGCAATGAAGGACAGCTTACTTGTATCGCCAGATCAATTGCGCCCGGAAGATACCAGAGGACGATGATACCGAACTTGTCACACACAACTGTCGGCCAATCAAGATGGATCTGGCTGTCAGGTGGATACCGGGAAAGAAGGCTGTCTTCGCGAGCAGGATTGATGCCTTTTTCCATCATCTGCAGAACATCTGCATACCTGGCTACATCGAAGTTGATAGTAACTAATATTGATGGGATTAAAGATCACATAAGGCGCCGCCAAAAGAATCATACCAGGGTTCCGATAGGCATCGGCGAGGGTACTAGCCAGTTTTGAGCATGCCGCGAGCATGACAAAATCTAGTTCGAGTGGAGGTATAGCATTGGGCCGTCCGCCAATCAGTGCAAGAAACTGGCGAGAGACATATTCACTAGCAATATGGGTTGTGGCCAAGGCCCAGTCAGGAGGAATATGAATCATGGCTTCCAGATAACGCACTAGGCATTGTAATTATATATGTCTGGCGGCACACCGGTTACATAAAATACACGAAGAGTGACTGCCATATCGACTAACAACATTGATAACATGAGGATCGACGTAAGGAGGCATGCATACTGCACATTGTGTTGACCTAATTCCCCATATGTAATGAAATTGGCGAAATGTGAAGGGGACCGGTGGTCATCCTGTAGATGCATGCACCGCATGTTTGCCGAGCCAGTGTTCGACAAGGTCACGGCGCAAGCACCGCCGCAATTAGTGTCCGGTGTCACCGGCAACTTTATATTTGTAAATTTGCAGAGCCGGTATTGAACAAAAAAACAGTGTCTGCGGCCAAAGCAGAGTAGCAGCTGTTTAACACCATTTCCTTAACATACCTCACCAGGTGATTCCTCGCCACATATTCATGCATGGGTCAGCCGCCGCCGGTGACAATGCATACCCTCCAGTATTATGTTCAGCGGTGCCACAGGCCTTGTACTATGTCACCGGCATGCATGCATAGTGAGGTATTCTATGGAAGCATGGGGCAATCACCCTGCAACATTAGTTTCGGCAGTGCCGCAGCTGCGGCCCCTGTGGATCCCGAAATATGCAAAACTGTCGGCAAGTGTATATGGGCCCACCCCTCACCATCGAGTAGAACCTACCAGACATAGCCTATGCATCATAATACCACTATCCTATATATTTTTGTATTCCATAATGTATATACAGTAGGCCCACCCTTGAGCCTCAGTTATTTTTAGCCTCTGGCCCACCCGCCATACTGGGGTACAATCCCATATGTGGGCCCATCCCTTAGGTCAGGCTTACATTGTAATGTGGGCCCATGGTGGGTTGGCCCGAGGTTTAGGGAGCATTGTCAACATGGGCTGTCCTATAGGTAGGGAGATATGTCACTGCATTATGTGATTACATCTTATCAGACCGAGCGGTGCTACGATCACATGAGACTCTTCAACACATTCAAGGCATGCCCACACGAGTCGACAACAGATCCAATCGACATTAAGCGGGTGGTCCCCAACTATCGCCACGCTTGGTGGAAGTACCGGTTTGACCTTGTGTCATTTGACATGCCTCTTCGCATGTCAGTTGCGCAAGTGAAGGAGCTGGTGGCCGAGCACTTTATTCAGCGGGTGAGTGATTGTTTGTAGAGTATGACGACATTGGTATTCTGATCACATACATTCATCAGCCTAAAATGGCCAGTATGGTGTCGAGACCGATTATTCACACCCACTGTGATGACCTGCTCTTGCAACAGCTGATGGTCCTCTGGACCCAAGTCGCCCGACTTGGTATGGAATTGAGCCGAGTCCTTGTTGCTAAGCTGGATGCCACGGATGAGGCGGTGGCTGCATTGAATCGTCTAGAGGATCCTGTGGATGAGCTTCGTGAGGCGATGGCGGCCTCCCACGTGGCAGTTGCGGTGTTGCAAGCAGATTACAAGAAAGGCCGGCTAGGAGCATCTCCATCCGTCGAACCATTTCCCCATCTGGAACCACTTCCGTGTTGATGTTATGTACAGTCGTCGAGGAAGGGCTTCTCTATTCGTACATTTAGTGTAGCGTCTCTCATTCATATGTAAATAATCTGCCAACCATGATCCCATCGGGTTATATGAGAAACATATGGTTTCAATCAATTACGTTCATAAAGTTGCATTTCGGCCCACTTTCTTATGCAATGAAGATGGCCGCCGGATGGCCAATTGCATTTAAGATGCACGTTGTCTTGAACATGGCCTGTGACTTTCTCTTTGCATCATGGTATCACATGAGTACTGGGAATCCTACCATGAACAGCTTGGTGCCCTTGACCTCGACTGGCATCCAACATCATTTATCCCCCGGGATTGGGCTCTAAATGTATCCGACATAGCAAGCGAATGGGTTGAGCAACAATTTGCAGCTCATATCGCGGGAAGACCGCTAGTGCCTGCGCCGCCCGAACTTGACCTGGAAACCATGGTTGTTTGCGGACAGTTGGCCTTGGTGCTGGCAGAGGCATATCAACATCCTAGTAAGTTGAACCATGCATGTTTGGTGTTAACTGATGGTAATGTTTGCAGTAAAACTGGACATTGATGTTATCCGGTACAACGAGGCATTGGCCAAATGGGAGTCGGGACTAAATGATTCACACGAGGAAGCTTTACTGGCGAAGTTCCCCCCCGCTAAGCGCCTGGTATTGGATCGCCCGTCTGTTGTGATCAATTCTGGTTACTGGATAATTCTCTGGTACCTCCCGGGTGCGCTACACTGGTCTTTGCAGGTCGGTACAGGATTACGTTGGAACTGTACGATACTGATCAGGAGGAGGCAGCGTGACATGTACAACGCCACCATCAGAATGGGTAACCTATTGAAGCAGAGCATCACCACTGGGAAGACATCTACGGGACAGTCAAGTAAATGGAGGACTCACTCATCCAATTTCTATGCTGCCCAAGAGCCACAGTTAAATCCCGGGTGCATCAATATATCGCCGTGCTGGTTTCAGCAGGGGCATGAGGTCAGTTTGAATTTTGTGTACTGAGAACTCATCTAACATTAAACAGTGTCATGGGCCCCCACCTGTGAACCCGGGAATTGGTTTTATGCCGGAAGTCTCTGCTACCTTGAAGGGCGACAGGAGCCTCTCGGTCATCAGAAACATGCAATGTCCGGGCCTCGTGTCATCGGCCGCCCTTCACGTAATGCACCCGCAGTTATATCGTGCATCGCTATCCACCCATGTAGAGCTTGGGCATTGGGCAGCTACGCAAGCACCGGATGACATGTACAGGTGTCTTCAGCACTGGACATCCGTCTATACGGGCGTGGCAATAATGTGTAATAGGAAGTCACCGAGCCATTGAGATCCGAAATGCCCCCCGGAAGGCTTTGATATCCTGACTTGCATAGGAGGGTATGGCCATGGCGTGATGGACTTAACCAACTTGGGCATCGAGCTGGCTTATGATCCGGGAGTTATGGTTAGCTATTCCGGCCGGCTCATTAGGCACAGTGTACAGGTTGCCGATGGTGACAGGATGGTTTGGGCTTGGTTTATGCGCGACAGTGTGCATAATTATGCTCGGACCCCGCGTACAGAATATGTGAAATACAATCAGGCAGATTTCGTTCGGTACCGCACGTTGTAGTTCATTTTCTGTTGATATTACCTTTTAACAAATGGACGGTGCGGCTCATGTGACATTGTATGTCGCATCACATTTCCGAGCTCCATGCTGAAACTCTGTTGTGTTTCTCACACATCAAATGTCGCCTGTGTTTGCTTGATCTTAGTCAGAAGTTGCTGCCAATGCGCGAGGGAGTCCCCTAATCGATTGGAGGCATATTCCGCCTCCAGATCCCACAGTGACTGGAATTGTAACCACTTGGCGACATAGTCTTTGAGCTTTTGAACTTTGAGTTCTATGAGAGAAAATGGTTGCTCTAAAGCATGGTTGGAGAATTGTGTGAGCTCCTAAGAATGTAGTAGCCTCACCATATTGCGGGAGATACGTACCAGAGAAGTATATGTTGTTTCTGACACTTGTGCGGCCTGCATCTGCAACCCAATCTCATATCAAAATGTATTTTCTTCGTGAACTTTGCTTGGTTGAGCATGTTACATCTACCGGGCCAGAGTTCTATGGTCAGCTATAAGATTAGCTCCATCACTTTAATAACATCAAGGTACCAGGCAGAAGTTCACAGTCAGATTGGTAGCATCACCAAATTATTTTACCAAGATTTGTGCTGCCAGGTGGAAGTCCGAATGGTGATATGACTACTGAGAAGAATGTTGGCTCATTAGGGGGTAATCTGCATTGTTGGGCCCCAGAGTGCTAGACCATCATGGTGGATACACCAAGATTTTTTTGGTGCTATGGAGAGTTTGCGAATTGATATAAATGTTCCTGGATAGCGCACTGTCAGGCACTCTGAATCGCATTTGTGCTATGAGTGAGTGAAACATATTGCACTCTTACAGCTGCTTCTGCAGGTCCCGGTGGGATGCAGCGAACAATGGGAGAAACATCCGGGTTCCCCGCAAAAGAGTGGGATTGCACCTGTGTCCGTGGATGATTATTTGACAAGCGCACAGTCTCCGGAAGATGGCTGAATGCAAGTCCATAGTTATACACAATATGGGACACGGATAGGCCCAGTTAGTAAGCTCGGTAGTTCCAATTCTCAGAGATAATATTATCGAACGCCAGGCGTCCTGCATCTTCGTGGCGACATTACGCGCCAATATCACAACTGCACGGTGACACCTTTCCGGAAAACGGGCATAATAGCTGGCTATCACCTATATGCATGTACATCTTATGTACCGCCTTTATATCCTGCCGGTACATTAGTCCATAAATTCACTTCCGGATGCACTCTCCATGCATGATGTGACATGGTACCGGATATCAGGAGATTTCATCCAGCCAATATCATGATCATTCGTACAACCACCAGCGTATTCTCATTAAAGGTGTGGTATCCAACACTATTTGATTGTGGTGTTCGCGGCTCACGCCTTAGTTGACTGGAGCTCCGATGCACTGGCCAGAAGAACCTTATGTGAATCCAATTTAGGCATGCTCAGATACCAACTTTTAGTAACCATGAAGCAGTAGCATTATACGGTAAGATTTGACAAAGATTTCCATGTGAGAAGGATGCCCTGTACGGATGGAGACCTGCCTCCCGATCTGTGTCAATGCAGACCATCATCAGGCGCATTTGTCAAACCCGCGACATTCAAAAATATATTTCCGCCGACAGTTCAATATATATAATATTACAAATTCTCCAGAGCATCTACAGTCCATGCCGGAGTGTTCTTATCACATACAGTCTATGTAGTTACTGAGTCTCTAACGTCATCATCAAAAATCATATCTATCCGAGGGATGCCATCGATTTCCACCGGGCATCAGATGCGTCAAGCTGTTGCTCTAACTCGACCAACCGCTTCCGCAGGTTGGTCTCCACAGAACCCACTTTTACCTCCAACGCGTCCACCTGCTCATTGGGGGCCAGGAGATCCAATCTCCTGCTGATATCCTGGATACCCTATAGGATCTGCCTTGCTGTGGGCTCGGATGTGAGCAGGTTGGCAGGCCCAGGCGACTGCCCGTGTTCCGACTGCATTTGAGCACCTGCCGGCAGGACCTCATTGAACCTTCTCTCTGCATCTGCCGAATCTATATGAGCTCCAGCAGTTATGAGCAAAGGGGAAAATGTACCTTTGCATTGGACGATGCTCTATTCAGAGTGGGAAGGATGTCTGACAAGTGTTTTTGAGACAACTCGGGACTTGGATGTCTTGGGATGATTGGCAGGGTCGGAGGATTGTTTCACCACTCTCGCTTGCAACCGCTGCCGGACACCAACGCCGTCGATTGCGCAAGTGATTTTCATGTTATCGCAATTTGTGCAGGCGAGGCGCAAGTATCCGAATTTCTTGTCGGGGAGGACAAGGCAGGGTATGTTTAATTTAGTGCATTTGTCGCACTGCCGGGCGTGGTGATGAACGGAATGCTTCAAATTTGTTAGCTTGTCTTTGTAATGATGCACAACACAACTTACCTGCCGTGGAGTAGCGATATGAGCATCCAAGCCCCATTCTGCAGCCTTGGAAATGGGTCAGCATCAATGCTAAGCTGAAGTGAGAATCACATACCCGAGTTTCTGCATCCTGGAAACCCTTGTCTGTGGCTGGCGGAACATCTTTGTCATCAGTGACAGGCTGTAATGCCCGGAGCGGTAAGCTATTTGACAGATAAACTAATATTAATGGATGTACCTTTGGTTCGTCATACAATACTCCGGTGGGCCCTTTGTCGACATTTGACTTGGACTTCCTGCTCTTTTTGGCAACCACCCCATCAGCGTCTTCATCGTCCGCCTTTCTCTTCTTGTGCGCTCGCAACTGCAGAGATCCTGTCTGTTTCGCTACTGACTGAGTGACAAGATCCAAGTCCATGTGGGATGGCATGGGCGGTGAAGCTGAGGGCGTCAATAGTGGGATGATGGGAGCTGTTGTTGCGGGTGCGACAGTGGGAATTGTGCTTGATGTCGCGATTGCAGGAACATCAAGCGCAGAGGGTGGACGGTAGTCCACGGTCTTCTCGAACCACGGGTGGTTCTTGATCCATGGGTCGTCGTCGGTAACAGTGGTCCAGTCAGGGACACTCTCAAAGGCGCCGCCCCTTGAGTGCTGTCTCACAACGGCAGCAAAAGAGAGCAGACGCGGGGAAAATGACGTGGCACTCCCACCATATAATTTTAAGTCTTTTGCCGGTGTCAGATGTGTTAGTTTATCCGAGAGAATTTCAAGGGGACTATAGCAACAAATACTCACCACACGCCTGGCAATATCATCTGATAACCTGAAGGCCTCAGGATCGCCCTCCTTCACCTTGATGCATTGCTTCATCAGCGATTGCACGACCTCCAGGGTGACGTTCAATGTGTCGTTAGCTGCTTGTGTGGGTACGGTCATGATGTCTTTGTATAGACGGTAGTGCAGAGGGAAATGAATGCTGTAGATATAAAACTTGACTTTAGGAAATTTTGACAAGTCTGGATTTCTATAGATCCGGTTGTGGGTATTGCTGGGGACTTGTGGCTTGTGGATGGAAAAAATGTGGATCAGGAGTAGCAGTATTGTATACAGGAGTGGGTCGACAAGAGTCCTATGCATTCGTGTGTAATGATCCATCCACAAATGCCCGAGATAATGATAGTATGTGGACGGCGAATAACATTACTGTATGCATGAGTGGTTCGGTAGTTGTCCTATGCAATGGTATGTAATAATCAATAACCAGTCCCTCCATCAACGCCCAGATGAATTTCAATATACTACCGATGGATCAATGGCGTCCAATGTCGTTTTCATCCAGCACTCGAGAAATTATTGATGATTTGGCTCCTGCTGGAAAGTATTCATTGTGACTACATATGTTGTGTTAATTAGGAGTAACTACCAAACTTCTACACTATATGACCCAAGACTGTAAGTAATAAGGGGTGTCCAGCATGAGGATTTATTCATCGGATGCAGCTGAGAGCTTGCTAGACAGCTGTGAACATATCCGGGTGAAGATCAATAAACGGAAAGAATCTCAGAGAAGACCTACTAGGGAAAGAAATATTACGTGCCTCTGTGCATTCTTCTACCGTACTTCCCGCCCCTTCCGCAACCCTATCTCTACTATAACTTAGCAATCCATCTAATCGCCGTTCCGTCACAACACATTCATCCTTTCTGTACTGACGCCCGCACACATTTTTGCAATATACTTTAGTTCTTGCATGATTGTAATTGTCACTTCATATCAATACCACTAGCACCCGAATACCCAGCTCCCAACGTGGCTTCATGATGCTGGTGTTGATGAAGACCTGGGTATCTCAACCAGTACGCAGTGGGCATGACCATGGAATATGTTGGCTTTGACGGGTGTGGAAGTTGAAATCAGTACTCTGCACTGGCTGCTCAGAGCGCGGACACTCCGGCCACTCCTGTTCGGCGGCCCAATTCAATCGCATCTTATCTGCCATATCGGACAAATTGATTTTAGTCGTGTCCGAATGATACCGGATCTCTTTTGTGGTATACCTTCGGTAGCTGAACCAACCGACTGTGCATGCAAGTCCAATACAAAGCCATGTTGTGCAGGCCAGAGTGCCATAACTCGCATTTATGAGCCTACCTATCATTAACAGAGGACGTGCCCGTCAGCCAGTCTCAGATACAAAGGCCCACCCATCATAGGTGAGGACCCTTGAGGATTGTCAGGTCCACATCTGGGCCCATCCGCCAGTACGCCATTGCCGGGTACAACAGCCTGCCCATCCGCCTGTCTCGGGTATGACGGCCTAACCATCATAGACGAGGACCTAGATATTGGTCAGGCCCACATCCGCCGGTCTCAGGTACGACGGCCCAAATCATAGATGAGGACCTGGGTATTGATTGGGTCCACATCTGGGCCCATCCACCAGTACCCAGTGCAACAGCCTTCCCATCCGCCAGTCTCGGATACGACTGCCCCACCATCATGGATGAGGACCTAGGTATTAGTCGGGTCTACATCTGGGCCCATCCACCAGTACCCAGTACAACAGCCTGCCCAACGAGGTTAAGTTCTGGGCCCATCCGCCTGTCTCGGATACGACAGCCCAACCATCATAGATGAGGACCTAGGTATTAGTCAGGTCCACATCTGGGCCCATCTGCCAGTACCCGGTACAACAGCCTGCCCGATGAGGTTAAGTTCTGGGCCCATCCGCCAGTCTCGGATATGACAGCCCAACCATCATAGATGGGGACCTAGGAATGGTTGGGTCCATATCTGGGCCCATCCGCCTGTACCGGGTATGACGGACTGTCATTCCCTATCCAAGATTACTTTTGGGCCCAGCCGGTGCCCCAGCAGCACACATCCTGGCCCAATGTATTAACACATGCTTCCCGGTCCTTCCATAGCTGGCCCACTGGTCTATTGACTATTACCCCAGCCTACAAATAATTCATAATTACTATATGATGTTGGCCCACCCGTCACCACTGAAGATTGCCTTCATGGCTGGCCCACCCACCCTATCTGCATATGGGCCCACCTAGGATGGCCCGTCTAACTGGGGAGATTCTCAACCTTTGGCTGTCCGTCTAAGTCGGAAATAAAGTACTGAATTATGTGCCTGAGCTCACTGTGATCCCATTGCCATCAAACCTTTGGGTAGATTGATGCAGACACTTTATGGCAGAGGATCTCATTCCGCTGGAGATGTCACTTCATGAAGGGCAGGCAAATGATGCCCTTTACAACCTCCGAATTCACTTGTGCAACAAGGTGATCCTGTTCCGAACAACAGTTAGGCAAGCCAAATCTCAAGCCCTGAAAACTCGAGCTTGGTCCCAGGTGACGTCAGTGCAGCAGGCGGTATCCCTTCATGCCAGTATATATACCAAGACCCAGAAGCAAATGATAAAACTTGAGCCTGGGCAAGACCAGCTTCAGAAATACAAACCCCTGCTGTGTGATCAGCTGAAAATCAGCACTGCCATCGGAGATCCAAATGCCCGAGGTCAGCAAAATGAGTCCCTTGCTTGGTTCTGGTCTGTCAAAGTGGAGTTGGAGGGTCCTGATCAATCGTGGAATGAGGAATGTGAGTTCGAGCATGCTCGACACACGTGACATTGAGCTGACCGCACCCATCTCAAGTTTACCAAGTTCATTGGCTTCGGGCAAAGGCACTATAGGACCGATGGAAGGAAGAAATGATATTGGTCCAATTGGAGATGGATTGGACATGCGACTTTTTTATGTGGAAAGCAACGCAGTGGGGTGACAAAATGCAGGAATCATTAGTGAAACACCTTCCGGGTCATGCATCTTACTCGGGAAGGCAATCCAGAATGTATTCATTACTGGCGCAGGATGCCCAGGCAGCATTTCAAGACCTGCAGACCGTGTTGATAGATGCTTTAGATGAATGAATTTTTGTGTTCCGATGATATGAAACACCTATTTTGACCCACAAATGTAGTCTCAGGAATTGGCCAGGTCAGCCCATGTCGGAGTTTGAAAAATTTATCCATCCATCAGTGGCTGATATCTTCACATCTGAACCAACTCTCATTGTGCTTGCCAGTATCATACTCTTGCATAAGCCATGCCTGAATTACATCCTGCTCCTGCATCCACATCTGACACTAAAGCCATGGTGGTAGTTTGTATTGCACTCTGTGCAAAATGTGTCATGATGATAAGAAAAAGAAAGCTTGTTAGATATGTACCAACACAATAGAGATAAACAGAATATGTCACAATAGGCCCATCATCTAGCGTGTAGAGAACAACTTGTCGTTGTTGTGCTTTCTTGAGGACAGAGCCTTCACATGTGCAGGACAGTCAAGTGTCTGACATGTGTGATGAGGCGGAAAAGGAACGCGTGGTGCTGTCACCCATAGGCTGTCCATGTCAGTAGTCTTCATACAAAGTAATACCACTCACCTATACCATGCTGCCATCTGTGATGCGTAAAGAGTGACATGTCTATGCTTGATGCACCCCCATCACCATGCCATACGACATTCCTAAGAACATTCCAATATGTATCCACATTACTCTCCGAAATATCGCAGCTGCCAGCCAGGAAGAGTTGGATCGCAGGAGAGAGAACTAGAGGAGCACTATCAGGATGGTGAGAGGCGGCTTGCACGAGTAAGATGTTGTCCTTGAGTCCTGATGCAAGTGTAATGAAGCGGAATATTGTGCTGAATGTTGGAGGTGAGCCAGTAGGGAGCTGATGATGCAGCAATTGCAGCATCTCAAGGGCTAATGGTATTGGCATAGTAGTCATTGAGTGCGGTGCAGGGAGGTAAGCATGTAGCGGCACTGATAAGTAGTGGCTTGGTCAAATGTAGTAATATCCCTGATGTTGTGCGCAAGGTGGCTGACAGCGAGGACGTGTGGGAAACAGTGAGCTTAGTATATGATTATATTTTATTGAATGTAGTATATTATGTATGCATGGGAATAATGATTATTATGCTGGCACGGATGCGGGCGGATGGTTGGATGAGGTCGGACGGTCGGATATCCCAGGATCGAGATGTCCTCCAAATATCTAGCATTCAATATTGTCCCAAGTATCGAGTTCCAAATATCGAGTCCCGATTACTGAGTTCCAAATATCGAGTTCATATAGAGTTCCAAAAATTGAGTGCTGAGTTCCGGATGTTGAGTCCCAATTATCGAGTTCTGGATATCGAGTTCCAAGTTCCGAGTGTTGAGTCCTAAATACCTAATATCAAGTCTTTCAAATATCGTTCCAAGTGCCGAATATCGAGTCCTGATTACCGAGTTCTGAATATCGAGTGTATATCAAGTTCACAATATGGATTGCTGAGTCCCAATTCCGAGGTCTGGATATTGAGTTCTGAGTTCCGAGTATTGGATCCCATATCCCTAATATCAAGTTTCAGAAATGTTGGTCTTTGATGCTTCATTGTTGGCAATCAATTATTGGTACTTGGTATTCCAGAGTAGGTACTAACACTGGTAACTACACTTTCTACTTGTTTGATCTTTCATAGGGTGGTCAGGGTGGGCAATCCACCCTAGCCCATCCACATGAGGGAACCCCGGCACAAATATGAACAGAATCCCTCATATACCATGCCCATGCAACCTGATCCCCTTCCACTTCATGAACCCCATGTCTAACAATCCTTCCGGAAAAAAATGCAACCATACAGCCAGGATTGTATCTGAACTCCAGCTGAAGGCTTGGCATACTAATGTGAGCATTGGAATAATTCCCCACAGTGGTGAGAATATCGAAGCATTCCGGAATGGATAAATGGTCTCGATGATTTGGGGTTTGCCAATTGGAAATGATGGAGAGGGAGTTAAACACGGATGCCCAGTACTGGAGGGTCTCAGACATCTGTGGCAGTTCCTTGCTTTCTGCCTTTTCTCCAAGGCCTGCAAAGGCTCGTAACCCTGCCCAGTACTGCTCCGGATGCATCACCCTGAATGCCGCTGATGTGATGGCTGTTGGCCTCGCAATGGCTTTGAGGATTTTCTCACTGAATGGTCCCTTCAATGATGCAGATACCTCTGGATCTGACAGATTCTATGGGATTGGTGAGTTTAACTACCGAAATTGCCATCTCATCAGATCCTACCTCGTGCCCCTGTTGAAACCACGCTGGAGATAATTTCATGCACCCGGGAGTTAAGCCAACATCTTCAGAGCTGTGTTTGAACCACTCCGAATTAGTTCGCTAATTGCCATCAACCTTTACACTTTTTCCAGATCTGGAGTGAGCAGATCGGTGGCTGCCCAAATTTTCCTCTGTGGGTACCATTTGATATTCAATATCCATTGAGTAACAATGTATATTACACACCTGGGTTGCAGCTGTCAGGGTGTCTGGGAGGTACCATGTGATGATGGTACCGGATACATTGAGAATTGTGGTGGGTATGTCGACCAACTTTGTCCCCTCATGGCCAGGAGGACATCTCTCAAGCAACTTCTCCTCTTTCTCTTCATTATTTGAATGATCAAATGACTGTTCAGAATCTGCAGGAAGACACACTGGGATTTTTATATCCCTTTATGAGGCAATCTACCAGATATCAGATATTCATTTGCCGAGACCCGGGTCTCAGAACTTGGTATACTTCACTCGAATTTCAGTAGTCAGAACTTCATGTCTCTCAGGGCAACACAAGTTTTGCACACCGGTTTCACATTCTGCAAGACAACTCAAGCACCATTAAAGTCCATGTCAAGAGAGCACCTGCTGCTGGCACTCGGTAAGCTTCACTCAAATTTTGGTAGTTGGTAGCCGGTACTACATGTTTGCATCTGTACTGGGTGCTCGATTTTCTGGCACTTATGACCTTTATCATTAGATGACTTTGAATGATTATCTCCTCTGATTTGGATGATATACAACTACCTCAGCTCCGTCATGTCTACAATTATCATTCACCTGGGCCCACCCGTCTATATTATATACCACACTCAGCCCACCCGTCTAATATAATATATGATATAACACCCTCACACTGCAGGCATTTTCCCATTTTCCTCCACCAAACATCCAAAAAACATTGATTGAGAAGATAGAAATTTCCCCTCATTTTTCCTGTCAAAACATTGAAAAAAGTGACTTATGTTTCAATGATGTTCTGTGTATGGAACATGATGCAAAAATTGGTCATGTTCCTTCAAGGATAATGCTGTATTTTCCATCTATTGTCTTTGAAATAACAGCTTAAAATAATGTTAATTTTCTTCTCTGTTTTTCAAATATACTATGTTTTTCAAATGTTCTGTGTATATTCAAAAAACACAGAAGAAAATTAACATTATTTTAAGCTGTTATTTCAAAGACAATAGATGGAAAATACAGCATTATCCTTGAAGGAACATGACCAATTTTTGCATCATGTTCCATACACAGAACATCATTGAAACATAAATCACTTTTTTTCAATGTTTTGATAGGAAAAATGAGGGGAAATTTCTATCTTCTCAATCAATGTTTTTTGGATGTTTGGTGGAGTAAAATGGGAAAATGCCTGCAGTGTCAGCCCACCTGTGTAATATAATATATGATATAACAACCTCGGCCCACCCATCTAATATAATATATATCTGGGCCCACCCGTGTATGTGATAACAAGTACCCTCGGCATACCCGTCTATCTGATACCCACCTACCTTGGTACACCCATCTACATAATATCCAACTACCTTGGCCCATCCGTCTATATAATATCCATGTCCATCAGCCCACTCATCTACTCTACATATTCCCCACATGGACCCACCCACCTCCATCGAGAATAATATCCCTCCCGGCCCATCTGTCATAGTCGAGGATATTTTTACCATCGGCCCATGGTCCATTGGCCTGTATCATACGGGATATTATGTACGTCCGTTCACTTGTATAATACGGAGATTTGTCACTGTAGTATGTGTAGCAAGTACTGGGCATGCAGCACACATCCTGGCCCAATGTATTAATGTATACTTCTTCTGTATCCCTCTGGGCCACCAGTCCCTTCTATTGACTATTACCCCAGCCTACAAATAATTCATTATTATAGTATAGTACTATATGATGTTGGCCTGCCCGCCCACCTGGGAAAATTGACTTGATCCATAAACTAATGGCCTGCCCGTCACTACTGGGGATTGCCTTCATGGCTGGCCGGCCCTATCTGCATATGGGCCCACCGGTCCCCTTCTATTGACTACTACCCCAGCCTACAAACAATTCATTATTATATACTATATGATGTTGGCCCATCCGCCCACCTGGGAAAATTGACTTGATCCATGAACAAATCGGATGGCCCGACTAACTGGGCAGATTCTCAACCTTTGGCTGTCTGTCTAAGTCGGAAATAAAGTACTGAATTATGTGGATGGCAATTCTTAGTGTCTCCCGGTCCATACAGAGATGTCATAATATGTACAGAGTTGCGATGTAGCAGCTCACAAGCCAGAGCTGCAGCTCAAGCTGCCACATGTGGAGCCAGCTTTTCCCAGGCTTGGCTTTGTTAGGCTTGGCTGTAGCTGGTTACAGTCTTTGGCCAGAAACCGGCAAAAGCTGGAGCTGTGGCAACACTACCTCCGGTAGTCATGAAGATCATATCTGCGGTTGTCGGTGCATTAAGAATGATATGGAGGACACTATCTTGTTTTTTTTGGATTTGGCCATTGTGATAATGCGATCTTTTGCCTTATATATGTGAAACCGACCTATCTGTGGTGCGAGAGCTGGGTGTGTGGCATCTGAGATGGGTGTAAATCCTAACATGTCTTGTAACATTGAGTGTAAGAGGATGAATCCTCTGTGTGATACCACAATATTGAGATCATGGGTGATGTGATCATGCACACCTGTCATCATACTTTTTGCACAAGACCCGGTAATCACGCCATGTTGTTCTCGCAAGGACCACATAAAAGGTCCCTGCATGTCTCCAATGAACGGGCCAAGAATATGGGCTAAGCGCCTTCGCACGACATCTTGCACGAGTCTACGCAACATACGACAAGTTCAGATTACGTTTTGTAGGTAAAAAATCATGAGAGCTTCTAAAATAGTGGCAGCGATGTCATAGTTGGCAGTTATTGGTGTTGTTAGTTTGGGCAAAATGAGAATTTCCAGACAATTAATATACAGTCAGCCAAGATAAAGGGAACCAGAATCAAATTGAGTAATTGAACTTTGTCATAGTCTCTCGTGCCAGCTCTTTGATTCGCAAATCTTCTTCTCTCAAAAACTCAGAGGGATGCCGGGTGAAAAGGCTATCTTCAAAGTCTCTCAACAAACGAATACTGTTTCGCCCCCAACTTCGAGACAGTGCCATGTATGCATTTAAAAGGTGACAGACTGAAGCTTGTGTCCACTAGTATATGATCGATAGTCTGTCCTGCCCTTTGTAATCTGTGAATGCATATAATTTGGTGGTGTTCTGTTCTGATGTTACTTTGTTGACCTTAGGAATGACGCGAGCCACGTATTTAGGGTTTTAAGGAAGTTCCCACAGGGTAGCTCATGTGAGAACTATTTTTCACAGTCACCTGACATGCGTGGGATTTAATCTGAGTCATTGTTGTGGATGACCAAGCAAAATTCATCGCAGAATTAAATATACAAAAATATTCATCCTATCTGAGTCGTGTGGAGAAATAAAACGAAAATATTGTCTAAACTGCATTCTGACTTCTGAGTAGAGGGAGATGGTTTTCATAATGGTTTCGTCATCCATGCACCGGACCAGTTTGGTGCAGGTCAGCGGATAAGTGTGTGGTAGATCACATGCTAGACTCTAATGTTAGCATACCGATGTGCAATCTCATCGCTGTGTCCACTGACATCTGGAAGGTGTTCAAAGACATGACAATGACGAAGCGTGTCACTGTTGGTGCGCTTTTGGTCAATGAATTGTAAAGTACGCCGAAGGTGGAGGATATCCTGTGGCGTTACGACGGATGTCTGCGAAGGAGCGACAAAGGCCGCATAGTTGCAGAACATATTGAATCGCTATGTTGCGTCAAAGCGGTGACCCACCAAGGCCAGGTTCTTACCTGTGTGCTTGACCAAGGCGCGGAATGCATTGTAATGCTGCGATCAGTTTGGCAGTCGCTTGGCAGAATTCCGCTCCGGCCTGATCACAAGTTGGTGATGGAATCCGTAAATACCTCGCACGATGAAACACTAGGCATGATCGAGAACCTGCCGCTAGATTTTGGCACAGGCGAGATGTTATTTCAGGTACAAGTGGTCTAACTTTGAAATTCTACTAGGAAGACCGTTCTTTACGTTGACAATACTATGCCTTGTTGTGCCAGTACACAGATACTCCTTCAAGTTGCTTCGGCTTTCCTCTGGGGTGATCCCAAGCAAGTACAATACCGCTTCCGTGTCTTTTCCCTTTTGTACGTCCCTTCTCAGTTAGCCCCTATTTCCGGTCATCTGGTTGTACCTATAACCGACTATACTTAATTTCCGTGATAGACTAGTGTTAGGTGTTCCACATGCGCCGTCCATAGCCTCGCACTGCGCTGACTGATTCTCTGTTGTGTCCTCTGTGGTATGTGAAGCCAAGCCCTTTGGATACGACCCTTGAGCATGTTCTTAACATCTGGACACACACATTCCACAAATTCCTGGAGTTCTTGCTGTGTGCCTCATGCAGGCATGAAGATCTAGTCCCATGGTCTATTAATAGGCCACCACTGCCGACAAAGGCTGAAACGAGTGCCCCCCGGACTGGCTGAAGATTCTCACGGGCAAAAGCGACAAATGTCTCGCCTAAAGGACTGAATCAGCCTTGGCTCGTGCATTTTCAGATATGTCGCAGCATATATACCATTTTGAGCCAAGACAAGCAAAGTCGTCATGGTTGAGCGGTGAAGATGGGTTGTCGCGTCGAAGTTTGTGAGATCTCGAGTTAGATTCCTGCCATTTGCTTTTTTGGATTTTTGGATTTTGATTTTTGGATTTCACATTTTCGAGTGTTACGACCGCACGCAGCCTGGAATGCGACGAGAGGATGCCATGAGACCATGGAAGGACTCAGCGGGACGAGGGGCACGACATCGATTTCCGGCCAAAAGTTCCCACGGTCCGATGCCAAACGCGTCCATGATTTTCGAGCGTTTGGGCCGGGATCTCGACCGGAGGACGTCGCGAGACCACGGACGGAAAGACGAGGACGAGCGGCAGGGCTTTGGACCGGGACGAAAAGCGACCCCCCCCGCGACCCCCCCACGCTCCCCGAAACGGAGGGGACGACTGCGGGCCCCCAGCCGGGGAGTCCCCTCCCGATAGCCGGTGATGTGTGCCACTCGCTGTTGACTTTGCTCCACTTGCACCTGAACTCGCGGTCGCGCCTGATGGCGTCAGCTGCCCGATGTACAGCGACGTACTTGCATATGACACACAGTTCGAGCTCGGAGCAGGTGTAAGGTGTAAGGTACGGTGGTGATTGGACCAAGAGATTCGGGGGGTTGGAAATAGGTCGAGGTAGCGCCGTTGGTAGTGTAGACACCGACGGGGAACATGTCGTCACCATCGCAGACCTCGAAAACACTCTTCTGTGCGTTGTATGCGCACCCAAGATGGTCATAGATGTTTTGGCAGAGGGCCTGTTGGTTCTGGCCGGCGGGATCGCAGACTTTTATACAGAAGCCGGTGCCACCCATGAAGCTGAAAGGGAGATGAGACACCTGGACAAGAAGCTGGGAAAAACACACTTTGTCCAGTCAATAACCTGGTGGTACGAGTCATTGTTATCGTCGTTGCTGGGGAACGCGTTGGAGTACGTGAGACCGCCAAGAGGGTTACCGCGCAGATCAGCACCGTAGGGGTCCAACTCGCCTCCGTAGTCATTAGCAGCAATGTTGACTTGGGTCTGGTCAATGAAACCGGCAATTTGGATGTAGTTGGGGGTCTTGATGAGCTGGACGCCTTGGAGAGCACCAGCGGGGATGAGACGAGTACCGTGTCCTGGCTTTGTACACCAAGCAACTTCCTGACCCTCGGTGTCACCGATGGTGGAGTTGGGCTATGGGGGAGCCCAGAGGCAGAAGTCGTCTATGTGGTTCACGAACGAAGTTTGACACATGGAATTCTGGTTCTCAGTTGTGGAGTTGCAAATATTGTAACCGACTTGGGGACCGCGAAGAGCAGCAGTATGATAGTCGACTTGGTAAGGGGGGTCAGCAGGATCAGGCTGAGCATGGACAATGGTTATGGCCGCAACAGCGAGGAGGGCAGATGAAAGAGTGGACGGAGACATGATCTCTGACAGGGCCGGTTATGATCAAGGACTAATTTAGATGATGAGAAACCTTACACTGTTCACTGAACATGAAAAAAAAAACTTAATTAGGGCTCAGCTTCTCGAACCCTCACCTGGAACCCAATAGCACATTGCTCCGACACTCGGGTTGATGATTTTGATGCAACGATTGTACCAGACGAGATTGCAGATGTCTTCACAACAAGAGTGAGCTCCGAGCGCTGTATATAGATATCGACATAAGACATCATACAAGAAAAATATACTGCGAATAAGAAATACGGTAGAACTTACGAGATGCAACGGTCCGCGACAAAGACTCAATGGGGTTCCAGCGTCTCTGGCAGTGTCAGAAGCTTACAGAAAATTTCCACTGCACCCACTACCGAAATGCTCTGCGAGTCCTTTGGCACCCCGAAGCATCTTCTACCTCTGTTGATCATCCATAGGCCGTCCACCTAGAGACATATCATTCCCAGGAAGCGGATGGTTCACACTCTGCTTGCGCTTCTTTTCCTCCTTTTCTCGTTCTAGATGTGACTCTACAGGGGCTGAACCACGAGCCTTGCACTAGCAAATAACGCGTCAAGTTCCATTTAAAATTGACGAACAGTCAATGGACACGTACTGTGCTTCTCAACTCCTCTGCAAATATTTTTATCCCGTCGCCGTCGCTTTGCTGTGTCACGCAAGTCCTCCTCTCGCGGTGTATTCGCTGCACGTCATTTCCGTCCAGCAACTTCGTAGCAAGACGTTGCTGTCTTTACGCTGGCGTCTCGGTCCAAAGGGAAGTGTCGCGCAATGGCGGAGCGCTACGTGCGAACTGACGAGGTCTGGCTTTCGTCGGGTCAAGTGCAATATGACTTTGATAAGTACACAAGTTAGAGGACCGCATGTTGAATGAAACGTACATGTCAATAAGTCGCCACTTTTTGGAAATACAAGCATCCACTCTTCCCGCTGGAGCTTTTTCAGCCTGTTCGCTTGTTCCTGAAGTTTCCTTCTCCTTTCCTCCCTCTCCAAGAACTCTTCCACGCCTGACTTTCCTTCTATTTGTGAAGCGTAAGCTGTAGGAAGTGGTTGAGGCTCAACATCTCAATCTGAGTTATCATCGTAAGGAGCTTGTGAGAAAGGTAATGATGGTCCTACGTAGTGTCGTTTTGGAGGCAGTGTATAAGTATTCGATTCGCTCTTTGAAGGCAACGAAGGCCCAGCTGCGTGGGAGGCAGTAAGGTCGGATGGCAGAGCTGGTGTGTAATCGTCGTCTCCGTCAGAATCTCCGGCTAATGCAATAGTTAGAAGGAGGTGTGCTAGAATTTGTAGGCCTATGGAAAACATTTGAGAGTAACGCTGTGAATTCGGTGAATTCAGTTGTAGCTCCTAGCTTAGATAATCGTAATTCAAACGTCAACATAAAATTAGCTGCCAGTGACAGTACGATACACCTCTTATTTGTTAGGTGGAACAATCTAGTCGGGGATCGTCCCGCAGACTTCTCGAACACCATAAGAGGTCCTTGCGCGTCTCGAATAGCAGACGTGTACAATTTTATACTCATGGTTACGGATTGCATGTCTGATCATCAAGAAGAACTGGGTGTTTAGCTATGAGTACTAGTGAGCTGTCTGGTGTTCCGCAGGAACAATGAAGGCTGCATGCGCTGTATCCGTAGCGGACGCCAGGTCACAGAATAAAATAGTCCGGTGGAAATTTGAATTTTTGCAAAGAGTGGGGCCTTGCGAAGAGATTTAGAGAGAACCAACACAATTCTACCAAATCGAAAATCGTGCCCATGAATATATAAACGCTAGTTGTCATCCTGCAGTGTTCCCCCATTCTCAGCTGAGTTATCATTCGAGATCTCTTTCAGAAGATTTCATATCACCTCACAGAAAATGCGTCTCTCCCTCCTTGCTGTTATTGTTGCTTTGACAGCATCTATGTTTGTCAGCGCATGCAGGAACCAAAATGAACCTTGCAAAACAGATTATGATTGCTGCGAGCCCTGGTATTGTGTGGATGTTAGGGTGAGTATGAGCAGGTTGCTGTGCAACCACGATTCAACCACATGACACACCTGCTCACCTTAGCCTCAGGATGGATATTTGACTAAGCTCTGTGAGGCAGGACTGGCAGAGTGAAAATTGAACCGAAAGCCCGGGCGGCATATCGCGTCGGTGGGTCATACTTCTGCTTTCGCTTTGGTATCATGCTTGATGGTGCAATACCTAATTCGCAGTGGCATAGTCGATTATTTTTGGACGAATTTTTCTGCTGCTCGAGCAATGTAGACGTCTGAAAATTATCTAAAGATGATTGACCCTGCCTAGTCTTGCTCGTCCCCCACTAAGCCTAACTTTAAGAGGCTGTCGAAACTAGCGATCCAAGTCATTGCTGTTGATGATCAATATTGAGAGGCCATAAGAAGATGAAACGCACCGTGAAGCGCAAGGTCATATGGGAATGTGCGTTGTGATGAAAGTGAAAAAAGGAGGTGACAAAGTTAAAGACACAGAGGATTCGTACTACTGCCTGCGCGGTACTTTCAATCAAAGAGTAGTGTGGGAACTCAGGAGTGATCCTCTTCGTCGAGCCAATGTTGGATGAGGTGCAAGGGACACGGACACGGTGGAAGAGGAACTTTGAAGAACGTTGGTACCTTTATAGTAGCTTGTTAAACACTGTTCCTGGTCTCCGAGAGGCGAGGGAGTACAAGGTCGTCTGGGTATGCCATAGATGCAACTCAATCGATATCGTTGTGAATGTCAGATAGAGACTAAAAATTTAAAGGAAGCTGCGGTGGCAGATGACCACGACAAGTACTAGGGATTTTGACCACGTACTGTTACACAAGAATGAGTATTATTTCCGTTATCCCTGCGCAGCACTTGCATGCGGGTCATGGCGAACTGAAGATGGAGAGAAATCGCCTATTTCTACAGCGCGGGTCACGTTTGGTGCGCACGGCCTCGTGACACACTGCTTGCTCCTTCCAGGACCTTGTTGGAGATATTGTTATCCAAATATTTCTCCTCACCGTTGACCGCAGTGGACTGCAACACTCCCTCATCATCAAGCACGACCCAATCGATCATACGTTGTTGTATCTTTAACTGATGGTCCACCGTCCTCCAGACTCTCGTCTCCTGTCCAACCTCATAGCACACGAAAAGGAGTATACGAAACATCTATCCGCTCTTTTCCCAATATCACATGCTGCTCTAGCATCTCTTTCTGCATTCGCAGCTGCCTCACCTTCAGCTATACCTAGTAGTTCTTCGGTCTCTCTGGCACAAACCATTGCCACCATCGTTGATATCCTCTCCGGCGCGGACGATGCTCTTCAGCTTTACAATAAGGCGGTTGAGAACTGGCGCGATCAACTTGCCCACTTGATAAAACTCGAGCAAGACATAGCAGCTATTCTCCGTGACAGGGAAATTCTGTCTGTCCCAACTCTTTCTCTGCTAGCTCTCCGTTAACCTTCATTTCAGGGTAACTCGGCTAATCAAAGTTTCCAAATCATCCAAGACCACACGGGACCCTCGCTCATCACTGAATCTACCGTCTGGTTCTACCTCATTCATATCTCTCCCTTCTACCAACTCTATGTTACACGGCTCTTCGAATACCAAACTTCTGCAAACTCAAGAGGAGCTACGCGCATGTGAGGCTCATTTGGCTACTAAAGAGCTGGAGCTAGAGGCACTTCGGGTCAGTATAGCTAGAGAAGGTCTCGGTGCTCGCTGTCGGGCTCTTGTTGATTGTGGGTGGACTTGGGGCGAAATGGGCAAGGAAGGTCTCCGGGCCTTACAGACTCTTAATGCTTCAAGTTCAGATGCTCAAGGTGTGTTTCTATATTGTTTTGTTGTCTCAGATCATTTATTCACAGGCGTGATGCACGCGTATCCAGAACCACAACCGCTTTTGGCGTCATTTCCATCGAATTCGCATCCACCCTCCACGTTCATTACTCCCAAACAAAAGCCTCTCACGCTGCCTTCTCATGTCACACAGGGCCCAATATCCTACTCCTCCGACATTTCCTCCCTCACACCTTCTCAAAGTGCTTCGCAACAACACGACGGGCCCTCTCGTGGAGCTAGCCAAGAAGGCGCAATTCCTGATCATCCTAGCTCCAATGGCCATGAAGACGTGACAATCAGTATTCCTCCTGCACATGCCATCTCAGAACTTACTATGCCTACTGGTGTCCGTTCTCCGTCCCCTCTCAGGGGCCCTTTACCTGGGAGTTCAACAGACCTCCAGACCCGCCCCGTCCTACTTAGCAGTAGTGCACGCCGTCCACTATCCAGGCGCATAACCGAGATAGACGAAAATGAGTACAGGGAGGGGCCTGCTGTCGTATCAAACTCCTACTTCCCATCCCCTGACAGCGCTCGCGGTGCGGACGATAGCAGTGAAGAAGAGGAGACTCAAGGTCCCTTAGAGGTTGTCGAGAACGATCCATTCAGTCAATCCAAACACTTCTCTCTGCATCACGAAGTATCTCCAGATGCTGTTGAGCACACACCCAAGCGTAACGGTAAACAGCGGGAGCGTATGCCATCCATGAGTTTCTTCGGCTCTCTGCGCGGTTTATTCAAGATCTCGCACAAGGATCAAACTCGGGTGGAGTGGAGTGGTGCTACAGAGTCCCCGGATGCGAGTACAAGCAACAAAGGGAAGAAGGGCTGGTCTACGCGAACAGATGCAAACCTGAAGGCTTCCAGATCTCAAGACAGCTCAGAGTCTGAGCCTGAGACAATTCGCAAGCCCCCTCTGCCTTCAAGAGGTGCGAAGTTGCGCAAGGGCCGGTCACAGACGACAGCTCTCGCATCATCTAGTGGATGGCAGACTGACGGACCCCCTTCTGCAAGTTCACGCACAAGCGTCAGGCGGAAAAAGAAGAAGTCAGTTGCGGAGCTAAAGGGCAGGGACGGCGGGTATACCGACGGCGAGCTTGACGCAAACAATTCAACTCCTGCAGGCCTCCCATCTCGGAGTCAGTCGGAGGTTGTTAACCGAGGTCCATCTGTAAAGCGGCAGATAACCCCAACCTCCAGTCCTCAGGCTCAACCACTCGATCTTTCACGTGCATCCTCACTCTCAATGCGAAGTAGCGTAAGGTCGGCCCCAAATCAGGTAGCAGTCAAGCCACAACATCGCAGAGCAAGTACAGACCTCTCCGGGAATCTTGACAGTGGCAATGGGGAAGCGTCTCGTGAAGGTTATCCACGACGGTCAGCCTCTCTCACATATGGTGCCGCACCTCAACACCCGGGGGATTCTCCTGGAACTGCGAGATCAAGATCCAAGCGCACACCCAAAGCAGGAACCATACATCCTCTTCCAGCGAAAGGGAGCACCAGTGTGAGCCTTATGAGCATCGTTGAAGATGTCGCACGACAGAATCGCAACAGCCGGGGTGCTACAGCTACAGGCTCATCGAGTCCATCTCCAAATACTACTAAACTTGAGGTCCCGCGTGCCCCTATGCCAGGTGTGCCTACCAACGCAACGTGGTCCTCCAAACTTTCCCATGATCGGCTTCCTGTCCGCTCAGGATCATTGGACATTCCCCGTGCACCGGGGTCAGTTTTTTCTGCATCTCAGTCCTTCCCGGTTGTTCCGGGCGCACAAGGAACAGCGAGACCCAAACACGAAACCCCACCTCGTCGCCCGTCTATAGGAAAGGGGAGTCACAAGTCCGCTGCAGTTCCTGGGAGCGAATCCAGAAAGACCTCCCGACCAGCTGTGTCACCTCTTCGTTCAGCTCTTCGAAATTCCAGCCGTACACCATCACCCAGCCCAGCTCTATTATCAGAGATACGAAAACGAGGAGCTGATGTAAGCGCTGAGGATAGTAAACCTCGTGGACGGACACCAGAGCGGGATGCACCCGAGGAGCGCACTCCAAGACCAGCCCGGCCCGGGCAGGCTAATGAACTGAATGATGTCTCGATAAGAGATTCAGTTTCGATGATATCAATATCATCATATAGAACGGCGGAGGAAAGTCCTATCGAGGGGGGGTCAACTCCCCCGGCTGCGCAACATGACACTGAGTCATCTTCCACCGAAACACCGACAAGACGAAAGAGTGTTCGAGTATCTCTTCAGCCGACATTTTCTCCTACTCCGCCTGCTCTGGAAGATGACGAAGCTCGTGGCCGTTACCCCTGGAGCTCGACGAAGGACGTCACCAATCATGATGAATCCAGCGAACCTGTCATATGGCAAGACTCGAGCGACGAAGATGAGGAGTACAGTCGTGCACGGAAGCTGCTTAGCAGAGCCGGTAAGAAAGATAAAGGGAAGAAGAAGGATGTATAGCCTGTTGCCGAGTTAAGTCATTCCGAGTTCAAACAGGGATCACACTTGTTACATCCCTTTTGGCCCTTGATCAACATTTGTTCTTCAAACTCATTATGATCGTCAGCATTTCATTCGCAGTCCTCGGTTAATTGTTACATACCTTCACATATAATTTTTTACATCGATTTGGTTTACAGTTGAACGTTGAACCTTTTAAAGCTTTATACATATTCCGAATACATAGGCTGGATTGCTTTCACACTTACCGCGGGGAGTTGAGGATCTGTGCGGATTAGGTAAAAGAAGCAGTACAAACACCGACAATCTCTGCTCGCCGTCCCGTCCATACAAGTTCCTCCTTGTCTTCGTCACTTCCTCACCGAGTTTATCTATCCGCGTTTCCTGATCTTTATTCACGTTATTTGTACAATCTTTACTCGCTACCATGGCTGAAGAGCTGCAGCAAATGTCTCAAGGACAAGACAACCTTAAGCTTGAGGAGAACACGCCAATTAATGTCAAGGTACGAAAATCGATGGCATCGCATCTATTGACGCGACTTCCCATCTTGCAACGGATCGCAAGTCTGATCTTCTCCCCCAGGTTGTAAGCTCAACTGGGGACGAGGTTTTCTTCAAAATCAAGAGCAACACCAAGTTGAGCAAGCTTCAAGGCGCTTATGCTACTAAAGTCGGTAAGGATGTGGGCAGCATTCGGTGAGTAAAATTTCCACTTATTGGGCAGGTGGATTGTTATGGGTGGCACAAACTGTGTTGGTTCCCAATTTGCTGAACAACCCTTCATCAGATTTTTGTACGACGGATCGAGAATCAACGACGATGATACACCTGCAAGCCTCGAAATGGAGGACAATGGTGAGCCTTTTTCCTCTGTCGTATATTTGTTTGTTTCTGAAATTACTCCTATCTAGATACGATCGATGTGATGGTAGAACGTGCGCACTCTTCCAGTTTCTTCGTTGCTTTCCTAATTTTTGATCTCATTATCCTCTTTTTGGATATGCAGAGGTTGGCGGTTCATCTCCTGCATATTTGTACAGTCGTCGCCCATAATTGTAACACTACGGTTTATTTGCTTCCTTGTCAATCTGACGAATATTCATAATATTGCATCGACCAATATCTTTTGGATGTAGTATCGCTAGCGCTTAGCTCTGGCGGGGAAATTGCCACTTCTCTCGAGAATAAGTTTCCTCGTCGCCCGCTCAGCGCCTTGTTGAGTACAATGATACACGTCTGCAGGCACGGCAGAATCTTTTCAATTCGAACGTTAATTATGCTTATCTGACTAACGCGCTTATTAACGTTGATTCCGTTCACCACGGGATCATCCCCTCGACACGGATCACAACCCTGGATATCAGCATGTCATTGATATGAGGTATGTCTACTTTGACCTACCTTGTGCTGCTCGTGAAGCTTAAAACATCCTGCACAACAGTCCTCAAAAACACTTTTTCTGACTTCGATGTCATATCTACCCGAGCTTTTGGGGGTGTTGGTGTGAACTCTGGGGCTACGTACTTGACATGCAGCACTGTTAGGGCGCTGAGCGCCCAGCTCCAAAAACCGAAATACATTGTCATCAAGTGCGCTCTTCATTTAGTTCCGCAGAATATGTATTCCGCCTGAAGTCAAACAGTCATAACAGGCTTGTGGATGGAAAAGTTCGAATCCATGAGGATGTCATTGAGCTAGGTAGAACAGGAGTATCAACGGTAGAAGAATTATGTAAACGGTCTCGCGCGGGAATAAGTGTGAAATGTAACTCCAGTGTTGAATATTGAATTATGGAATGAAGAATTGTCAAGTTACGTGTCATGATGTGGAAGAATGTGAATAGATGATGTCAAATAAGTAACATGCAAAAAATCTGAGAAAACGAGGAATGCTCATGCAGGTCTCCACTCAGTGCCTGGTCTGTCAACCATGTGCGACACTTCTTGCCAACTTGCTGGGGGTTCACTAGACGCTGAGGTGCCTTCTAATGTAGCAGCCGCTGTTATGAACGACTGAGCTGCGGTACTGATGTCGGGTCGGCTATCATCACTTTGTCCCCCATACGGCCGCCCGGGAATATCTAATCGCTCGACCACTCGCTCACGGGAAGTAGGGCGAGCAGTGAGACGAGAGGTAGTCGCCTCTGAAGGTGCAGAAATAGAGGGGGTATAGATGGAGGGGTTCGAGGAAGTCTCTCTCAGACGTGACCCAGAGCGTTGCCATAGGTGGCCTCACTCCGAAAGTATAATTCTCGTTGCTGCTGTGAACTCCCTCCGACCCGCTACGTGAGCGAGAGTCGGATGAATACGTCGTATCCTCCTCAAGACGAGCCATAGACGAATTTGCACGAGAGCGTATGGACTGGACAAGATCCAACGATGATCGTGAGGCGGCTCCGATACTGTGTATGAGTGACTGCGTCCGCGAACGAACAGCTGAACCAGCACGAGAACTCGACGAACCCGATTGAGAGGCAGATCGAGAATTAGATCGAGAACGTCCAGATTGTGAACGCCCAGAATCTGAGCGATGACCACGACGGCGACGGCTGCTGACCATCGATGATTTCGGGCTGCGAGGACCAACTCCGAGGAGACCGACACTATCCTCGCCTTCCGCAGCTTCATGGGGACCTTCAGGCACAGGCTGTTCCATCATCTGAGGCTCATCATACTGGTCTTCTGTCTGGTCCTCCTCCTCCCCATCCTCCTCTGCCTCATCGTCATCGTCAGCCTCCTCACTAAGGAAGGATTCATAACCGCCGCTACCAAAAGTCTCGGTATTGGCACTATCGACACGAATTCTGGTGGGAGCAGCGTACACGATCGGAGAGGGAGGCGACAACGCTGGAACAGTTCCTGCACGAGCGCGACCACGGCCTGGTTGGGGATGACGAGGCGGCATAGGTATCGGGCTACCATATCCAGAACTAGGACTGGACAACCCCGAGCTCATGCCATGCGAATGGGGAGATTCAGATGAGGTATCACGATTGCCAGTGGATTGTGTAGAAGTTGACGTTCGCGACACCGTTGAACGAGTATTCGTTGATGGATGTGTCTTAGGAGTCGAGTGTGTACCAGTCGTTGAAGAAACTGAACCTCCACGGCCAGGACGACGAATTTGGAATGGGTAACGAGATGATACCGGCTGTCCAAGACTGGACATTGAACCCGAGGTACGTGGCGGAGCTTCGCTGTTATTTTCGACCTCGATCTCGACCTCGGCCTCTTCGTCTGATTCCTCTTCTTCATCGTCATCTTCGTCGTCGTCATCATCATCCTCTTCTTCTTCATCCTCTTCATCATCTTGTGCTGGACGTTCTGAGCCGCTGGTGGGTGGTGATCTGCGCTTTTCCTTCGTGGAAGCAGGGGAAGGCGGGAAAGGAATTTGATCTTTAGATGACACTTGAGCACCATACCCGGTGAACGGATACGGAAGCTTGAGGAGAGGTGCCGAAGGACCGGACATCTCCTTATCCTTCGATGATCTCTTTACAACTTTGGGGATAATCTCGGACAGCTCCGGTGGAGGTGCTGGCGCCTCACCAGACACCTCTCTCGGAAGAGCGAAAAGATCCTCTGAAAGCGCACCGCGCCTTGCTAGTGGTGGCACGGAAGACAAACCGACAGCCGCAAGCACCTGGTCAACTTCAAACGGTGGGGAGGTTTCCACTCCTAGCAGTCCCGGTTCATCCTTCTTTGCGGTACCAGACCACCGTGCAGGAGGCTTCACCGTCAAGCAGAAATCATAGGCTTCTTGGATACGTAGACGCGTGCAAATTTTCCAGTGCCACGGGAGAGCATCCGCTTCAGAGGCACCGTCACCGTTGTAGTTGGACAGAGACTTCTCGCGATCTTCTTCCTCCCATCTGAAGCGCGGCCCACAGAGTCCGGCGCACGCCTGGCCACTGAGAATCCACAGTCCAATCCTGTTCATATATTTTTTAAAATCAGAAGAAAACGAAATATATTAGCCTGTGATTGCTCACCAGCTGAAGAGTAACACAAGAACACGCCACGCCGTCCAAGCAGCATTGGCTATAAGAACGCCACGGGCGTAAGCCGTTAGTGTGCCATCAGACGCACTGAAGTAAGTTCCATCACGGCGAATAAAGCCAGCTTCGAGCATAGCAACATAATCAGGAGAAGCGGATGTAAATGCGAGTAGCAAAGCTAGGGAGAGTCCCGCTCTAGGTAGTAGAAGCGCGACAGTGGGCAGGTTCTGCGAGTAAAACCAGAACGTTTCCGCAATGCCATCGCGAAGACTACCATTTTCGCCGAAGAAAGCCGAGAAGCGGATGTATTGCATGAAGCAGAAGTTCGTGTATGATGTCATGGAAGCAAGGTTGAAAGCAGCCGAAGAAAGATATAATGGCGTGATGAGCGGTCGCTCTATATCGTTATTCAGTCTCGAATATAATTTGTTGAGCAATAGTACTCACTGACACGCCATCGGCGCCAGAAGGAGTAGACAAGTTCATATAGAACAAGAACCATAGTAATCCAAGCCAGCCAACAAGCTATGTACGCTGCAGCACCGAGGGCCCAATTCTTGCCCGAACCTGGCACACCTGGTGCGGAAGGATTAGGAGACCTGGCGATCCTGCGGAATGATAAAATGAGACTGCGCCTATTGATCCTTGAACAAGATATAAACATACTGCAGCATTATAAATATAGCATTGAAGTCGAAGAATGTTTGCAGAGGAATGTGGTAGAAAGTCATAAGAGGAAGCGAGTAAAAGTAAAGACGAGTTAGGGCAGAAGGGTTCCGAAGCAGTTCCGGGTGAAGACCAGTTGACCGAAACTTTGGTGGCTGAGAGTGCTCCTGTGTTTTGACTGCTGGTAACACTACAGTTTCGCTCAAGGCAGTAGTCGTAGCACGTGACCAGACTCGAGGACGTAGAGGATTACTCTGCGAAGTCTGGTCTGTGATATCCCGGCGATTATACGGATTAGCGCTAGCCTGCGCATTTTCCTGGAGGCTCACAACACGCACAGAACGTGGTGTAGCCTTTCGACCGCCCGAGAACGTCTCGGGTGGGGGAGGCTCGAACATTCCGACGGAGGAGTGGAAAGTTGATGCTGGTGCAGGCGGCGGAGGCCTCCTTGGAAGCCATGAGGGATAACCTTCTGAACCTTCTGATATTCTCGGATGAGTAGAAGAAGAGGGGCGTTCAGAGACGTAGCCTCTGTTTGGGGAATCCCCAGGCGCAGATGCGCTTAAAGGAGATTCTGAAGACATGCTGGGCTGCAGTCGTGACATATCGTTAATAAAATGAAAATATCATGCAAAAGATGAAATAATAAGCGAGTTCGTGAAAACGTAGCCGAATATAAGTTGGTGTCGCGTTAGATGTTTTTTTTCGGGTTGGTTGAATATTAGAAAATGGAATGTCCAGTGAGAGGATGCGAATAAGATGAAGAGCAAGATGCAGAGCGGGAGGTTAAGATAAAAGTCCCCAAGGTCGATATACCGAAGAGATCTAAAAGGAACAGGCAAGCCTCGTGTTCCAAGTCCACGATTAAGAGCCTCGTGTCTTTGCCTTTCGTATAGGTGAACCAAAAGGTGGGAAGAAGGCGCGCACAAAACGAACACGCTCTGCCCTGAAAAACTAAATATCTTGCCCCTCCCAAAAAGGAAACCGAACAAAAATGCTTCCGCTTACCAGATCTTTACGGAATCAAATCGGACCTTAGTGATGGCCAGCGGCTGCAACCTTCGAACCGAATGAAAGAGTGACGTTGGAGAACGAAAGGAGGCACAAAGCTTTTGCTAGAAATACTGACAACTTCCTGCGCTGCAGGAAGCTAATGACTGCAACAAACCAAGCTGGTGACAGTGATGGTGGTACGGGAGAGAGTTGTGTATCTGTGTTTTCCAATGTCACCTAAGTGTCACCGTCGTTGCTAGGCGGGAGACATGAAGAACAACAGAAACAATGATAACGTAGCTCGTACTTCACTACAGGTGTTTAATCTAATCAGTAAATAACTTTAACACCGATGTTGGTTGTCTCATGACTCCCTCGGAGTGAAATGCAAGACGTCGGAACCCTCTCCATACGCCTCTTCCCAGTCGAAATCGCTCTGTTGGTTCTCCTTACCAAACGCTTCCAAGAGTTTCGCAGCTTCCTCCCCGCCGCTCATAATTGCGTGACCCGCGTCACAGAACTTTCCCCTGGCCCCCTGGCCGTATATACGTGATTCATCTCCGGAAAGAAATGTGCCGATACGACGGAACGTGAGACTGATGCGCTCTCCATTCATGAATTGTTCCTCTGCGGACTTTAAATGTATCGGACGTCTGTCATGGTTAATTGCGTGCAACCATTTCGCATTCGTGTCGAGACCAAGGACAAACATTGAATTATGAGGCAGCGGAATTTTCTGTGATGGCCGTGGGGTCACGGCACTGTCACCCGTTTGTTGCGCCCCATCTCGTTTCAGACGAAGTGTCATCACTCGCTGAGCGCCTAGGCTGACATTGACTATCTTCGATCCACGCACGACATCGATCGTCTTGTCAGAGTGCTCTGAGATGTAGTCCGCACCACTGCGGTAGTGTTGAATTAAGACATGGTTCACGGGGTGATTAAGAACGTTCTCCACGTGCTCGCGGATGGTAGCTACCGTTGGGGAAAATCGTCGAAGCGGAGGGGACTCATCTGCAGGATGTCGGTAAATTGGGAAGCTGAAGTTGAACGGGATCAGCTCATCGAAAATGCGGGGGGAGAGAAAGTACCTTCCATCATTTGATATCTCCCCCTCGACTGCCACGCGCCTCGGTACCTCACCACCTGAACGCCCAACCATGTCAGAGCCCGAGCAACACGAGGTGATGGAAGGGGCATACCACGGTGATACATAACATTCCAATCAACCTCGTCTATAATCTGCTTGAACGCTGTGTCGCATAATTCAGGGGGAAGCACGTTAAGCATGAGGCTAGAGTCCCCATCTCCGATCTTGTCACCCACACCAAGACTCGATGGCGGTGTCTGCTTCCTGATACATAGAATGACTGAATTTCCTCGATTCTTATTGTGTGAACACGCACATCTCGATTGTGATCTCGGAGTGCTGAGGTCAAAGTGCTGGTAACGGTCTGATTGGGGGAGATGAATGTTCGATCGGGTTACCCTATGCGCTGATCTGTAAGAGGTAGTTTGGTTAGCGATAATAAAGGATGTGTGGGCGTACGTGGACTCGGACTCTGGCCTTACTCAGGACTCGGAGTCACTATAGTAGTAAGTACCGTGTAGTTGATACAAAGTACAAATACTTTTGCATTATGTAAGACTCACATGCAATTCGACGCATATCGTGCGCTAATTTCACTGCCCCTCCGAGTATTTGTTCATTGCCTGCTCGGAGTAAGCTCAAAAGATGAGCGCGCAACGCGAACAGTACTCAATACCATGGATGATCATCGCATTACAACACAGCCGCACAATAAGCAATATGTGATCAAGTGGGAGAGGGAAATAGCGGCTAAAGAGAATGCAACGGTTGTATCTTTCAGATTCAAAATGCGCGCAAACACCCGCGCCCTGCCATACAAAGACGTGAAACGTAACAGTAACACGGCATGTGATTGAAACAAAACGTACACAAAAGTTGGGACGCGAACACAACGGCGAACGCAGACTGGAGCCAGGAGCAGAAAGAGGTCACAGTTCGGTAGATATGTGGACGCAATTCGGGATAGTAAACATGATCATATTTGGTTCAACAGCATGGTCAACCGTCAAGAGGATGTCATTAAACCTCATCGAGCGCGCAGAACCCAAGAGACGCTGGCTAGAGGCATAAGTGTGATGCGAGTAATCGCAGGCCAACAATTGAGTATTATATGAATGGCAGAAAAGTATCGACAAAACTCGAGGTGGGAGAACCAATAAACGAAAGGAACATGATCAAAGCTAATACGAAGTTTTATGTAACTACAGCCTGAGCTCAATATGAAGGGAACATAGCCGCCGTCAGCAGGCTTCCCACGACATTGTCTTTAGAAACGCGACGTCAATCTCTCCGTTCAGCAATTTCGATTATGATCTATATCATTATGATCGGTGATCGACGTCGCTATCACGTGTCTATCTGATTATTTTCACGGAAGAGTTTGGAAAGTGAATAGAACAAAAAAAAACATTACAAGGAATATTACAAGGAACACGGAGTACGGCTAACTTGATAGCAATGCTACAATCTCCGGAGATACCTCATCCCAAGCAAGTAAAAAGGTAATACAGTCACAACATTACTTTACGACGCGTATTGGCAATTATTGTCAAAGAAAGGCAAACGACAGGAGTGGCACAGTGAGAATCGCCGCGGGCAATCCATCGCAACGTAGCATAAATTACGACGATACGCGCTGAAGCGTACGGGTAGAAGTTGGTTGAAAGGAGGACGATGGCTTCTGCATATCTGCAGGATTGCCGGCTGGGTATTGTTGGGGTGGCCGACCATTGATTAAAACAGGTGGCTGGCTCAGCATTGGTGCCAAAGACGCTGCGTCTTTCTGCTCCAAACGTCGCTTTTTGGTCCGCGGAGAAACGTCCCCATCTTGCACATCTTGGTCAGCAGTGGCACTACGCTTTTTCTCTATGTTTCCGCCAAACTCAGAAGGCGCCCTGAATCTAGAGAAGGGTCTGGAGATCGTCGCCAGCATTTGTTCAGCGGTAATCTCTTGAAACCTCATTCTCCACGTCTTAGCAAGCACCTCCCGCTTGGGTTTGGGAAGGTTGTACGCGCGCCATGGGTAATGCGGTCGTTTGTCGTAGGCCTCAAGTGCTTCCCTGTCTTTATTACTCCATCGCTCCTCTTCATCTTCTTTCTTAAGCCAGCCAATATCAAGCAGGCGACGTGTGATTTTCCCCGGAAGACATGGCCGCATCATAGTGGGGTGCGAAATTACGGTCTCGTACGTGTTCCACGCCTGTAATGGATCAAAGAGCTCGACAGCGCGCTGCGGAATTGGAACGGCCTCATGGGCAAAATCGCGAACTTTTATTCCCGTTTTCTGGATTTCTTCTACGATTTCCTCTTGAGTGAGGTCCAAGGGGATGATTTCCGTGGGAGCGGGGGACGGAGCTGATGAGCGAGAAGGCTACACGCAGGTAATCAAAATTTGCAATTTCTACAATTGATGGGTATGACTCACTGGTTCCTGGGGCTCGAATGAGGGTTCTCTCGACAACACCTGTGTTGGGATGTCGAGTGTGGTCTCACTTTGGGTTTGTTCGCCAAAGGTTGGGTCCTGATTAGACTCTCCTGTATGCTGAGAGCCTGTACGTGGGAGCGTGTCCTCTAATGTAGGAGCAACGTACTGAACCGGATTACTGGCGGGTATACCTGTTCGTAGGCCGAGGTCGAGTTCGAAGGGGTCGTGTGCTTGGGAAGACGACATCGCAGAGGATACAAAACCAAGCGAATTTAATGTCCAAAAAGCGTAGACACTTTATACATTCACAGAACTCAGCTTGTGATGAATTCAATTGTGTTGCTGTCAGTGTCAATGATAGAATTTGTGGCAATTGCCAAACGGCAATTCCCGGCAGCTTTAGAGGTCCGTACGAACAAACAATGACATTGTGTCTGTACATGTCTTTTAGAGAGTCATGTCAAGTTCTGTCAGAAGCCTGAACGATTACAATAGAGCTTGGTCTCAGGTTTGTTTTATTGAGCGGAAATGGAGCAATTGGAGTAAGATTTTGGTACCCCTAAATAACTCGACGCGACGCGACGCGTCGCGTCAACAATCCCCAGGGCCTCTAAGAAATTCTAACAGATCCTGCAGCGGTTGTATGGACCAGTGCAAAGGAGGCTTCAGAGTATTTTGTGCCAGTCTACTAACCAGTACAAGCTCGGTGATGTCTGCTTGCTCGATGGACAATCGTAGTACCTCGCTACTTGTACCGAAGCGTCGATTTTGAAGGACATATAGCGGGAGTGGGCAATAGGCATAAGCGCTTTTCCATCTGGGAGCGCATTCACACATTCCAACACCAATGACAATGATGCATGCGCAAGGAACTGATAGACGTATGCCTTTTCTGCCGACGCAGCCCGCATGATTCAGCATTCGACTCAAAAGTCACAGCGAGCAGCTTGTCACGTAAAAATATACAAAACCTGGCCGATTAAACTGCCCATATGCTAGAAGGCCTGTATTGCACATGGTAGACACGGACCGTTAGATCCTTGCCAAATGAATTATCTCCCGCACATCTTCATTCGTCTCCGGGGGGAAGAAGAGTCGTAAACCAAATTAATACCGCGCTGGAGCCGGTCGCCTCCCTCCAAGTAGACCACGGCCTCGATGCTGGAAGAAGATTCACAATTAAAAATTTAACGCAAGTACGGACTTACTTGTAGTCTCCCGCGGTGAGATCTACAGACCTTGCATAGGTCCTTGATAGAACGAAGATACGTTCAACCGAGTTTCAAGGTTCGTTTAGATGGTTTGACATGTGACAAGGCACGTGAACGGACAGCCACATAAGATGGTACGCGACGCGTTGCAATGTTGGTCCGGTCATCGTCGCACAGAAGAGTTTGAACATTTAAAAGTTGCAGTATCAGTCTGATAATGTACGGATCTTAGAGCAAACGACAAGCGGACCTAGATCAAGCTAACACGAAAGTCAATAACAGGAATATATCATTGTTTCTGTAGAATAGACATTTCATTGTGTTCGCTCCATCAGACAACACACAAAATCCGAAAGATTATAATGCATGACAGCGTGCTCACAATCTGAATGAAAACCATCAGGCTGTCTACTGCTTTTTGGCCTCTCTCTCCTGCTTCCTGAGTGCCCTTCTCCTGATATCCTTATGCAGCGAATGGGTATAAGTAATAAACTGGGACTTCCATCCGATAACGTGCATCGCGTAATCGAGGATTGCGTGGCTCCAGAACGCTGTAAGCGTGCCTGGGCGCTCAGTGAGTGCTGCACCGCAGGAGAAGCCAATTTTGGAAAGGCATGCGCGCACGTAGGATGCGGGACTGGGGATTAGCGCAGATGTGCGTCGGATATTGGACATCTTGGAAACCTGGAAAAACAAGAAGGGGGAACATGGTAAGAAGTAATGGCTCAGAGACAGAATGAATGTCACGCACGACAAAGTAAGTATTGAGATGTTGGACGACGACCCCATGGGACCGAACTTCCTCTGCGAGGGCGCTGGTGAAGGTTTCAAGGAATGCCTTGGTACCACTGTATGTCGCTAGCATTGGAGAAGGTATGAGACCTGCGAAGGAGCCGAGGTTGAGGATCAAGCCACGTTTCCTAAGTGCATTTGCATTGAATGCCATAGAGGTGAGATACAGGTTGAATAACTCACAGCTTAATCATAACAGGGAGAACTGCATGCGTGACGCGGATTGTCGCATTCACGTTGATGGCAACGATGTCAGCATTTTCTTGTTCCACAGTTTCAGCAAAATAAGTGGGCATGGCGTGGGATTTTCCGACGTTGTTCACTACGCTGTGTCAAAAACAGAAGTTTAAGAGTGCTACTGAGCACGCACCAAGGACACCAACATCGAGAGTATGAACGAGAGCTTTCAGGCCATCATATTTAAGGTCGTCGTTTTGGGCAAAGTCGATAAGGTAGATTTTAGTTTCAACTGCAGATTTTGTTTTCGTAGCTAGAAGAGATGTGAAGCTTTGAAAAACACCAATATGAAGAACTCATACCAATCTCGACTGCCACGTCGTTCAACATCTTGGCATTCCGTGCGACGAGCAAGACGTTGAACCCCGCTGAACCCAGCTGGATCGCAAATTCCCTCCCAATGCCATCTGAAGCACCCGTGACAACTGGAATGAATGAGTGAGATTTGCACGTTAGCAGAAGTCGCCTTACTGACCTGCCCATGCTCCCTTCTTAGCACCAAACTTTTTGAGCTGCAGTAAGGCAAGTCAGGTTCATCGGAAGACTGAAGACATGTGTTCTATGATCCACATACATCTGTCCCAGAAAGAATGAAGGTCTGAAAGAATACGACAAGAGTTTTGAACGTAAAACGTGCAAATGTTAGAGCACCGAGAGATAGTAGAAGTGTATACTGCCAGGGACAGCTATTAACTATTGCGGGAGGTGAGAAGGCGTTTATTATATCACAGAAAATATACTGACTTTGATCAAGAAGCCAAACTTTGAGTGCAGTAGTGTCCATTGTCGCGTACTTAGCTGGCAAAGTGACGAAATGCCTGTTACTTACTACTTAGTAAGCAGTTTTTCCCACAATCCATATTGTGGCACAGGCGCACGAATCTCTTGATCTCGAATTTCCGTCTCTTTGCCGTCTCTTCCTTACAAGTCCCTGCAGCTGTGTCCTTCATCTAAAGCCAACATTATTTTGTTAAAATCATGCCAGTAATTACGTGATTTCTCACTGGCCATGCGTAACTTAAAGTCGATCGTTTACCTGTGCGGTGACAACAGTCCCTTATCTTATTCATATTAATGCGTCCAGTGCACTCCAGGGAATTGGCCTTGACAGCTCCTACAATCATCTTACAACACTGTGTTTGTCACCTGTTGCTCCCTGCGATAACCCTTGGCCTTGATGCCGTCAAATCCAGTCCTGGAATCTTCCATGTCGTTCAAATCGACGTAATGAACGAAGGCAGTATCAAGACTCGGCGTTAAAAAGTTCTCGAGCTTCTCAACGGCACTGGGTTTCGGACTATATCATTAATAATGCTGCGATCGTGCGTTTTCCTGTGCTAGCTTTTACAGGTTGTATGGTGATTCTGGCACTGCAGAATCCCGGTAGAGACTTCTATTTAGCTTCGATCCAGCTGTGCTTGCAGAGACAATCAAATACAATGTCACAGGTCTAGCACTGGTTACAACGCTTCCTTCTCGCAGCCATCGAGAACAGTGGCCGCAAAGTTATTATCAACATGAGATTCTCTCTTACCAGTATCCACAAAGATATCGGGTCCGCTAGTTATGCTATCAGCAATTGACATGCTTGTAGGTGATCTCCTCATTAATTACCTTTCGCTAGATTGCTAACTGTTATCTTTTGTTTTCACGAATGAATTCTTTCGCGCTGTTTTTGATCTATACTTTCTCTTACCATTGCTACTGATCGGCTATGCAACAGACATACAAACAACATTAACGCGTGAGCATCCCCACTCTATCCCCATCCTCCCGATTGGGTAAAGACATGGGCAGCAAGGGTGCGGTGATCGAGCTAAGCCACATGTCTCTGACAAACATTCTGAACATCGTGACGAAACTCTGATGCGGGCAAGTTTTACAATTATTTTGGGAAGCGGAATCCGTGGTGATAGGGTATTCTTTGCGAAGTTGTATAGCCATCGATATTATGCTGTGAGTGGTAATGCAGGAAGTATGGGCTCGTTAGGGCTTTGGCGCATTCCTCATCCGCATTCGTTATAGCTCCTGCCTTCGTACCAAAGGGTCTGCTAGCTTCGATCACACTTTTCAATCTGATATGCAAAACTGTGACTCTTAGACTTTTGCGATCCGAATCAAATCGAAGAAGAGGCTCCGCGAGGGTCGCAGCACGTTATCGTATCACCGCCGTCCTAATATACCCTTGGTCCATCCAGTAGCAACGTAAAAGCCTCCGCACCAAACCCGCACGTCATTTACTTTTGTCATCTAATCGAACATGCAGTTACATTACCCGCCTCACCGATCACACGTGTCGATGGTTCTTCCGAATCTCTCACAGAGCCTCGACATCAAGACTGTCATATCTCGAAATACAACGATATGACCTAGACCTAGACATGATGGCGTACGCTCTATGAATTACATGTCTGATTCCGTGCTGGTTTACAGGATCGACAGACTTGGAGTGCGTCCCAAAGCTCGCAGAATGATCAGGCACGTGGTTGACGCACGGCGGCCTTAATCTACGTGACGTGGCTATCACATCGCCAGCATGCGTTTGGTGCGTGTTTGTCTTGTATTGACCCATCCATCAATTTTCCTCCCGCAGCCCCCCGATATGCTGTTGTTGATCTCTTCAAATGACCTATTAGCCCTGGAAAAGACTAGTCGGCAGTCTGAGATGGATAGAAGCAGTATCATCCAGGGGCTCTCATGAGATGTTCTTCCATTTCATGCATGTGCGCCTCTTGTTCTATGGTCCGCACGCTTCAACTGGATGCAATATTGTGTCAAACAAATAGCCGCGTGTCGCCTATTAATTCGGTTCGGTAGATCTGAATGGCCGTGTGTATTGAGGAGGTTTAAAGCGACCTGGGGGAGATCGGCCCAAACCGAACCTCTACATCTAATTCCCTCTCTCCTCCCAGGTAATTTACCAACCACACTAACGACTTGCAATGCCTGATGTTCATGGTGTCCTCATTATCGCCCGCAATGGTGACCGCACGGAGTTTTACCAAGATCCGTATACCTACGAGCCCTCTTACACCGAGTCCACACCTCTCGGCGCTGTATGTCTACCTCGTTCTCCGCGCTCGCTGCCTAACATACGACTTTAGGTAGAATCACACCAGCTTGGCTGCCATTTGAGATCGACGTACCTGAACCCCTCTTCCCCGTCGCACATCCAAGGCATTCGTGCTGACCTCGTGCAGAACGATCAAGTGCTTGTCCATGCCAAGGCTGGTGGAGAAGGCACTGCAGTCTTTGATAGTGCCATAGCCGTCCTGCAAGGCCTCTTCCCGCCAAATTCTGGCAACCTGATCCACCTCGCCAACGGATCGGAAATTGTCACTCCACTCGGGGGTTACCAATACATTCCAGTCGAAATGGCCCCGAGCAACGTTGACCGCGCGCTTGAGTCCTGGACTGAGTGTCCGGTAAGTTACGTGCCTCTAGGGGTCTGCGGAAGGCTGATTCGGGTGGTATATAGGCATTCGAGCAGCACATCAAGAGCGTGTATGCATCTGAGGGATTCAGGGAGACAGTGAAATCTTCAGGACCTTTCTTTGGCGCCGTTCGCGACTACGTATTCGGGAGGTCTACGGCCTTGGAAAACGCTGTACGTATTATTTCGTTTCGTCCTTACTCGTTCTGATCGCCCTATGACAGTGGAATGTATGTAACACGCAGCATTCTCATGGTCATTTAATGTTGTTATATTCCATGTAGATCTATGACTTCATTAACGCGCAACTTACGCACAACCAAACCTATGCGTACCGTCTTCCGCCAACTTTCATTGAGCAGGCCCACGGATATGCTAACTACCACGAAAACGCGATCTTCTCGGATAAGGAAACTGGTGGAATTGGAAATAGTGTGTGCCACTAGCTCGCATGGTTTGCAACTAATCTCCTGCCTAGTTGCTGGTCGTACTATCCTTAACACCATTCTTCACACCCTTCAACGCATCACTTTTGACGAGGACCCCTTGAGGTTGCTTCTCCTTGAGACGAGTTACCAGCCATTCATCTCGCTATTCCACATGCTGGAGTTAGTCAATGAGCACCCTCAGCTCGCTGCTATTCGTGAGTGTTCTCCTTCAGGCAACCTTACAGCGACTCGATATTTGCATCACTACAGCGAACCATGCATCTGCCCTTGCCTTTGAGATTCTTCGTGGACCTCCACCTGAACTTCGCGAATTCCTCCGCATCAAGTTCAAGAACGGGACCAACGAGGAATTCCAGACTTATCCTGTTTTCGGTCACCAAGGAGACATAGCGGTGACAGAATTCTTGTATCGCCTCGAGGTAAGTTTTGTGCACGTCTTGTTTGGCTCGCACTCATAAGTTTTCCAGAACTTTGCTATCTCGAGCCAAAAACAATGGGAATCTGCGTGTGGAATCCATAGCGGCTACTTCGGCATCACGTCTGCTACTGAGAGCATGAACATGCTGTTCGCTGCATTCTCAGTATTCTTGCTCCTTGGTGTGTTTGTTCTGTCATGGTTCAAGCGCAGGCGGGACACATATGTTCCTGTTCGTGAAGTGGTGAGTCGCTTTAATGTGTGCTGTGTTCGGTTGACTTACGAATACGGCATGTAGCATGTTGTTAGCAACGAGAAGGGGAGACTTTTGCCATGAGTTTGGTGTGAGGCGAATAGGTGATACCATAGGCGTGGTTTTCTTGTATCATGTTGTTTGAGTAGCGTTGCATTTGTTTAGGTCAACAGTCTTTGTTTACTTGGACTACGTTTCTTAACGATTTCACTGAATCCCTGCGAGAGGTGTCTGCGTGTGTGTCGCTACGCGCGTAGTAGACAAACGATTTGAGAGAGATGGTTTGAAGAACTGAGAAGCTATTCGAACCTGGTCACGTGTACTATCGCATCTCACTGAACATCCATGATATTGATTGAATCCAGCGTCTTTCAAAACAGAGCCTTAGCAGAGACCAGCTGTTTCGAGAACAAGACGTTGCAGCAAACCCACCACTGCCATCATTCAGTGCGCTCTACATTACTTTCATCATGGAAACCGATTACATTTTATCATAAATACATGGCCTGGTCACACAGTCCGTCTTATTCATTGAAAACGCACTCAATCATGCTGGTCTTTCTCCGTCTCCTCTCTTCTCCACGTGGGACCACCTTTCAATCTCGTAAAATACCCGCTTCAAGCCGTTCCTTGAACTTCCTTATTCCCTTCGCGTAGCTGCCAACAAGTATCCTAGCGAACTCTCCCATATTCTTGCTGACGGCGGCACTGCAGTGGAACACGGGAATAGCTGTTAACAACCACCTACTTGCACGTCATCCAACTCCTGTAGCAGGTCCACATCGACCATCCCAGCTGCACGAAGGATATTTTCTTGGGGATCCTCGACGTCGCTCGCGAGGTCTCTTAATACACGGAAGCGGTTCGTAGTAAGCCACATGATTTGGAGAATGCCAGCGCTATTGATAGGCATTGTATAGTTGCGCCCATGCATCCCGTTTGTCACGCGCATTGATAGCGCCAACATGAGCAGAGAGCAGGTGAGCGCAAATGCAAGCTAGATCATTTGGTTGGTGATGCACAATTCTCACATGCAAGAGGATCCTTACGGGCCATGAGTTTATCTGGATGATCTATTTATCAGCCATGAAATTCACTATCGAATGATTCTCGACCTTACACCAAGGTGCCATTGCAGAATCTGCTGTGAAATGGTGGTATTTTCATTTTTCCGATCAAACCCGCCGCCGTCGGCACCGAGCTGTCCGCCTTTTTAGCCGCAGTACGTTAGTTAACTGTATCTGCACAGATCAATCAGAAGTCATAACACACCTGTCCATAGAACTGCAGCATATGCTCTTGATAGAGCCGATTCAAATTGGTCACGGCTGCCCAAAACTTGCTTCGGAATTGGAGGGTTGACTAGGACAGTGGTTGTAGTCCACTTTGGGTCGCGAAAGACGACGTTTATTCCAATCTCCTGCATAAAAAATCTGACGATTATTAGCAAAGATTGAACATTACTGCGGGCTGTGCATGAATTACACCTCCAAAAGGGAGAACCCATAACATGATGCTTGGTGCTGATTCATGCACCGACCAACGGGATGATGTGCCCCGCCCACGAAAGGAGAGACAAGCTATTAAGTGCCGAAAACATGGTTAGATCTCAGCTAGTCCATCAATGGCAGAGACTTGCCCATTTTTCATGATGCAATACGCTTGCTGATGGCGGTGACCAAATATCCCATTTAGGTTCTTCCTCCGGCACTGACCATGCCTCCCATTCACCAGAAGCATTCAACTCAAGGGACGGGGAAAGATCTAGTAGTTGATTGGTTTGTACGTCAACAGTGGCGGCACGGGGTTGAACGTCAATAGTGCACGCCACTATATGGACATCGTACATGTCAGAAATCAGGGGAGACTGAAGATCACCTATGATCGTGCTCAGATCACATTCATGCATAGCAAAGCCTCTTACTTATAGCGACCCCTGGCCCGCGAGGATGTTCCCAATACACGTGCTGAACTGTTTCATCGCCAGGTAAATTGCTTGAGTTCACAGCAGTCGAGACTATGAAAGCAACAGTCGGCTATAATATAGTCACTTAGCGAGAGATTCAAATTTCAGGAATATTGATATGTACTCCCGGAAAGAACGACGAGATGGTAGGACTTATCATAACCTCATCTGAATCTAAGATTAGGTGTTAGATGAATCTATTCCAGGACAAAATAGAAGAAGATACATACAAGGATGCATAAGTCTAGCTCTAAATTTCACGGTATGACTGAGGTTTGGCATTGGCGGGTTGAGTGTAAAATATCCGAAACTGTCAGCATTGATTTCAGGAGAGTAATTTAACACGGAATTGCGAACTAGTCCGCAATTCGCTCTGAACGAAGATGCATTGACGATGGCGCGACCAGGTGTATCGGTAGTTTGAATGATGTCGTATAGAGTGGCACCGTAGAGTCCCATGCCCTGAAGATTTGCGAATCGGCCTAACGTAGGAACCAATGCACTGATGGTGTGCCACTGCATTGCCATCATATCTACGCCTGGACTAGGCCAGTAAGAAATTTTTGTAGCGGATGCATCCACGGTTGAGTTGAATGTTTGCAACTGAATGATAGACGACGAAACCACGTGAAGGGAAAAAACACATGCAAGATAGGCCGTTATGGACAGTATGCTCCACCTTGATGCAGGGATAGTTGATTGCTGCCAAAGACACTCCAACGCAGAACCGAGGCCTTTCCATGCGTTCACCGTGTCATGAAGAGCGGTTACCGTCTGGCGTCGCATCATGTTCTTGAGGAACGTTAATCGTTGCATCAAGTAAACGAGTATCGTACAATAGATCTGAAGGGTTCATCGGTGCAAGAAGATAGTACATATGTGATGATTCCTTACCGCATAAAATGCCTGTGATGACGTACTCAGTATAGTGACCCAGATTTCATTGCCAGATGTCAATGGGACGACCAAACGGTGCTCGATACCTGAAATGTTGAGCACAAGAATAACAACGTGGAGGAGGACAAGAATGATGTGCAAAAGAGTGCATAGAATGGCAAGCACTGGCCTCCCTGATTCCTGCCACTGCTTCAGGACCGTTGACGAAGTCAATTGGTGATCTGCAATAGTTTATGTGAGTCTTGAGAGAAAATTTGACGCTATGTTGCATGAGTACCTGGCGACATAGTATGTGTTTGTGCTAGTTCGAGCTCCGTAGAACGCGTGTGGCGGGTACCTATGGGGCGCAAAGGGAGGATACTACGATCTTGCTGTGGCTTTGTGAAAACTTTGGGTAGCAGTGGGAGAGAGTTAATGGGGTGTGAAAGGACATTGTACAAACCCATACGTACTGCTATAAGAGACTAGTCGGGACCGACATACCCCAAGTCCATATGAAGAGGTCTTGCCAGAAGTTTGTCCACTTCTGATGTAGGGAAGTGCAGAGCATAAAACCTATGCATGGGGAAGAAACCTTGCGGAGATCTAAGGTGTGAACTTATGTAAAATAACTCACCATGTAAGGACTCCGGCCCCCGGAATCACTGACAGTCCATGACTCGGATGAGCGTCAGGATGGAAGATCTAGATTATCTTTCGCAGATCATTGTTGATGTTCAGCGCCATAAATATGCTGTAGTTAGTTATGATAACTGCCTCTGTGAATTATCGTAAAAACACCCGACAACTCGGGCACTGAGTTTGACCTCCGAGACCTACTAGTACTATATTAGTCACGGTCATAGTACCACCGTCCACTATGTCTGTGCAATGTGCATCGCAACACGCTGGGAATGGGAATCATAATTACTTAACATTCCCAACGCTTGTCGCTGCATACAAAGATGAGACGCGTGATCGCTGTACTGCCATGGTGCAAATCAGAGGGCACAGGCGGGCCATCAGAGAACCCGTGAGTCTCCCCAGGGTGCTTTACGTTGATTGCGGTGGTTTTCCGACGTTATACATGGCTTTATGTGACTTTATATTCCAATATAACGAAAACCTTTTCTATATATGATCATATATCGGCGTATATGGCAATGTCTGCGGCTCACCAGTCCTCTGATGCCGCGGCCCGCCAGGAGATCTACTACTACAACTTGAAGATGATCAGCGGCCTAGTACTACTAGTGGTGGCAATTGTACTCTATGCCTTATGGTGGACGGTTACAATTTGATTTGCCGCGACTTGCTCGCTTGCAGACCGAGATTCGAGTAGCACGGGCTGATCCTGGCCTCGTGGAAGAATGATGGTAAGCCGCAGCAGCTATGCCTGATCTGCCTCTGGGCTATACTAGTACTATGTCAGTGACGAAAATAGCACAAGGACGTTTAAAAAAATTCGGTCTAAGCCACATACTATACTCAATTTCGATCAATATCTTGAAGGTGGCGTGATGATACGCGCTCTCCCGGAGTAGGTGTGAGATTTTTGATTGAAGGATCCGTATGACTGCAGTGTCTCCAGTGTCCTGACATCCATCATATGCGTAGTTACATAATGGGAGCCATATCAAAGTTAGACTGTGCAGTACGATATCACGATCCTGCGCGATCCTTCTCCGTCGCGCTGCTGCGATAGTAAGATTCTAAGAATGCACCAAAAGGCTGTCCAAGGCGAAGTATCAAACTCAAGTTGATCGGAGTGCAACTACCTAGTACGGTAAACATTGATCGGACTTCTAAATAAATCGAACCGTATCTCTAACCAGTATGCATTATGGCCGTGTCATCGATGCTAGCATTCTTGTAATTGCACGGGGACCATACATCATTTAAAGCAATGTTACGGTGATAAGCTGACTATCTACCCTTGGTATGTTCTCTTCTCTGCTATCTACGAAGCGACAGGGAAACCATGACGGAAACCATGGTTCCATGCCATTGGAGCCAATTGGGAGTTCTTCTTTACACGAACTTGAACGAATACCAACAAACACTCAATGTCGATGCCTCCCCGGTAACAATACAGGTCCAACTCTCATCTCAGCAACTACAAATATCTTGAATTCATCGCTGTCCACACAAAAGCTGCACAAGTCAACAAAATCGGTGTCAGCATTTCTGTGTGTATTTATGCATGGATTTCTTGTTCTTCTCCATCTTGTTCTCCTGGCGTTGAGCATTTCTGCCGTCGAGCACCGCCTTGTCACATCTGAGAATGGTGCATGGATGTCAGTATTAGGCGCATCGACACAGGCCTTTTATGCGGTGAGGCTAATTGATCGTTCAAATTATACTTAATTGATTTTGACTTATAAAGCTGTATTGCGCGATACTCGTTTACCTGGTGCAACGCCTGACACTCTACCGGAACTTGAATCAGCATCAAAAATTGACCATCCTCCACGACAATGTTAACGCATGGAGTGGCCTTGGTTCCGCATTACAGTGTCTCTGGCAGCAATCAAGCACTACTGGATCGTTGTGGTGGATTGTGTCTATCGCCACCTATCTGGGATGCGTACTCGCGCTTCACGTAGCTTCATCATCCATATTGCAACTGCAGACATTCACCGCAACCACAAATATGTCGGCAACAACGTTTGCTCACTGGCCTGGCGCAAATGTCGACATGATGGGGCTTCAGTGGCACACAATTAGCGCCATTGTTCCGTCTCTCAGTCATTTTACTAGTTCGTTGAACGCGGGACTTGATGGTGCCACGCTATATGACACCGTTCAAGCAGATGGCGCCACAGGAAACGCCACTGTAGATGCAACTACCTTCCAAGCGGAATGTGGGTTAATCCGTAATTCTGAGTTGAGCTATACCCCAAAGCTGAATTCCAATCAATTCGGAGACTTGGTGGTCGAGCCTTCGATTTCAGGCCAGCAGACCAGGAAATCGTCGGGCCGGTTGGTACCTCCCTGTCGGTATTTCTTTCATCACTTGCAGGAGCTGTATCTTATATTTCAGTAGATCAAGATCAGTTGGTCACTCAGATGTCTACCTTTTTTCCTGGAGTATGCATATTTCAATTTTTGCTTGCTCTCTGAGTGACCTATGCTACCTTTAGTCCACCATCGAATTCATAATTGCCACGTCCATCGACATTGATGACTCCCTGAAATCAGCAACTGTACACCACATGAACTGGGAATATCAACAAGACCTGCTGTTCGGTATGTGCTCGCAGTACCACCTAGCCCCACTCGCTTATAGTTACAACAGATAGTCCTCAAACTCCGATCATCTCGACTGTGCTTGATGCTTATTTAATGGCTTGCAACATATATGTTGAACATCATACGGCGATAGTCGATATGGAAACAGGTCAACTACTGGCACTCTTGCCGCCCCCGGTTCTATCGCCTCCTTCGAACTGGAAAGGATGGACAGCACCCAAGGGAAACAACACTTGGGATATCTGGTCGCCGCCAGGAATAGGTCAGTATAAGCACCTGCATTACAAATGGGTTAGCAGATGTTTTATCACCGATTGTGACCATTATTTACGGAACACATTGAAGTTTGTATCTCCATTCTACTCTGGAGCTATGCACCCCGTAAGGATTTGTATGACTCGAAGTCAAGCAGCCTGCTACAGACATTCTCTCCTCGAGCTGTAAGTCAAACATTTTGAGGGCTATCTTAACAAACTGACGCCTCGCCTCTGAGGTATTTTATGAAAGAAATTGGCTTAGATGTAGTTTTGGATGAGCAAGCCTCCAGGCCACCGCCTCCATCTGGTCCAAAGAAGGTCCTCTGTAGTCGCCGCCAATTCGAATCTAGTCTCTCTAAGATCTTCGCATCGTTGTTGTGGACAGGTAAAGTGTTTTATTTTCACGTGTACCAGACTTGAAAGACGACGCAGGTGCAAAACTCGGCTCCGATGCTGGTGGCTTTGATTCAGCACAAGGCAGCACTGTCGTTTCTCGGCAGGTTATAAAATGGCGTCTCAACGTAGGTACTTCATCGTACAGAGCATTCAATTCCGCCGACCTATGTTTCAGATCAATTCGTGGCCTGTAAGACCCCAACTGCAAATGAACTTGACAAAGTTTTACTGAGAGATACAGTTGGCAGTTGCATTGACCGCTTCGTTGACCATGCTGATCCTCTCGATCTGCATGTCAGGGAACATGACATATCAGCAGAAAGACGGGATGCCCATAGATAGTACTGGCGTTCTCCAGATCATCTGGCTGACAAACCGTCTCCGCGTGTTGAAAGACCTCATGAGTGAGGTGGATGATCCGAGAGAAGATGTTCTTCGTTCTGCTGGGATGGTGGAAATAGATCTGTTACAAGAGCTAAACAAGGAGGACTAGGTATTGTTGCTAGGTATGCATCGAATTCTTTGGCAGCAGGGCTGACCGGTTGATCGTGATGTGGTTGCTTGAATTTAGCGGAACTTGAAGGTGTACTATGAACGATACCATGAAGATGACTCGCAGGAGCCAGGGCAACCTCCTACTTGTACGAGTTCCGTGTCGCATCCTCAACAAGTATCCCCATCCACCGACTTCTCTCACCCTCCTCCATCACATTGCGGCGCAGGATTGCGTCAAATACAATTCCATGACTGGCTGGCGTGTTGTATCTATTTATCTACATAAACGAGTTCCGCACTCCATCCCAGGCATCCTCATCACGGCCTAATTCACTGCGACCCATGTCAATACGGTTAGAATCTATAGATCAGTATTGCGGAACCGAGTCACCATACTTATCACAGAGGCGAACTGCAAAGCGAGACTATCATTTATGTAAATGCGCCGAAGAATGAAGGAGCTCAAGTAAGGCTGTAAGACATTCTGAATTAAACAGCAGTTGTTCCACCCCCTCGTCCGCGGTCCGCTGCCAAAAGACCATCAACAAAGAAATACATATGGCTGAAAATAAGTAACCCACTTGTACTCGTCGAACCTGCTCATCTGCAACTTGCTGCCGAGAAACTATCAACAAACGAAAAACATATCTGTTGAGAATAAGTAGCGCACCTGTACTCGGCGAACCCGCTCATCTACAGCTCGCTGCCGAAAGACAAAGTACTGCCAAGGCATATTTTCTAAGAATAGCCCTTCCGCGAAGTCGACTCTGAGAAAACATTACCATCAATGAATGAAAACCACGATAAGAATAACCTGCTAGGAATTCCATTTCGCGACACTGTTTTACCTGTGTGAACTTATCCACCGTCTTCTGCCACTCTGGCGGATAAGTCGCACAAACAGCCTCGACGGTCGCAGATGATAGTCCTAACATTGCGACTCTACAGTGATGAGTAGCTGTATTGTGATCTTTGCATGATTCTTGATTCTGAGAGAAGAATTTCTCGAAGAACTTTTTCCCTCAGAATCAGGTTCAGGCTCATCCACACGGACTCCGCGTATCAATAACACTGCTTCTCGTACAATTGATAAGTAAGGGCTTGTTGATGGACGAGGCATAGCAGAGCGGCCACGTAGAGCACTGAATGTGTAGAAGATGGAGAAAACGTGAGCGTACAGAACTTCTTTCGATGAGGGAGCTGGAGAGATGATTTCTGATCATCGGAAATTGCATCTCCATCTCCCTCATCGGTCTAGAGCCATTACCTCGTTCCACAGTGCGATCGGAGAATACGACATCTTCGGCTAAAGAGGTCGAAATATCTGGAATAGAATAACAGAAATTTGTGTTCAGCGCCATCAGTGCATTCCAATACAGTGATCAATATGACTGAGTGAATACGTGAGGTAGCGATTATCGGGCCTATCATCCACCACACAAATACCGATTTGTGATTGGCACACTACCACCTGGTCTAGGGCCGCTGTCGAATAGTAGGCGGAAGGTGCCTCCTCTGGCACGAATTGACGAAAAAGTGCCGCTAGTAAACGGCTGGTCCAGCTTGATCAGTTTCTTCGATCTTTCTTTGAGGGCATCGAATGGTCACGTTGCTAGAAGGAAAGTCGAGCCCTGGTAGCTGATTGCTGATTGTTGACGATAGGTAGGTATAAGATCACTACTGGGACTTGCGGCAGTCATCGAGGATGCTACGCGTACTGAGTCCTGACAACGTTTTTGCAAATAGCTGTAAATTGATATGACGTAAGTTCAACTGCATCCCACGAGCAGGCATCTCTTATCATCCCATTATAAACACTATCGCATTCACTGCATTTGACGATGTCAAAAATATACTTGTTTGACACTGCACTACAGGCTTGCCACACCCTGGACCACACTCTACCGTACCACCCTATCAATTAGACCTTCGCGCGGAAGTTCACTTCCGCACACCTAACCTGTTGATACTAGGTCTTTGTTGTTCTTTCCGTCGTACCTAAAGGCGGTCGGAACAGAACTTGTTTCAAGTTGCTCCCTGACCGCCACACCCTCGTGTTGAGTTCTTCATTCCAGCAAGAGCGGTAATTAAAGCCATCACGTTCTCCGCATTTACACAAGCTTGATCCCTGCAATCAGAAACTGGTCATTGCAATTGTTGTTGTCAAGAAGACCTTGATGCCGATATACTGCAGCAAGAATAAAGTGGTAATCATCGAGGGTGCTGGACCCACAGGTTGCGTTACATTAAACGCTGATACAAGAATAGAAATCATCTTGCTTGCCACATTAATTTCGTGCCTCTCCGAGGTACCAAACAAGACTGATATATGCTGCGGATTGCATGAGGACACTTTGATCAAAGTTCCGCCCATTCAGGTATGAACCAACCTGCGAAAAGGCATAAAAGATTCCAATGCAGGCGCTCCTCTCAACTCAAATATGAAGCTTTCTCTTGTCCTCAGCGCACTCGCATATATCGTGGTTCTTACCGCAGCGCTCCCTATGCAAGCAGCCATCGCGAAACGTGCCTGTGAGTATTCAAATCTTTCATCACCATGCGGAGGTGTGACTTGCTGCTAGGTGATAAACGCGCTGACCTTCTACCAAACGTGGAGAAACGCGAGGAACTTGACCCCGAACCATACTACAATGATTACAACGGCAGCACGTACGAGCCCTGTGGCGGCTAGGCTCGTGGAGGAACTTGATGCCGATGAATTCAAATACCGCCATTACCAGCGAACTTGACCACAGATTCTAACAGGTGAGTTATAGCCGTATGTTTTATTTTTTGTGCAAATCATTAATTGTACTAGGTTCCGCATCGTCGCAACCTTACTTTCCCTGTACATCTACATATTTAAAACTCTTATTTGATCGCTTGTTTTCTGGATGCATGTGTGCTATAATAGAATCCCTGTTGTTTTTACGCGCTCCTTTTGACTTAACTACAGACCTAGCGTTGTTACCACTAAGGTATCATTTGATGACATTGCATGTTGCATTGTTCAGCTCGTTCTCAGTTCCCGTCTAGAATGAGAGAGATGGTATATCAATCGTAGCTTGCTCAGTGTCAACTGGTTCTCATCTGAAGACAACCATATCTTTTGAATGGACCTAACAGGGGAGAGTGCATGTTCCTCGCATCCTATCAATATGACCCGCTGCGTGGTCCTGAAGACCAGGCGACACAACACTTCAGATAAAAAGTTGCGAACATGCACGTTCACCCACGTTACATTCATGAATATACATGTGGTAATGGCGCAACTTCAGTTTAGAATGCTAGGTTGTTCATAAGTCGATTCTACACGTGCAGGGGTAAGTCAAGTTGCGTCTTTTTGACAGGATAGTCAGGAAGGATCAGGTAGGCGCCAATGAGAACGAGTGACTGGACACCAATTGACATACATTCCAGGTTGCAAAATTGCATATGATGTCAGCCAGGACATGACCAATCAGGATGCCTAGCATGAGACTCGAGATCACCACGTACAATGCTGACACTGTATCCAGGCCGCAGCTAGATGTACAGTCAGCGTCCGACAACCTGGTGATAAGCCATGAACCTGCCTTGCAACACAGCTGGTGAGCACTTCTACGGCGTACGACAGACCATGCTTGTGGCTATCCACCAATGGAGTAGGCTGCTCAAAGGGCATCAAAGTTTAGAACAACGGCAATGATTTTGGGTGTTTCTGTGGAGCTTATAGCACGATTAGTATATACTATGAGGCATGCTCATGCAAAAATCGCTGAGATCAAAGGGAATCACTTTGGGTGAGCTTCGAGGCGTGCTCAACTCCACAGTGCCTCGATCCTGTCAGTTCTCGTCGTCGAATTAAAACCGATGAATACGAGATTATTCGGTAGACCAAGAAACTGATTGCGGTTAGTTCAACAGATAACTCATCTGTACTTACTATGATGACCACCAGAATTAGCACAAAACCTGTATGAAATAGTTCCCTGAACGAGTCATGATTGAATGATAGACAATTAATATCGGCGGTATTACGCATATGCAGTGTCCGTCGGGGATGATCGATTGAAAGGGAAATCGCACCGAGTCGATGCGATTGTTTGGAGAATAAGCGGACGCTTGCAGCGCCAAGCCTCGTGCCTTCAGTGTTCTGTTACACTGAGCCTGGCCTCTGCAGGACTTGCATAGCTAGATACTGTGATCTTCTTCACTTCGTTAAATGCCACCAGTGATACCTGGCATGCAAAAATCACTCACCTTTCTACAGGTCGTCATACGAGTTGCTAGATGCCAAGTTAACAAGAGGTTGAACAAAGAACACAAAAATAGATACAATTCATACATCCTACATATATCGTCCATGTTCTGAGCTCTCCTCGATACCTGCAACGACAGTACCCCCTTTCAACATCCTCTTTTCGCCGTCGATATCTCCACCGCCAAGTGCCCGTTCACTATAGCCTCTCATCAAGATCTCATTCACGCGCTCCAAGCTCTGGGTCGCAGCAAGAATTGCGAGCATAGTGGGCGTGGGCGAGATCGTGGGTTGCGAGGTGCTCGAGGTGACAGTCACTGAAACAGATGCCTTCTGTCCTGCATGTACGAGATGGTCAGGATATGAGGGGAACGGCAACATCGGTGAAGCCTCAGTTCTTCTATTCGTCTCCTGCCGCTTCCCTTTCCTGGATCTACTTTGACTCTTGCGCTTCTTAAGTTTTTTTGCAGAGGAAGGGAGCGGGAAGAGTGAGATATCAGGGGAAGTAACACGTGCGCTCTGATTAGCATTCAGAACTTGGGGCGATCCCAGGTCAGCCTTCGTCTTGGACTTTGAGTTTAAGGGGCCGTCACAAGGCCCTGCAAAAACCTTTGCTTTGGACATTGGTGGAGAACACGAGACCAACTTCGGGCTTAAATTCGCAAGCGCGGCGAAACTGAGCGCGCCACATGAGGTAGATGTGAAGAGCAGTGCGGCTTCGAGGGGGGGAGACATCAGGAGCGGGGGGCTACGTGGGAGAACGGAAGAGTCAATTTGCGGAACCGAAGTGTTTCGCTCCGGCGATTTAAACTTAGGGTCCATGCTTGTCTCAAGGAGGTCCTGCTGCTTGCGTTCTTCGGATGATACTTCATGCGTCGAAGTGGATACAGCACATCGCGGCATCGGTGATGGAGATTGTGAAGGAGATAGTACAATGCACGGTGGAGATGGAGAAGGTTTAGCCGGGGATTGAGATGAGAGTAGCGGCACAGCTTTGTTTTTCCAACGAGGCGTCCAGAACTGACTGACTTTCGAGACGGGAGTCCGTGGAGTTTCTGACATTGGTTTATAATCAGTATGCTGATCGCCAGTGGCCTTGTATTTGGGGGACCTGCCGCTCCCATATCTCGTGCCCCCAGGAGTCTGAACTGCCCCTTCAGGGGTTTCCAACCACGCCCTCACAGGCCGTTGCACCTCCCCTCCTGTACCACCCTCAAGCGATCGCAGTGGGACATCCACCGCGCTGCTCCTTCCCCCATGGGGAGCCATACTGTTCATAGTATTTAGAGGGTTGATGTTTAGAGCTAAAGTGGGGATTGAGTTGAGGCGGGGGTGGTTACTCGGGGAGAAATCGTGCGTCCTGACCGCAGCATATTGTCTGCCATCAGCCAAGGTCGAGCGATTTAAGATTCTCTGAAACATGCTGCGTCGAGACTGGCCTGCCTCTGCCCTTTCTGCATCATATACGCGAGAAGAAGCACCATGCGTTTCCGTGAATGGGTCACCATGATCAGAGCCCGCAGTCTCAGCTGAGTTGAACTGACTGGCACCTATAAGGAATGGTGTGCAAAGAGGTTTGGTTGCAGTACCACCGATAGTGGCTTGATCACGCATGTACGTGGGGAAGAGGTATCGTGTGCCGTGTACCGTAGTTTTACTGGGTGTGCCTGCTGCAAAGAGCGTAACTTCTTCTGTGCTCCTGTTGCGAGTCGAGTATGGTCCAGAGCCTTCCGCATCGTCAATACCGCCGTCGCCCTCATCAGGAGGCGCAGGTGTATAAGCTGGACCAGGTTCAAGACTGATCCTCCTCCTGTTACCGGTCTTCCTGCCACCTAGTCCACACACGCCAGAACCCGTATCGCCAAGGAGTCTGAGCTTCCACCACAGACTCACAGCACCCACTCCCAGTAAAATACCTAACACTGCAAAGAGTGGCGCTAGAAAGATGACATCAAGATGCTGGTGGTAGGGAACTTTTGTGACATCGTGAGGCAGAGTGGTATTCAGAGGAGGGAGGGAGGTGATAGAAATGATGGTAGCTATGTTTGCGCTTGCCTCGGTTGAAGCGGGGGCAACGACATCGGTAGGACTGTCTGAAGGAGTTGAATCCAGAGGTGTAGAGGAAGCGGGATACAACGATGAGGTAAGACCGTTATCCTGACGTCCATATGCGTATGCATAATTGATATTCCAATGGGTCAAAATCCCACTTCCGCTCGATTGTATGGTGTGTTCACTTTTCATTATGCACGCTTACCAACCAATGCTGGGGTAGAGCTGCAATATATGATCCGGGCCGAGGACAAGCACCGAGACGCGGCTTTCTACGCCAAGGGCGCTGAGGTCAGCGGCAGGTGCGTCAAGGGAAAGGCCAGCGGCAATGAAGGTGGACCGTCGAACTAAATGGGAAGCGGGAGAATAGGATGCGCCTGTGACGCCTGAACGCTTTGTCTTGCGCCAAAAAGTCCTTGGGCGGACTGTGCAATAAGGATTAGTGCCAGAAAACAAGTATACAGAAGAAGACTCACAGAGAGGAGGTGCTGGTCGCGGAAGCTCACGGGTGTATGCAGATGTAGTTGGAAACGTAGAGAATACGTGTCGTGTGGGAGCCTTGACAGGTTCAGAGAAAGAAACCTGTTCGGGCGGGGCAGACTGCGAACGGGAACTACTTGACTGGTTTCTGTGCCCTCTAAATGAACGCTTTGGCGGTAAAAGTAAGGCTTCGTCAAATGTCCGCACTTCGACGGGCGAAGAAGGGGCTGTCGAGGGATCTGCTGTCTCAAGAGTAACCATTACTGGAGATGCTAATTCAGGCTGGCTGCGACGAGCAAGATTCAGGCTGAAACCAAGCGCAGACTGAGGTCTTGGATAGAGTGGAGTCGGTGAAACGAGCACAGTAACGTCTGCCATAGTTTGAATCCAAAGGAGCGACGAAAGGTTAGCGACCGGTTAGCTCTGGAGCCTCGGAGGATGAAGGAGCTGAGTAAGTTTTGCATCCGTAAATATAATGAATAAGGTTGAGTCCAAATATAGAAGGTCCGCCGATCTTCGTTAACGAACAGTTGGACGTCCCTGGGTTGTCCTGGGCCTGAGTCCTTTCATGCCGTCAAGACTCAGAGTTCTCATTGCTTTAGACTCATCGGCGTCAAGATCAGATAATGTTCAGAGGCAAAGCATTCAGCCTAATATTCGCACACCTTCAGAGTAAATTGCACAAGACTCATCAGGATCGCACTCGGGGATTCATCGGGTGTGCTATCAAAAACTACCATGGTCATGTATTAAAATCTAGTGCTGGCCGAATGGACGCGTGACAGGTGGTAAAAAAAACCGATTAGTGTAAAATCAACGATAGCCACTACGTTAACGACAGTACCCCGTAACTTGAAGTCATCAACATTAGCCTTCATCATTACCGCCTTCATCATTAGGTGCGCTTTCTTGGTGTCGCCGCGGATGCCCGAAGAAAAACCTCATTGATGATACAACATGCAGCACAGAACGGTCAGACTATGCCGCTCACGATCCTCTCAGAATTAAATCCATCTTGCGTAGACAACTACTACCCTCAGTGATACGACAGAAGATGTTCGCACCAAAGAAACTGGATCTCGTTGACAGACCAGAATCGCTCTTCAGATTAACTCGGATGCACGCGGCATTGCGGGTAATACATCAACGCTCAACTTGACTGCCGTCACTGGCCATTCTGCCCCATTTCTGATGCATCCCAACTTCACCTGCTAGTTATGTAGGCCATCCCCTCGACATGACGTGGACCAGCTGGAGCTTGGGCGCACTGTTACTCGCATTTCCCCTGAAATCTGTTCAAGTTTCGGTCATAACGCCAGCCGCAAGATTAGACTCCACCGTATTTGTCTTCCACAGACTGTTCAGATTGGATTTGAAAGTTGTCGTCACTTAAAGACTACCCCGACCAGATCTTGGAGTCTTGGACTTTCACTTTTCCTGAGAGAGTCCAACATTAGTCGGAGGTGAATGAGTGTCTGAGTACCGAGTACGCGTTGAACAGCTTTATGGCATAAATTACGCTTTTTCGCCCTCGGTAGCGCACATTCAACCGTAGTAGTCTCCTGAACACGTCAGTGTCATATCTGTTGCAATGGGATGGTCCGATGAGCCCAAGTCCCCTTCAAGTTATTGACCTACGCAAAATCAGTTAGGAAAACTGGTACGGTTCGGATGGCCGAGGAGCCAGCGCAAACAAGCCAAATCCCCACTGACGAATAGTCGTGATTATTTACGTACTATTTACTTGCAAGGTGAGCATCAGCGGAGTTATACCGGGTGCGAGGTTGAATTCATAGATGAAGAGTCGCCCAGGTCAAGAATCTACACTTCAGTGAGAGTGTACAATCATCCATAATCTGAGAAGAACCTCGAACCTTGAACATTTGGTAAGCCTAGAGCCTGATCATGGCAAAAGTGTATACATCATGTAGTGGCGCATCCGATCTTCGACACCGTGATACCATCGGAAATTCGGAACTGGCCCGCTTGAAAGGGAACAAGACGGCCATTAATATCCCAGCGGGACCTGACTCTGCATGGGCCTAGTTTTTGACCAGCCGTCGAATTGAATGTCCAAATGAGACAGATGCCAAAAGGTACATTTTCATTTTCAGGGGTTGCAGGGTGTTTATCCATGTTTTTTTCTGCTAGCATCTAACATCAAAGGCAAACATTTAAATATTCGACGTGTCCACATCTTCAGAAGCTGATACTATGACGGTCCCATGCGGCGAATACGAGGAGAGTGTTGTTGCCGCACTCCATCCACTGAGTGGAATGACACAGGTACGACATATCAATATTTGGATCCTGTTCAAGTTCGACCATGATTCAAATCTGCTAGGTATTGCCCTAACTTGTATACAGGGCATATTGATATTTAGTTTTGCGCATGCACCATGGACCTGTGAGGCGAAAGTGTGAAATTGTAAATCGAGAAGCTGGCCGCAGCCGAAGAGGGGACAGGGCGTGTTGACGTATATGGCCTGGATGAGTTACAAATTTCCTTGGTGTCACTATCATGATGTCCACTGCAGGAGCTTCTGTTCCGTCCTCGACTACATCTGGTGCTAACAATGCACTATATTTAGAGCTTGGAGTTACTGATAAACCATCGTCTGTGTCTACAGTAGTCACCCAATACCATGAACGAGGGCTCAGTGCGAGCATAGTTCCCTCCAAGTTCCCCTCAAGGCGTTTCATCGAATGGGCTATCCCGGTCAATATCCTCTTAAATCCCCCGATTCGAACAAGAATACATTCCATCTCTTCGGACTCTTTCGAACCACTTTAATTGTCGAACCTCCCGATCGAATTCATATCAGCCCACCAGTCCCGTAAGACGTTACCCTTATGCCACTTGCATGCACGCAGGCTGTCCACCTACGTAAAGTGGGTGAAAGACGCACCCTAGCCCTCGTGTTGCATCTTCGGACACGTACAAAGGCGCTTGTTCGGGACTAAGAGCATACGATTGGGGAAGGGCCTGTATATTGTGAACCTAAGGGTCTTGAAAGTTTGAAAGCGTAAGGTGAAGAAGCCTTGCATTCTGCGGGAGAATCTCCCGGTCCATAGAAACCTAACAAAGTCAGTCAATAATCTCTCATCACTTAACCACGGATCAAAATTACTTATCAGACCATCATCACACTCAGGACAGGGAATAGAGCGAATCTATTCATTCTCGTACCTTGTCTCAATCTTCCAAGGACCGCAGGCCGCCTGTGGTCTGCTAAATCAGAAAGCTTCTCGATCACAGGAAAACAATATTCGCTTCGGGGATTCCTCCTCTAGTCGCAACTTGAAATGTGAATGGGTCTGCTCAGTGTATGCGACACGGAGGAAGCAGCGCTTGCGATGGTATTACTTGGATTCTCCTAGCTCCAGTAAAATGACTGACGGAATGAACTTGACACACAAGTATAAAAGACGCGAGTGAGCGAGCTCTTGTTGAAACGCATCCAACCCTCACACCTACTAAAGCGTCATTACAACCATGACTATCCCAGTTCCGGGCACATACGTGATCTACAACATCCAATATTCCACCCTAGATGTCGATTTGCACTGGGCCAATGTCACTGACGGCGCTCCCGTCGTCGGTTACATCTACAACGAATCCACTCAGAACATGCTGGTTAGTGCAGAATCTTGAAAATATGCGTGTTTGATCTCACCGAACTCGACTCTGCAGTGGAATTTGCAGGTCGTCGATGAAGAACAGGGTCTGGTGCAATTCATCAACCTCGCGGGCAACAATTATGCTGGAGTCTCTGGCGAAATCAATGTGAGTGCGTCCAGCAACTTAGCAAGCTGGGTTTGACAACGGGGAAATCAAGGGCTCTGGGGTTATAGGAACCTCCATTGAAACCACTTTCAGACTTCACGAGAGGAAAGACGGGGAATATGAGCGAGTTTCGTTTCTTTGGCATGTTTCTTCAGGCTCAAACAACACCCTCAGGATTCAGACACATAACTCTGAGCTCGTTTGGGAGCTGCCTGACGGAAATAACTACACCGAGGTAAGTTCATCCGATGAACTGGAAAAATTGCACGTACTCAAGGGGGTAGATCATCCTCTCCCCTCCCATCAGCTTCTATGATAACCAGGCTTGGCAGTTCATGCCAGTTGATGGTAACTGACACTGAAGAGGGAGACAAAGCACTGGCGGCAATGACTTTACATCATTAGCACCGACCATGGACTAGCAATATTCTTGAGAGCATCGGAAAGAGGATATTTACTTGCACTGCTGTTATGTGGATACAACTATTTATTCGACTTGTGACAGCAAGATTTTTCAGGAAACGAACAAAGTGCGAGGGCTGAGCGCTGAGCGCTGAGCAGCTGTCTGCCTAACAGGACCAGCGAAGCATTTACAAGCACTAAATATTCAAAATACACGACCACAATTCCAACAGCAGCTACCGCATAAAGATGACGGGTTGGTACGAAGGCCTGTCGGAACAAGAGTGAGGATGGTTCCAAATAACTTGTGAATAATAGGATCTACATTGGCTTGAGGAAGAGGGAATGCAATGTAACTGCCGCGACGGCAATGGGTATAGAAAATGCGCCGAAGTGGAATAGACTCTGCATGAAACGTTTTCGGTAAGATACACGGAAAGCGCTGGTACCAACTTGAAGCATGAGGTCCGACCTTAGACGTCCATTTCGAGGGAAAAGTCGCTTACCATATATGTATACAATCCAATTGTTGCGATGTTAGTCACAGCTGAGAATGCACATTATCGAACAGGTGGGAGATGGGAGGCAACTCACTTGTAGGATAAGTAAGCCGAAGTGACTATGTACTACAGCTGAGTCCACTTGAAACCAGGCGCATGCCCAGTGCCCACTAAGCCCAAGTGAAAAGGTTCGTAGACGGCAATGCTCTGCTTGAAGTTGTATGTCCTACTAAGTATCAGTCCCATTCTCGGACAAGTATCATTCTAGTGAAAACAAATGTCGGTTACTCGTCTCAAGAGTCAAGACGGGTACGTCTTGTTTTCCTGGGATAGGTCTTGGGGCAGATACTTCAATAGGCTGCTACATGCAGTTGTAAGTGCAATTGAGGTTATTGAACCCCCAGGTCGGACTTCTCGACGAAGCAGGCTAACCGTGACGCTCGCATTCTGCGTGAGCCGCTTAGCGCTATAGTAAGTTGCCATCAGACTCATCTAGACGGACCATACGGTACACATCGCCTGCCAGCGATAAGCCCGGGGGCCTGGTAATGACTCTGTACTCGCAGCTAGCGGGGAATCAATACTCGGTGTGCAAGTAAGCAGTATGCAACAACGTAGTGCGTATGAGCAACCCACAACTTGGACTTGAAGGTGATCTAGGACTCGGATATATGGAAATTCCGAAAAACAAAACCGGGTAGGCGAGTGGCAACACTCAGCGCTTCAGCGCTCAGCAACGACTCACGAAGGCACTATTTTTAGCACCTTAGTCGGGTTGTAGCTTTAGATATGGACGGGAAAACTTCAAAGCTTTCAAAGTGTTGAGTCATTACCAGGTGGTCTGTGGGCAAATTGATGATAAGTCAAGACCATGTACATAATAGTGCTTACGTCTGTCCTAGATGGAGCGTGCTGCTTTGTGGGAGGGTAATTCTTTACTTGAAGCTGTGTATGTTTCAAAATTTAAAGGGCTTAGCTAGCTAGACTTTAGGTGAGCCTGATATTTTTGCCTGCATGATCCGGGCCTTGGCACATGCGATCGAGACTGATCTACATAGGACTACGGAGACCAAAGCCGGCAACATGAGTATGTGCGGCCCGTCGTGGGGTCCTGTCGAGATAGGCAACATTTTCACACGAATCTCGTGTCAATTGCTAACACTCAAGAGCATTATTGAGTTTTCTAGACAACAGTCATGACCATACAGGAGCTGGTGGAAGGCAGAATAGTGGGGTGCTGTTTTTTTGGTTCTTTGGGTTGGAGCTGACCATACAAAAATATAGGACTTCAAAGGCCAAAAGACGGCGGATGACATCGTTCGCGTGGTACTCATCACTAGCACAGTACGTGCCCTTCGCTGCCGCTGCGCTTAGCCAATTGGATATCTTCTGGCAGTTCCTCTCTTTTATCATTGGGTTTGCCTTCAGCTCTCTCATGATAACAATGAGTACGTTCGCACTCTGTACTGTAGCGCTGTCTCTGGTGAGTTTGCTTCGCGAGACATTCATGTACCTAGTTAATTCACACCTTTACTATAGGTTGTCCTACCTCCTTGGCCCATGTTCAATCGTCATCCAGTGACGTGGTTATCCGAGTCTGTACAAGAACAGAGTCAGAAGTAACATTCGGTGTTGATTTTGATATTCTTACCTCCTGCGGCAGACGCGGGAAGCAGGATTTTTCTTGCTTCTGATAGTCTATTATTGCAAAGAGTGAGTAAATATTATTAATGTGCTATTTGTGCGCTTCGACAGCCTGAGAGTACAAGGTAAGCTTGTTGTAGCAATTTTTATTCTTCCTTCCTCACATGCATTCATGCGTGTATCGGGGTTGTGGTGGTTGGCATCGCTACCGTTCAGTTCAGTTCGAAGAGCCAGCAAAAGCCTTTGGCCATTGGGATTGTTTCCTCGAGTGGAACTTGGGGGATTCTTGGCACTAGAACCTTAAGTAGTGATGAGACACGATGAGACATACATGAGAAAATCAGGAGCAATTGTTCAACTGGGAGCAAATCTCCGTTTGCGAACATAGACGCTTGACCGCGCCCTGAGTGATTTCAAAACGTTGATTCGGAGGCGGTTCTACTAACTAGCCTGAATCGTGAGCACCGCCTTTGAAAACGATAGGTTGGCGTTAGAGACCTTCATGGCAGCGTTCTACCCATCATCTATGGCAGGGCCACTAGGACAAGTGCCTGAAGAAACTGGTTTGATTACGCCGTCGCACGCAGGAGGTTATGAGTCTGATATGGCCATCACGCAACCGCCCTCGGCTCATCAGCCACAGCTTCTTTCATCACCTCCACCAGCAAGGTCACATACTTTAACGCCGTTAACAACAACTAAAGCAACCGTCACGACGGCGACCACGACGCAAAATACTACTATTCCACGCCCTTTACCCTCTCCAAGGTCGCAAGCTACGTCTCACAGGCCCCGCCCAGTCTCCATGCCTCCGCAGGCATTTGGCACCACAACTCCAATGTCAAGTTCTTCAGACCGCGAACGACAGCAGACTACAGACTCAAAACACCGTCAGATCAGAGATGGTTCAACCAGCAAACAGGGTCGAAGCTCACACCGCATCCTTGGTGACTACACCTTGACCAAGACACTTGGAGCTGGTAGCATGGGGAAAGTCAAGTTGGCTATTCATAATATCACGGAAGAGAAGGTGTGTGCTGCGTTCATATCAAAGATGAATTATCTTCGAACACCCTGGTTCTTGTTCGTAGCTCGCTGTCAAAATCCTCCCTCGAGTGTATCCGCAGGCTTCACAGCCAAATGGTTCAAATGCAACTCCAGAAGCAGTCGCAAAACAGGCCTCAAAAGATGCTTCGAAAGAGATACGCACTCTTCGTGAAGCTGCTCTCTCTATGCTTCTCCATCACCCGTACATCTGCGGCATGCGCGAGATGATCGTCCATCAACATCATTATTACATGGTATTCGAATATGTGAACGGTGGCCAGATGCTCGACTATATTATCAGTCACGGTCGGTTGCGGGAACGTGTCGCTCGCAAGTTCGCTCGTCAGATAGGAAGTGCGCTAGATTACTGCCATCGAAACAATGTGGTCCATCGAGGTCTGTTGTTGCTGTGTCTGTATTGTCTCATATTCTCATTGTTTATGTTGCAGATCTCAAAATCGAGAACATCCTCATATCTGAAACAGGGAACATCAAGATAATCGACTTTGGCCTGTCTAATCTCTACGACCCTTGTTCCACTCTGTCGACCTTTTGTGGCTCGCTATACTTTGCGGCTCCCGAGCTGCTTAATGCAAAGGTCTACATTGGACCAGAGGTTGATGTGTGGAGTTTTGGAGTTGTCCTCTACGTGCTCGTATGTGGCAAAGTGCCTTTCGACGATCAGAGCATGCCAGCACTGCATGCTAAAATTAAGCGCGGGCTAGTCGAGTATCCTGTGTGGTTAAGTGCAGGTGCGTCCGAAATGTGCTGTGAAGCATGATACTCACTGATCAATTCTCTAGAGTGCAAGCACTTACTCTCCCGAATGCTTGTCACTAACCCTGCTATGCGTGCCTCGCTGACCGAGGTACTTGAGCATCCATGGATGATTCGTGGCTTCAGTGGTCCCCCTGACTCGCACATGGTACACCGGGATCCGCTCCGACCTGATGACCTTGATAAACAGGTCATCAAAGGCATGAAAGGCTTCGAATTTGGGACTGATGAGGAAATCGAACGGAACCTCCGAAAGGTGCTCGAATCTGACGCTTATGCCCGCGCGGTCCAGGCTTGGGACCGCAAGCGCGGTGGTCGCAATGGCGCAAACAACCGTCTCGAGTTTTCTAATTCCTCCCTTGCTATATCCTTCGATGGGTCAGCCGCGAATGCGCACAAGAATGACTCTTCAATGAGTCCATCAAAGAAGTCAAAACGTTTTTCTGGGTTCGACTTTTATCGCCGGAAGCTGTTCTCCCCTTCCTCATCGCCACCCACCACTCCTTCTCACTCGCCCCCCACCTCTCAGTCGCTTCTGTCAGTTGGCGATGGCGCGCGCGATCCCCTTGACCCAACGCAGGGATTCCATCCACTGGTCACAATGTATTACCTTTCCCGCGAGAAGTTGGAGCGTGAACGTGTCTATGGCCCGGGGCGCTTTGCCAGCTCCCAGCTTTCCATTCAATCGGCCACTGCAGCCAATGCATCCGCCACTGACGCTTCTGCACCACCCCCCTACCCGGCTAATACCTTCACTCAACCTGTTCCTGTCAAGAAGGAGCAACAGCAGCCTGCCACCTCTGCGTCTGGTAAAGCAGACTACGGCATGCCTCTCCCGCGCCTTCCTGCGCCTGAGACGTCGCATTACTCCGACATGTCCTACGATGCAGCATCTGCAGCAGCTTCTCCAACCTCTGCTGCATTCCATGGGCAAGTGAGAGCGCGTGACTCGGGGCTACCTCCACCTGCTACGAAGCGCGTCGAAATTTCCCAACCGCCCACGCCAACACCAGGGCCGGCGACAGCACTTCCGCGTGCTCCACCTGCGTCCACTCACCGCCGCAGCCACAGCATGAGCCAGCGACCAACTGCGCTCCGCGGATGGGGTGGAGGGTTTGTTAGTGGCGAAAGTCGTGTGGACGAGCACGGCGAGGAGCAGGGCTCTCAATCGGCTGGTCTGGAGGCCGAATTTACGGACCAGGATAAGGTTCTGTCCGCAGGGGATCGTGCACATACACATGACGGCCCGTTATCAGCTGGCGCAACGCTCGTACGCAGGTTTGGCACGCTTCTGGTTGGGAAGGGTGATGATAATAAACGGAGTATTGGTAAGCGGACGACGATGTTAGGCGCTGTGCCGTTGCGATCATCGGGAGATGATGGCGAGAAGCCTGCTGAATCGTCTTGGAAGCGGGGCGCAGATGTCGATGTACGCAGATCCTCCATCATTGCGCCTCAACCTATTACTGCTAGCCAGAGCCAGCCTCTTGGGAACGTGCACAGGCGAGCTGCCACCATTCTTGATCCCCAAGGTCGTCAGATTCGGCACGAGCGCCGGAGTAGCACTGGTGGATCTTTGCTCCCTAGTATCGGTGGCACTATCGGACGACATCGTCGGCCATCGACTGGTTATGGGACGAGCAGCGGACGTCCAACTGGCTTGGGTGGCTTTGGACAAACCGAGAAGGTGGAGGAGAATGCTGAGCAAGAGGCAGTTGATCAGGACGATGGCTTCAAGGATGAGCAGAGTGGACACCACAGTGATAAGGACTTCAAGCCGGTGCATCTTAAGGGGCTGTTCAGGTGAGCGCGAGTCGCGTGGTTATTTGGACAGTGCTGATATGTGCGACAGTGTTGCAACCACTTCTACAAAACCGCCATCAGTGCTCAAGGCTGATATCAAGAAAGTTCTGGACCGAATGCAAGTTCAATATCGAGAGACACGGTGTGGTTTTGAGTGCATCCATGTACCCTCCATCGACATTTCATCTGTCCCCGAATCAACTCAGGTCCAAGGACGCTCTAGTCATCACCGCCGGACTGCTTCTGGTGGCTCCAACGAAACTGGAATTACGCCTCGATCACTTGTGAAGAAAGCGTCGAAGATGTCTTTCGGTATGAAGTCTAAGGAGCGGGAGAGGGAGAGGGAGAGTATGAAGGAAAAAGAGCAGGAAGCTCCTTTAGAGAAAGAGCTCCCTCACAGGCCATCGATTGGGACTGCATTAAGTGCCACCCCTAGCAGCGGATCGTCTTCATTCTTCAATGTCTCCTCTAATACCCACACCATTACAGCGGATAATTCTCGGCATCAGGAAGCCAATGTGCTCACGCCGGGGACACCCCAAGAGGAACAGCGTGATCCATTCCGCTCGCAAACACCGGTAAAAGGCAAGGTCTTACCGCCCATACCCCGTGACTTTGCTGCTACACCCCAGCCGCACACTCCCCGGCCGGCACCTTTCCCTACCGGTGAAGTCGATCGTGAAGTATTCGAATCTATGGGTGCCAGTTCACTTTCAGTCCGTTTCGAAATTAACATTATTAAGGTATGATTTTCCTCCTCGTCATCGTCTCGAACATCTGACAAACTTTCCCTAGGTTCCTTGGCTGCCACTCCACGGCATACAGTTCCGAAGGGCTGGTGGCGATGGTTGGCAATACCAAATGCTCGCCCGGAGAGTTCTTACTGAGCTTAAGCTATGACCAATCGCCTTCATGCCCCCCTTTATGATTTGCCTCTTTTCGAGGCATCCTCATGCTCAATATTTCCATCTTTTGTGAGATATCTTCTTCTTTATGTTTTCTTTCCCTCCTCCAGTTAAAATGGGTTATACAAGACGCGTCACAGGTGTTCCGCTCATACGCTGCCAAATACTTACTTCCCGCTCATTTCTCACGTGTATCACTGCTTCTCTCGAGGACGGCAATAATACCTATCTTACATGTTCTTCCATCTTGCTCTGGGAGTACTGTACAAAACGATGGAAAGTCTGCGAGGACTCTTACTACCCTCGCTTCAGTCGTCTGACTTACTTGAAAGATCAGCATGCGTTTCCTCTTGGTTATTGACACTTATTTATGCTGATTAACTTGAGCGGCCCGAGATACTCCCTGCATGAATGCAGTGATAAAATGTTTGGGCAGGACATAAGAAGGGAAAGAGCCAAACTTCATCCATACGACGACTAGTGTACATGCTGTGCGATCAACGCAACGTTGGAGTCAGATGTTTATGGGCGTCCTGGTCCCACAGTTTGGTATCGGGAGGTTTAGTCGCCCTGTCGAAAATTCAATACGAATGATACTTAGTTAGAGTTGAAACGTTGTGACTTTTTGGATAGAGATAAAGTCCAACTACTACATAGTACAGACGTGCCAATAGCAAGCGGACAATAAATAGCTGATATAGCTATTGCACATGAGATCATCAGATTATCCTACCCCTGGAGACCCAGCCCTAATAGCATGCCCGGAACTATCCGGGTCAGTGACATTCCAGCATCTTTGCAGGCCTGTGACGCTAGCGAACGGCTCGGAGCCTCGCAGTCGTAAGTGCCAAAT